GAATTAAATGCATATGATATTGTTATCACAATAAGACTTAAACACTATGTAGAATTGTTCTGAAAGTTTTCCTTGAGTCCCTTTACTGTTTTTCAGTGGATATATCATTAACATCCATAAAAAAAAATTCTGGCTTTCGTAAAGAAAGTGTTGCAGAAATTTCCAGCAAGCAGACAGTTGTAGTGGTGGAGTTTTATTTACAAACATGTAAATTTCTTAGAAATTGTACGAGCTGATAAGTATGGTAATAAATCATAAAACAAGTGGTTTTAGTTGGAGCTGGAGGAAGACAAACTGTTTTATCTCAGAATACATTATCTTTGTGGAGTTCAGATCCAACCATTACTGTGGAGTGGTTTGCAGAGATGCCAAAAATTATTTAACAGCTAGTACTTCTACATGTCTGGTCACTGCTTTATATGTTCTTGTGTTAGAGAATGTATTTGTTGCCACAAATTTACCAATAATGAAGTTGTGTAGTTGCTCTTATTAAGAATAAGGTTATTGTTTTATTCTAATCAATTTTTTAATACCCAACTACTTAAATTAAAATCCAAGTTTATTTCTGTCATGTCAAGTCAGTGTACTTATAAATATTGATAAACCTAAGGTAATTGATTCTGTGAATTATGGTCCACTGATATCTCTGTCAGCTTTAAGTATTTAAACAGTGTGTTCTGTTTTCTCCTACTTTTTGATAAAAAATGAATGCAGTAATGTTGTGACAGTGGTTATAGTCAGTTCTTGTTTTACCTGTGTTGTTAACAGTCCCACCTGTAGTATCTGTGTTGTTGTCCCACCTATTTACCGGTGTTGTTGTCACACCTGTTTTACATGTGTTGTTGTCCCAACTGTAGTACCTTTGTTGTTGTCCTGTCTGTTTTACCTGTGTTTTTTTATCCCTACTGTTTTACATATGTTGTTGTCCCACCTGTTTACCTGTGTTGTTCTCTCACCTGTTTTACCTGTGTTGTTGTCCCACCTGTTTTATATGTGTTGTTGTCCCACCTGTTTACCTGTGTTGTTCACCCACCTGTTTTACCTGTGTTGTTAACAGTCCCACCTGTAGTACCTGTGTTGTTGTCCCACATGTTTTACCTGTGATATTCATCCACCTGTTTTACCTGTGTTGTCCCACCTGTTTTACCTGTGTTGTTCACCCACCTGTTTTACCAGTGTTGTTTACATTCCAACCAGTTTAAACTGTGTTGTTGTCCCACCTATTTACCTGTGATGTTCTCTCACCTGTTTTACCTGTGTTGTTGTCCCACCTGTTTTACCTGTGTTGTTGTAACACCTGTTTTACCTATGTTGTTCTCTCACCTGTTTTACCTGTGTTGTTCTCTCACCTGTTTATCTGTGTTGTTTTCCCACCTGTTTTACCTATGATGTTGTTGTTCTACCTGTTCACCAGTATTCTCCCACATTTTTAACTGGTTTTTACATATTTCATACTGTTTTCATCAGCTAGGTCTATAGAAAAGAGCAATGTGACATTGAAAATGATATATATATATAATATTGTAGAAAGTGATGGTTAGAATGATTTCTTTTTGAGAAAAAATTACAGAAATATTTTTAATAAGCAAGCTAAATTCACATTATTTACTTATCACTCAAAAATATCTTGTTTTAGTTTTAAAACACAGTAATTAGTTATGTTTGTATTTGGCAACACCATACATTGTAACAATGTAGCTATTACTTTAAATGTTATTTAATAGATTACATACTCATAGCTGTATAGTTTATTGATTTAGTATCCGATAAAATATTTACAAGTTTTCAGTGGATCAATTTTTATGTATTCTTATTAAATAGTAGCTGCATGGTAAACTGTTTTATATCAAATTACCCTAATCAGGAAGAATGGTTGTCAAGGTGATCTGTAACTTACGCAGTATTTATCTTTTAATATCAGAACAGTACAGGTAAATAATCTACCTGTATATAGGTAGTATATCAGAACAGTACAGGTAAATAATCTACCTGTATCAAGGTACAATATCAGAACAGTACAGGTAAATAATCTACCTGTATATAGGTATTATAATCTACCTGTATCAAGGTATTATATCAGAACAGTACAGGTAAATAATCCACCTGTATATAGGTATTATATCAGAACAGTACAGGTAAATAATCTACCTGTATATAGGAAGTATATCAGAACAGTACAGGTAAATAATCTACCTGTATATATGTACTATATCAGAACAGTACAGGTAAATAATCTACCTGTATATAGGTATTATATCAGAACAGTACAGGTAAATAATCTACCTGTATATAGGAAGTATATCAGAACAGTACAGGTAAATAATCTACCTGTATATATGTACTATATCAGAACAGTACGGGTAAATAATCTACCTGTATATAGGTACTATATAAGAACAGTACAGGTAAATAATCTACCTGTATATAGGTACTATATCACAACAGTACAGGTAAATAATCTACCTGTATATAGGTACTATATCAGAACAGTACATGTAATTAATCTACCTGTATATAGGTACTATATAAGAACAGTACAGGTAAATAATCTACCTGTATATAGGTACTATATCAGAACAGTACAGGTAAATAATCTACCTGTATATAGGTACTATATCAGAACAGTACAGGTAAATAATCTACCTGTATATAGGTACTATATCAGAACAGTACAGGTAAATAATCTACCTGTAGCTAGTAAATAATCTACCTGTAGCTAGGTACTATATCACAGGTAAATAATCTACCTGTATACAGGTACTATCAGAACAGTACAGGTAAATAATCTACCTGTATACAGGTACTATATCAGAACAGTACAGGTAAATAATCTACCTGTATATATGTACTATATAAGAACAGTACAGGTAAATAATCTACCTGTATATAGGTAGTATATAAGAACAGTACAGGTAAATAATCTACCTGTAGCTAGGTACTATATAAGAACAGTACAGGTAAATAATCTACCTGTAGCTAGGTACTATATCAGAACAGTACAGGTAAATAATCTACCTGTATACAGGTACTATATCAGAACAGTACAGGTAAATAATCTACCTGTATATATGTACTATATAAGAACAGTGCAGGTAAATAATCTACCTGTATATAGGTACTATATCAGAACAGTACAGGTAAATAATCTACCTGTAGCTAGGTACTATATCAGAACAGTACAGGTAAATAATCTACCTGTATACAGGTACTATATCAGAACAGTACAGGTAAATAATCTACCTGTATATATGTACTATATAAGAACAGTACAGTACAGGTAAATAATCTACCTGTATATAGGTACTATATCAGAACAGTACAGGTAAATAATCTACCTGTATATATGTACTATATAAGAACAGTACAGGTAAATAATCTACCTGTATATAGGTACTGTAACAGAACAGTACAGGTAAATAATCTACCTGTATATAGGTAGTATATCAGAACAATACAGGTAAATAATCTACCTGTATATAGGTAGTATATCAGAACAGTAAGGGTAAATAATCTACCTGTATATAGGTAGTATATCAGAACAGTAAGGGTAAATAATCTACCTGTATATAGGTAGTATATCAGAACAGTACAGGTAAATAATCTACCTGTATATAGGTAGTATATCAGAACAGTACAGGTAAATAATCTACCTGTATATAGGTAGTATATCAGAACAGTAAGGGTAAATAATCTACCTGTATATAGGTACTATATAAGAACAGTACAGGTAAATAATCTACCTGTATATAGGTATTATATAAGAACAGTGCAGGTAAATAATCTACCTGTATATAGGTAGTATATCAGAACAGTACAGGTAAATAATCTACCTGTATATAGGTATTATATAAGAACAGTGCAGGTAAATAATCTACCTGTATATAGGTAGTATATCAGAACAGTACAGGTAAATAATCTACCTGTAGCTAGGTAGTATATCAGAACAGTACGGGTAAATAATCTACCTGTAGCTAGGTACTATATCACAACAGTACAGGTAAATAATCTACCTGTAGCTAGGTACTATATCAGAACAGTACAGGTAAATAATCTACCTGTAGCTAGGTAGTATATCAGAACAGTACAGGTAAATAATCTATTTGTAGAAAAAAGTGGGAGAAAGAAGATCAACCCTTTAAAACCATATTTCCACATTTAAGCATTAATTCATGCTTGCTTCCATCAACTGAGTATGTTCCAGATTGTCCAGTTTACAAATGAAGCTTTAGTGTCTTAGAAAAGTATGGGTGAAAAATTTCATCCTCAGAACAATTACTCTTTCTTTTTTCCACAATTCATTGTGTGCATCCACAATCATTGCACGTTCAAATTCCTGTGGATAACTTGCGTCTTAGTGTTGTCGTTTATAGACACAGATAGGCACAAGTTTATCAGTTTAATCATATTACATTATGTATGTCACTTATACCGCCAACACAAATCTGACCAAAACATTGAAACTCACAAAGGCGCTTGAATATTCATGCTTGTAGTCTCATTTAAGCCATCAGAGATGCAACTTTCAAATCTGCAAACAACTTCTGGAAAGAAATACCCTGGACAGCTAAGATCTTACATTTGAATTTAAAATAATTTTCATTTTCATTTTGAAACAATTTTTTTGAGTTACTGTAATTTTTCTGGGTCAAGCAGGTTGCTCCAAACCAACTATATTTTTATTTAGGAACCTGGCAAGGGCAAACACAACTATAAAACTCAACAAGAAGGGACACACACAGCTGTATGAACAATCATGCTGGGACAAAATATCTACCTCTCAATGTCACCACTTGACTATATATATTGTTATACATGAACCTTCAATAAAATATGTAGCCCACAAGGTTGCAACCTCAGTGACTATATATACCAATATTGATGATTTTTTGGTAAAAGTTGTACCCCACAATGTTGCCACCAGTGACTAAACATACCAACATAGATGAATTCTTGGTAAAACTTGTACCCCACAAGGTTGCCACCTCAGTCACTCTACATACCATTATAAATGAATCTTTGGTAAAATGTGTATCCCACCAGGCTACCACCGAAGAAGCAGAAGGCAGTGAAGGCTGACATGACGTACAGAGGAACAATAGCAAGGGCCTGGACTCGTCTCACTCCTCCAGGGGTAAGGTATCTCGTCTGTAATAAAGATACTCATACTAAGTAGGTATTTCAGTTATAGAAACTTATCTTACCACTCAAATCACTTAACACTATTTAAATAAAAATTTGTAAACTCATGATAACTTATTATGCTATATTCAAAATGATCACCTATCCCATCAAACTGATTTAGTATAGAACTTAGACACCTGACTAAACAATTATATAACTACCATAACTGTCTTTGTTGACACCATGGACTAGGAATGGACAGTAAAACTAGCTTCCGCTCAAGACCGGCAGATTGATTTAAAACTGATAACATAGATAGAGGTATGGAGAATGTAAAACCAGAAAAATATTTTATCATGTCTCCTCCCTATAGTTAACTATGTCCAGTGTGGGGAATGTTCCTCCCTATAGTTAACTATGTCCAGTGTGGGGAATGTTTGGCCTGAAAACTGTTGTATCATGTCTCCTCCCTATAGTTAACTATGTCCAGTGTGGGGAATGTTTGGCCTGAAAACTGTTGTATCATGTCTCCTTCCTATAGTTAACTATGTCCAGTGTGGGGAATGTTCCTCCCTATAGTTAACTATGTCCAGTGTGGGGAATGTTTGGCCTGAAAACTGTTGTATCATGTCTCCTCCCTATAGTTAACTATGTCCAGTGTGGGGAATGTTTGGCCTGAAAACTGTTGTATCATGTCTCCTCCCTATAGTTAACTATGTCCAGTGTGGGGAATGTTCCTCCCTATAGTTAACTATGTCCAGTGTGGGGAATGTTTGGCCTGAAAACTGTTGTATCATGTCTCCTCCCTATAGTTAACTATGTCCAGTGTGGGGAATGTTCCTCCCTATAGTTAACTATGTCCAGTGTGGGGAATGTTCCTCCCTATAGTTAACTATGTCCAGTGTGGGGAATGTTCCTCCCTATAGTTAACTATGTCCAGTGTGATGAATGTTCCTCCCTATAGTTAACTATGTCCAGTGTGGGGAATGTTCCTCCCTATAGTTAACTATGTCCAGTGTGGGGAATGTTCCTCCCTATAGTTAACTATGTCCAGTGTAAGGAATATTTGGCCTGAAAACTGTTGTATTGTTCCTCCCTATAGTTAACTATGTCCAGTGTGGGTTAACTATGTCCAGTGTGGGGAATGTTCCTCCCTATAGTTAACTATGTCCAGTGTGGGGAATGTTCCTCCCTATAGTTAACTATGTCCAGTGTGTCCCTATAGAAAACTATGTCCAGTGTAATGTTCCTCCCTATAGTTAACTATGTCCAGTGTGGGGAATGTTCCTCCCTATAGTTAACTATGTCCAGTGTGGGGAATGTTCCTCCCTATAGTTAACTATGTCCAGTGTGGGGAATGTTCCTCCCTATAGTTAACTATGTCCAGTGTGGGGAATGTTTGGCCTGAAAACTGTTGTATCATGTCTCCTCCCTATAGTTAACTATGTCCAGTGTGGGGAATGTTTGGCCTGAAAACTGTCCAGTGTGGGGAATGTTCCTCCCTATAGTTAACTATGTACAGTGTGGGGAATGTTCCTCCCTATAGTTAACTATGTCCAGTGTGGGGAATGTTTGGCCTGAAAACTGTTGTATCATGTCTCCTCCCTATAGTTAACTATGTCCAGTGTGGGGAATGTTTGGCCTGAAAACTGTTGTATCATGTCTCCTCCCTATAGTTAACTATGTCCAGTGTGGGGAATGTTCCTCCCTATAGTTAACTATGTCCAGTGTGGGGAATGTTTGGCCTGAAAACTGTTGTATCATGTCTCCTCCCTATAGTTAACTATGTCCAGTGTGGGGAATGTTTGGCCTGAAAACTGTTGTATCATGTCTCCTCCCTATAGTTAACTATGTCCAGTGTGGGGAATGTTCCTCCCTATAGTTAACTATGTCCAGTGTGGGGAATGTTTCTCCCTATAGTTAACTATGTCCAGTGTGGGGAATGTTACTCCATATAGTTAACTATGTCCAGTGTAAGGTGGCCTGAACTGTTGTATCATGTCTCCTCCCTATAGTTAACTATGTCCAGTGTGGGGAATGTTCCTCCCTATAGTTAACTATGTCCAGTGTGAGGAATGTTTGGCCTGAAAACTGTTGTATCATGTTTCCTCTCTATAGTTAACTATGTCCAGTGTGGGGAATGTTCCTCCCTATAGTTAACTATGTCCAGTGTGATGAATGTTCCTCCCTATAGTTAACTATGTCCAGTGTGGGGAATGTTCCTCCCTATAGTTAACTATGTCCAGTGTGGGGAATGTTCCTCCCTATAGTTAACTATGTCCAGTGTGGGGAATGTTCCTCCCTATAGTTAACTATGTCCAGTGTGGGGAATGTTCCTCCCTATAGTTAACTATGTCCAGTGTGGGGAATGTTCCTCCCTATAGTTAACTATGTCCAGTGTGATGAATGTTCCTCCCTATAGTTAACTATGTCCAGTGTGGGGAATGTTTGGCCTGAAAACTGTTGTTTCTCCCTATAGTTAACTATGTCCAGTGTGGGGATTATTCCTCCCTATAGTTAACTATGTCCAGTGTGATGAATGTTCCTCCCTATAGTTAACTATGTCCAGTGTGGGGAATGTTCCTCCCTATAGTTAACTATGTCCAGTGTGGGGAATGTTCCTCCCTATAGTTAACTATGTCCAGTGTGGGGAATGTTTGGCCTGAAAACTGTTGTATCATGTCTCCTCCCTATAGTTAACTATGTCCAGTGTGGGGAATGTTTGGCCTGAAAACTGTTGTATCATGTCTCCTCCCTATAGTTAACTATGTCCAGTGTGGGGAATGTTCCTCCCTATAGTTAACTATGTCCAGTGTGGGGAATGTTCCTCCCTATAGTTAACTATGTCCAGTGTGGGGAATGTTCAGCTAGAAAATTACGGTATAATTTCCTTTGACTAGGACCAACAAATACTTACAATGATTCCACTCAATAACTTGAGGAGATATTGATATTTATTTCAGTTTATTTTTTTAGTCTTATTAAAACTATAGGACTATTGATTCAATTGTATTTTGAATATTTATTTTCCGGTAAAATTTGCAGAGTACAATGTACAACCATGAAGACTAAAAATAAAGACGTACCTGCCCGAACTTTCAATCTTGTATTCGTAATAAATTTTCCCACTTTCAATTTAGAAATCTTGTCTGGCAATTATGAATCCAATCATACCATAATAAATATTTCACATATATAATTTTTCAGTGAAATGACAATTTATTTATTGCCAACCAAAAATCGATAATTTCATAATCACCTCAGAGTACATTACATGGTTCTCCAGTCCTGGGCCACCATCTGCTGATAATCAGTGAGAGATTACCAACACACAAGTTTTATCTAAAGTAATTTTTGCAAAATTTGTCATATAAATTTTAAGCGACAACTCCAATAACCATTGTGTCTCATTTTAAAAATTTGTGGAGAAAAACAAATACAAATTTCCAATTTGAAAATGACAAACCTTTATTAAGTGCTGCAATAGAGTGAGGGATAAATTATGGAAGAGTCCTCTGTGTTCAATAATTTACAAACATCCACTGAACAGGAGCTGCTATGTCTGCGGTTAGAGTGATATAGAGAGATCAAACCACCTGACAGAATCTGTAATACTGTAATAGAATGGCACTTTTTCCCTACTGAGTCCTGCCCCTCCTGCCCCTGGCAAATGGGACCCACCATTTATACAAAACTGAATCTCCAAGATTATTCCTGACCGAATTTTGACAATGACCTTTCATTTCTTTAGAAGAATTAGGAAGAATTCACTAAATTTCCACTATTGATTCTGCCCATTAGGCCTTGTGGGGTCAAGACCAACATTTAGGTATTCATCACTAGTAGTGATTTGAAGAAAAAGATGCTTTTTATATACTACTTTAACAGAATGGGTTAGGGTTATCCAATGTTTTACTGGTGATTCAGGTTTAGAGTGATATACCCATACATTGGGAGTGGTCTTACCAGAATAGGGCTAAGGTATTCATGGTTGGTGATTGAGCTAAGCCTAACTATTGTTTTAGTGTAATTTTTAAACCATCCACCTGTTAGAATCTGCTACTTAGTTATTATGAGAATACCAAAAACAATAAGAATATCTTTTAATAATGTAAAACAAGTCAAACAATAAGTCACTAAATTATGGGGAAATTTGATAATCCCCATAATTCAGTGACTTATCATTTTGGAAACATGATGGAACATTTTTGTAGTTTCCTGAAGAAAGTGAATTTGTAGTATCATCATTCATTGGGAAATGTTTTAGCCATGGAATTGGTGAGTGGGAAAACATATTCCCGCCAATGACTGTAGTTTTCCCAAGTTCCCCACAAGCATATTGTCAAGAGTAATAGAGAGAGAGAGTTCTATACAATCACATTTGGTTTTGTTGGAGATTGGTACAGACTATGTATGGCCTGAATACATGTCATACTGATTATTACATTCATTATTTACAATTTTTCATATTTATCTGCAGCAGTAATATCATGAGCTCATTGTCCTAAGGGTACACATCGTAATCAGTATCACTGGCTGCACAACAAAAGGCCTCCAATAACCATCACAATTTGTAAGTAATTTGAAACAAAAATACAGTTTTGATTATTTAGACTAATTAAAGAGAAAACTGGAGTGCTTAAGACCACCATGATTAAACCTTGAAAGTCAAGCAATATACGTAATTGTCAAGTTATTACCCATTTTAAACATTTAGTCGACAACGCCTTTTAAGTTTAAAATTTCACATAATGTCAATGTATTTTTTTCTTTTGCCCAGTCCTTTAATTATTTTGAAAATTTTCCTCAAGTTTTTATTAAATCTATCGATTTGTTACAGAAATATCCCAAGGATGATTAATACCCCCTGCAGGTTCTCAAGTATAACAATCAATACTCAAAGGCCTCTTCATAAAAGTACATTTACAATCGCTCCAAATCTCTACAGGTAGATAATAATTTTACAAGACAGATAAGAAAGGTTTGGATACAAAAGCAACTGAAACAACAACACTGATGTGATACATGTAAGGTTTCATCAAATTCAGTCTACAAGTATGGGAGTATTTGCCTAGATTTAAACTAATTTTCAATGATAATGCATCGCTCCATAAGCTAAATAAGAAGAAATATAATGGTACATAAGATAAAAAGCTTCACAGGTTCTGACATTTGTAAGGTTTATTCTTGGGGTAATTGAAATAGACTGGTGCATAAGAAGAGTTATCCAGACAAAGATTTATATACAATATCTGTACAAAGGGGAATTACTCTACAAAAAAGGGTTGATAAACTACCCAGATACCAAACCTCAGGTGGTTATTGTGATATGTGTAAGGTATCATTGTAATTGGTCCAAGATTCTATAAGGAGTTCTCCACTCAGTTTTAAGCAGATTGTTGGATGGATACAGAAATGGTATGTTACTTGACAAAGTTTTACTAGTATTTACATAAAATTGAAATTTACAGATCATATCAAAGTTTTTACTACCATACTACACAGATAATTCTTTATTATAGAACAAGTAGTTTATGTCAAAGATTTAATTACTTAATTCTGATGGTGATTCCTTTAACATCTGAAGTTTTTACTACCAAAACGTAAGGGCAATTCTTTAAGTATGTATACCTTATTAAAACTCAAAAGTTTTAACTAACAAACTTAACTGAAATGATTTCTTTATTACCTAATAATAATCTAAAGCTCACAGTAAATCAAACTGAATCAGCAATTCTACCCAACTAGAAATCAAATGCCTAACAGGTGCTTACAGCCCAGAAGTCGATGTTCAAACTACTAAGGTCAGAGATCAAAGGAAAGTCCCTTAAGCTGATTCGTGTAATTGTATCTGACAGTTTTTTTATGTGAAATAACACAACTAATACCCTGTAACAAATATAAATAAAAACAATTACACACTTGTACTATCATATGCAAGTGAAAACAAGGGACATAACTCTTTCTAATCTTACATAACCAATCTTGTGTGATTGTTAAAATGACTCATACACATAAACAGCTTACATCTAGGCATAAACAATACACTCTTACAATTATGTTTAACATCAGATATATGGGCAATCACCAAAACATTAGTTTAAAATCACAGAAATGATTCATAAATCATTGGCATTCACAATGATGTTCCTTACATAAAAAGATGTGATTTGGTATGCATTTAGTGATAACGAATTGTAAAATACAAACAATTATGAAAAATACTACTTTTATAATAGAATGGAAGAGATAGTGAATTTAGTAAATAGACTGCTAAAGCTGCTTACACTCACGCCAAGTCTTCCAAAACAACAGACTATCATCTGACCAACTCCTGCCATCTATCCACTACACTACACAAACACCATGACCACAACAACCTAACCAATCAGAACACAGGACAACTACGATGACCAATATGATGTAACTAGACACTAACACCACTTAGTAAAACCACACCAAGGACTACAGATGTGCATACAAAATATGCACAAGTGCAAAAGCAAAACAAATGTACGTTGAAATGTAATAGTAATACAATAAATTACATATAAAATAAAACACAAAATCCATCACTTCTACATAATTGTGACAAATAAGATTTTGATTTCAATAATCAGTCTTCTGTACTTCCCCTGTGCAGTGCATTATTCTACATTAAATGTACGAAACTCAAATATGACGTTACTTATCTAATGATCCAGGATCTGGTTTCTGTCTGACTTACCTGAATGTCCTTGACCATAGACAATCGTATGAATTTTCCTCCTAGAGCCTCTATGGTGACTCCTATGAAGTTGAACACAGTCCACAGAAATGCATAGTACTCTGACCCATGCCAGTAGTACACAAAAGTAAAACACAATATAGACCCAGCAAACTGTCGCACCATTCCCCCTCGAGAGCCCCCTAGCGGCACGTAGATATATCTGCAAAATCAAATATAATAAAATTAGTTTTTTTTAAAATTTTATCATTAAGCAATCCTATTTAAATAATGATATATTTTTTATTTCAATTTTAACTCACTGAAAATTTAGCTTGATTTGGGATAGACATAATTTGAACCCGATTTGAGATATGTCCTCATTGTTTCCCCTTAACACTGAGATATAAGTCAGTTTTAAAAAGCTTGTGTTCTGATTGTACATAAAACCTACAGAAACAGCAGACTACAGTATTAATATTAACTGTCTTAAGGTTCTGATCTTGACATGTACAAATCCTGTCTTTACAACAGGAAAGATAAAGTTTCGGCAAAATTCAAATGAAAAACTGACAGTTTACTAATTTGTCATTCACACTAAATTGATACTGCAGTTTACCAATATCTAGACTAATACTATTCTGTGATGATTACAAAGGAGCCACCGTATAAGCAAATGTATTCCAGTAATTTTTAGAATAATGATGCTTCTTACCTGTCAAAGAAATGACAATATTTTAACCGTAATATGATAATAAGCATTCATTTCATTAGTAGTGGATAATTAAACTTCTATAATGTAATGATATATCCAAGATACCTATACCAAAAGAAAAATCCTTCCATTTCAAAAATAGAAACATGCAATGTTAATTTACCTTTTCATGAAATCATACATGCCACGGTCAAAATACCTGTAATGAAAAAAGGACTTTATTTATTGCTGCTACATGATTTAGTAAGAAAACTCATTCTATCAACTGTTAATGATAACATTTCCATTAAAAATAATTTGATCATACTAAAAAATGTTTATAAGACATAAATGTGTCCTGACCCATTCTACCTGATCCCATCCAAACTAGATTCCAAGGTGACGAACTTGATGTCAAGATACTTGTTTAAAATGGAAAAAATAGTTAAGAAATTGGCTCTGTGGCTTATAACCTGGTGAATTTTATAGTCTGAAACATATGATATACATTTCCACATGGGGGTTGGGGGGGTGGGGGGTGGGGTGGGGTGGGGGGGTGGGGGGGTGGGGGGGCTACAGACTACATAATGTATTCGTGGCTATTGTTTTACAGTATATTACAGACTACAGTAGAAACAGGATCCATGAATTGTGGCCATTGTTTTACAGTATATTACAGACTACAGTAGAAACAGGATCCGTGACTTGTGGCCATTGTTTTACAGTATACCACAGACTGCAGTAGAAACAGGATCCGTGACTTGTGGCCATTGTTTTACAGTATACCACAGACTACAGTAGAAACAGGATCCGTGAATCGTGGCCATTGTTTTACAGTAAACTACAGACTACAGTAGAAACAGGATCCGTGACTTGTGGCCATTGTTTTACAGTAAACTACAGACTACAGTAGAAACAGGATCCGTGAATCGTGGCCATTGTTTTACAGTATACCACAGACTACAGTAGAAACAGGATCCGTGACTTGTGGCCATTGTTTTACAGTATACTACAGACTGCAGTAGAAACAGGATCCATGACTCATGGCCATTGTTTTACAGTATATTACAGACTACAGTAGAAACAGGATCCATGACTCGTGGCCATTGTTTTACAGTATACTACAGACTGCAGTAGAAACAGGATCCGTGACTTGTGGCCATTGTTTTACAGTATATTACAGACTACAGTAGAAACAGGATCCGTGACTTGTGGCCATTGTTTTACAGTATACTACAGACTACAGTAGAAACAGGATCCATGACTTGTGGCCATTGTTTTACAGTATACTACAGACTGCAGTAGAAACAGGATCCAGGATCCATGACTCGTGGCCATTGTTTTACAGTATACCACAGACTGCAGTAGAAACAGGATCCGTGACTTGTGGCCATTGTTTTACAGTATACCACAGACTGCAGTAGAAACAGGATCCGTGACTTGTGGCCATTGTTTTACAGTATACCACAGACTACAGTAGAAACAGGATCCGTGACTTGTGGCCATTGTTTTACAGTATATTACAGACTGCAGTAGAAACAGGATCCATGACTTGTGGCCATTGTTTTACAGTATACCACAGACTGCAGTAGAAACAGGATCCGTGACTTGTGGCCATTGTTTTACAGTATACCACAGACTGCAGTAGAAACAGGATCCGTGACTTGTGGCCATTGTTTTACAGTATACTACAGACCACGTGACTTGTGGCCATTGTTTTACAGTATGCAGTAGAAACAGGATCCGTGACTTGTGGCCATTGTTTTACAGTATACCACAGACTGCAGTAGAAACAGGATCCGTGACTTGTGGCCATTGTTTTACAGTATACCACAGACTACAGTAGAAACAGGATCCGTGACTTGTGGCCATTGTTTACAGACTACAGTATGGCCATTGTTTTACTACAGACTACAGTACCGTGACTTGTGGCCGTATACTACAGACTGCAGTAGAAACAGGATCCGTGACTTGTGGCCATTGTTTTACAGTATACCACAGACTGCAGTAGAAACAGGATCCGTGACTTGTGGCCATTGTTTTACAGTATACCACAGACTGCAGTAGAAACAGGATCCGTGACTTGTGGCCATTGTTTTACAGTATACCACAGACTACAGTAGAAACAGGATCCGTGACTTGTGGCCATTGTTTTACAGTATACCACAGACTACAGTAGAAACAGGATCTATGACTCATGGTGATTTTTCATTTCTGTTACATTATTCAAATCTTGAGTGGTTTTTTACATGTTTTGTAAAGAAATTTGATTTTCTCAATGAAAAAATGATAATGAATTGAAATAGTTTTGAGAAACATATTATAAATAGTGATGATTCATTGTCGGGCAGGTATAGGGTTATTACTTTACAAAAGACAGTGTTATCATTACAAGTAATACAGTATTGTAGAAAACTGATGTTTTTTATGTAGCATAGGTTGTTTGTATCCAAATTTGTCTTCTTTTTTCCAATTTGTCTTTTCGACTTGGTTACTATAGTACTGTTGATGTTATGGTACAATTCCATGTAAACACCGCCATTTAAACTGTGTTACTAACCTGCGTAAGAAGGCGACTTAAAACTAATACTCATTTCTACACTGAAAGTAGTACATGTATTGGGAAAATTTATCACAAGGAATGCAAAACAGTTAATTAAGAAAAATTATCTAGTTTTCTCATCAAAAATATCAAAAAGGTTGTACTAACAATAACTAATTTAACAGTTAATCATCCTGAAACCCCCACCACACATGGATACAGATGGATGGATAACAGTGTAAGTATGTATAATGAAGAGAGCAGAATGACGGCTCAAACCGGGATTGTGTTTTACTCCCAACCATTCAATTAGTCTCTATCTATTGTCACAGTGGTTCATACACCAGACATTTATTGATGGTGCTTATCAAAGCTATTTATTTCCAATATTGTACAGTTATTTCACATGTGGTCTAATCTAGTATTGATGAAACTTAATCCCCATGAGAGTTTTACTGGTAATGTTACATTTCTTTTGAATAAAACAACAATGTACCTGTATCCATCACAATCTACATTTTCAACCATAACATACATATTTCCAATTACTGTACTACATCCACAATTTGGGATTCAATACACAGTTACAACATCTAAGTATCAAAAAATGTGATGACCTTTGTATAAAAGACATTTCACAATTTACTCTGAAACAGATCTTAAACAAGAGGGTCCTTAACAGTGATCTGATAATTGACAGAAAGATAGACCACAGAATTTCATGATGGTGGTCTAACAAACCTGATAAATTCATACTTTGAACATTCCTACAAAGTATCAGAAACTCATAAATGTTAGGTTTTGACCATGATAAGCAGTTGTACAACCATGTTACATAATGACTACCATTTGAAGTTTACACCAGGCTAAAAAATAACAACATATCAGCTGATTTATTTACCTTAACAAATTAAACTCCAAACATTTGGCTCATTGTTGTGAATGGAACTGGAGAAGTAGTTTTACTTTTTGTTCATGGGAATTTATGTTGAATTTTGGACTAAATTTACATATAAGATTTAATAAGGACAATATTGTGATCAATTCGTGCACATTTGATATCATTGCCACTCCCTAATTTCACACCAAATTTGGGTGAAATCTACCCAGACACTATTATAAGGAGCAGCGTTCCGAAGCAAAATATCTAACATCCCCTTTTGGGACCCCGCCCCTAAGTCCCGAGGAGTCAAATGAACTTTATGAATTTAAGAGATGATCACCCACGCCTAGTAACGTTTCAGACAAAATTTGAATGAAATCCATTCAAGCATTAAGGAAGAGTACTGGTTTGATCCAAAATGTTGACTCACTTTCCCTTTTAGGGCCCTTCTCCCAGGTCCCTAGAGGTTGGCTCAACTTTTTGAATTAAGAAAAGATTACCCACTGCAATGATGTTCCTGACCAAATGTGGTGGAAATCTACCCCAGTACTAATTTGGGGTCTGCCCTTAAATCCCTAGGGGTTGAATCAACTTTCTGAGGAATTGCCCACCCCTGATGATATTTTAGACAAAATCTGAATGAAATCCATTCAAACAGTAAGAGAGAGAACTGTTTTGAATCCAGGTCCCTAGGAGTCGAATCAACACTCTTGATTTAAGAAATGTTCTTCACATTCACATATTTCACACATCTGAATCATTCTGAAATGAGGTGGAATACATTGATGTTTAAAGGGTCACATCATTATTTGACATCATTAATCATCAATGTCAGCACATGTTGCAGTCAATCATGGTAATTTGTTTACAACAATAGCTATCTGAGCTTCATATCATGATTTTTCACTTGGTATACTGCAGTTGGGTATTTGCAATTTATTAAGACTGATTATATGGAATGTTACATTATTTCTGAAATGAATTAGAATGAGGAAAAGAACAAGTGAATTCCCCTGGTGGTTTGGTGATGTTTCAGCTCGAGAATTACACTGTTGGAACAAGGTGTATTATTTTAGATACAGTGACTTTTTCGGACATGAAAGGCAATCCCCACTTCCTCATCTGATCACACAAAGAAACCATTTTTGACAAACAACATCATTAAACATGAAACTCCTTTGTAAGAAAAAAAAACAACATGAAAATGAAGATTTTTTTTCAATTTGATTACAAGGAAGCGCTATGAAAAAGTATTCCTTATTCCTTCTTGGGGCTCTGCTCCTAAGTGTCTTGGGGTTAAAAAACAACTTTCTGAATTTAAGAATTAATTGGGTATCCCTCATAACATTTCAGACATAATTTCAATAAAATCCATTCAGGCACGAAGGAAGATTAACATTTTGAAGCAAAACATTGTATTGTTTCCCCTTTCAAGGCCCTGCCACCAGATCCCTAAAATTTTAATGAACTATTTGAATTTAGAAAGTGATTCCTCACCCCTAATGGTGTTTTTGGTTGTAAGCCATCAAGGCATGAAGGAGAAGTTTAAAAGCAGAATATGGACTAACTTCTCCTTTTGGGACCCTGTCTCCAAGTCCAATGCAAGAAATGCAGTAATCCCTTACAGTATTAACATATCACATATATGTAGAAAGAATCTGTGACAAATACATGACATATACTTTTAACATACATTTGACTCATGCATATATGTATATGTATTTTAGACGTAAATGAGATTCAAATGAGCCCAAGATTTAGATATATCTCTGTGACATGAGATATATGTATATGTCAAAGATATATACATATGTTGTAGACAAACATATATGTCTTGGATGTATACACCTTTATGACTGTGACATATACATATGTCTTGGGCTGCACATAGCTCAGTTGATAAGGACCTTGGTTTATGTCAACATACGTGTAGATCCGAGGTGCTGTGTTTAATGCTTCCTACCAGTGACCAGTTTTATTTCTTAATAACCTCAGAACTTAACCAAAGGTAATTTCCTGAGAGCGGAAGTGATCAAGGGCAGGAGGTTTTATAAATATATATAAGTATGATGTAACATAATATATTTAGACACATGTTTTAGAAACAATTTGAAGATAAAAACAAGTATGATTTTCATATGATCTTATTTTATAGATTTATTTTGGAGATTACAATAACCAAATTAGTTACAATACAATTAGTTAATGAATTTGCAAAGTTCCCCACAAATGACCTCTTGACCTATACACATGTGTGGGTGAATGACAAGAAATTAACATCACTTTTTGCAGTACTACTGAAGGTGTAACCTTTTAAGTCTGTTGCTGTCATAAAAATTCATTTTGTTAAAAAAAAAAAAAGAACAAAATAATAATAGATATACCAATAAAAACAAATCATTGTTATTTAAATATCAAAGCTTAACTTATTTTCAAAGTCAATGCAATTTTGATATTTAGTTCAATTCTGACCAAGTATAAAGTATGTCTGCACTTTTGTCTTTTAAAGATATTCATTGAAGTCTTGAACTTGCCGAGTGTTGGAAAAAAAACCCTGAATTTTCATATCCATTCAAAGAGAGGACAACATTGAAGTATGAAATTCCTCTGAGAACAATTAAGTGTCATATCACACAAAAGGTTTGCTAGTGTGGAAATTGTTAGACAGAGCTATTGTTTGAAATTGATATTGATATAAAATATTTATTAAATAAACATATAAATCAAAGCATATATCATTTTATTTTTTTCCTTTTCTAAACAGACTGTCGCATTCAGGTAGTAATTATGAATTGTACTATTTTGACATCCATATTGATATATTTTATATCACCTGTTTATCCTTCATGATTTAAAAAAAGGCCATATCTGGTCACTTTATGTGGAAAAGATTTTCCAAATATTTTAAGTCCATAAATTTTTTGGACTTATTTTAATTATTTGAGAGTATAAGGGAAAGAAAACGGACAGAATGAAATTCAACATATATGTATATATCACATATACATGACCTGCACATGTACATTGTTTCCTTACAGATGTAAATGTATGTATAAATCTGCAACATATATTTCCCTTATACATATATGTCACATATATTTCCCATATATTTGTGTGTATGTTGATTCTGTAAGGGACTGCCCTTGCATCAGACCAAATCTGGCTGAAATCCATCAAGGCATGAAGGAGGTATAACAGTTTAAAAGAAAAGTTTACGAACAGTGCATAGCGGACAACGATGGACAAAACACAATAGCAATAGGTCATCTCTCAAAACAAGGAGTTGCGAGTTTGTTTTTTGACATCTTACACCAAATTTGTGATATTGGAAGCCCCTGAATATCAAATCAGCTTTGCCATGTAAACACCATAGGTTGGGGATGCAGGGATTTTGCTATCCAGAAATGGAAAATTTACTGCAGTGAAATTAAAATTATTATGATGGCTATATTGTAGGAAAGGTTGAGGCAGTGGCTGATGTAGTAAAGACAGATATTTGTTGAATTCGTCTCTTAACATGACCAAAACATTTAAGACAATTCTCCATTTGACAATGACAAATATCAACAGTAACATAATTTTCCATTATAACATTACAAATTCTGCCAGTAATTTAATGGCTGTAGTGTTCTGTATGTAATTTTACAATTAAATGAATATCTATCCACAAGATTACCATCCAGTAATGAATTTACACCCTTTTATGTCATATATTGAAACATAAAATTTTACACAGCAATAATGCAGTAACTATTTAAAACAACAGACCCATGAGGGATCTACGTGCCTACTGTTGCTTGCTCTTTATTTGTACTTTTTACTAGCTTGATGTTTTCAAATCTTTCCTAGTCTTTCTTCTGTCCTTGCTCTTGATTATATGAAATTTGAAAGTTACTCTAAGGAAAAACAGAACAAACTGCAAATCTAAAGAAATAGTAATGACAAATTCAAAATCCAAGATGACAACCCCTCAGCCATTTTGTTTCCCATATCAGTCCCAAAATCAAAAGGGCACAACTAGGGACCAAGAGGAACCTACATTAGAAATTTCATAAAGATTGTCTAGCACTTCTCCAGAAATAGCGATAACAAATTTTCATTATCAAAATTTAAGATGGCTGCCTGTCAGCCATTTTGTTTATCTAATAAGTCCTAAAATTGAAAGGGGCACTGCTAGCGTCTTAGGGGAACTTTCATATCAAATCTCAGAAAAATCCCTCATACTTCTTGAGAAAAAGCTATATAAAGATTTTTTTTATGAACAGATGATTGACGACAGATGTAGGGTGATTTGAATAGCCTACCATGTGAGGATGGTGGGCTTAAAATGAGGATTCTTGTAAACACATTGAAAAGAATTAGTAACTTAATCTAGTTGTTGAAAAATATTGTACATTTGATTGTCAAACCTACCATAAAACCACTGAAAAAACAAAATGCCCTTTGTGCTTGCAATAACTGGTCAATGAAATGGTACAGTTACAGAATTAATTTTCATTAATTTGAACAACATTTAATTTGAAGTCAAAACATTATCATAAATCTATTCCCAAGAATTTCATTATGCCAAGAATGTTAAACATTTTTAAACATACTGCATCCATTTCAAAATTAATTTCAATCAAAGTAATTGATAGGTAGCATAAGTTGATGAAATAAAGTACCATTGTGTTATAGAAGCTAGGTCATTAGGTGATAGTAATTATGTCAGGATTGTTTGTGTCCCTGTGAGGATAGATTGGATACAATAACAGTCATCCCTCTAGGTCAGGCCTTGGCAATATCAAAGTTATTGATTTTATATCTATATAACATTATATCTAAATATTTTAAAAGTAGAGCATTACGTTCAAAATTAAAACCTACACCTTCAGAAAGTCAATGGTAAAAAAAAATAAGTTGAAATGACAATCTTCTGATGTGGGACACAAAGCCTTGTCAAAGTATACACAAACACAATGCTTGGCAACTTATTTGGAAACTGATACTTTTATCTTTGAAAGGTTAAATGATCAAAGTTAGTGTACTAATGACCTATATTTGGCACACCATTACCATTACTCACTGCCCTCCAAGGCTGTAGCCTCAGACACAATATATACAGATCTTGAAGCAGTATTGAAGGTTTGCCCAAAACGGTTTCTTTTTCTTTTTTAATGAAGGCCAAAGATTAAATCTTATCCAGTAGTCACAACATCCTACTTCTGGTCTCAGATCTTTCTCAGACACAAATAGTGAGGATTTTACGTCAAGAAGTGTGAAAGATATTCCTAAATCAAAGTCAGTTATCTTCATCTGGTGCTCAATACACTTTTTTTCCTATCATATACCCATATATAAATCTTCTATGCAAAATTTTACGGATCAGAAAAATATCTCTATTCAATTTGTAAAAACAGATTCAGTTTGAAATCATGACTTAGGTAACAGTTACAACAGAATTTAAAGATGATGATTTGAAAGTCCAGTCGTATTCTGTAACTCCAGGGAATAAGGGGTGGAGCAGTATTGAGGGACAACAAAGTAAACAATGATGATAATCAAAATAACTTACTTCCACATATCAGTATACAGGTATATATAGGAAATACATTTTGGACCCTTAGGTGGTTCAAGGTCGTCAGTTTTGGCCACAATGGAGGGAAGTCCAAACATAACAGTGTACTTTGTCATGAAGAATTGACCGCTACAATATCCAATACCAGCCATTGTCCATAAATTGATCTCTTGCATTATAGTTGAGTTGTGCTGTAGAGCATTGAAGTAGAAGTAATGAAGGCATAATTCATTGATGAAGGCCCAAAATAATAGACGAAAGAAGTCTGTACAAAGGGAGGTAACCCTTGTCCAAGTCCATGACTTCCTCTGTTGGCATATCTAGGAAATAAATAAAAGCAAATTTAAACTGGGGTTGATGAATGAAGTATTGAGCCATGCTACCTTTCTGAAAGTATTGAAACAAATAAAATCATACCAACAGAGATCAAAGATATTCTAAAATCATTGGAGTATTTCTGTTCAAAAATTTTCTGAAAGTCATTGTTTTTGAAATTATATTAATAACTCACTATTCAATCCATATTGATATTGGCTACATAGCCTTCCATTCTTACCTGAGAGGAGAACACACCATAAGACATGATTGGTCCTGTGAAAAACAGTGGAAAGTAGAATACATAAAACACCATATCTACTGGTCCATATCTTAATGTTATGTGTGATTTCTCATGTTCTCCAATCAGATCTGTGTTATTGGTATCTGTCTGTGTATTTGACCTTTTGACCTTCTCAAGGCAGAAACTGGTGTATCTAAGCTGCAGCAGGGCCAGGGTGAACATTAATAGGTAGATCTTGTAGCCATCTATATCATGAGTATTTAATGCTTTCTGGAAATAGATACAAAAGCACTTGAGAGTGAAACAATATAGAACTATTAAAAGCTTTGTATCATCGTCTTAGACCTATAAAAATACTGGATGTCATATCTTATAACATGCTTGTACGTTTATTTTCTAAACAACTGAACCTAAAAGGAAGAATACATGCAGAAAAAAGTTCTGAAAGCTTGAAAACATTTCATTGTGGAAGATGTTTTACATTTTTTTGACTGGATATAAATAAATTTAACCATACAATATCATAAAATATGAATGAATTGAATAAACCCATTTAATCCCATTAAAGATGTGTGTTGTTGGTTTAGTGTGAAGAAATTATTCAGTCCATTTAACAGCTTGCCAGACATCCTAGATACTCCATGGGCTATGCTCCTTATTGCTCTCTGTACAACTGGAACATTTCAAGGTAGAACTGAAGGTTCCATCTGTGACATCTTCTGGATAATTGAGAAGATCAGTTTAATCCTTTGACGTACATCAATTTTATGGCCTCATAACCGTGTGTTGTACTGGCTTTGAATTTGGGTGTTGCTCCTTTGTAATCTTCAAAAGGAGCATATCAGTCTATGATTGGTCAGTTTTTTCTCCTGAAACCTGCTCTAGACCAATCAAACTACTTTGATTGTGCCCTCAGTTTTGTAAGGAAATGTTCCAGGGATGCAGAGAGTGATAGTGAGTGTTACCCCTGGAGTGTCGAGGATGCTGGCCAGGATGACACCTACAGATGCACAGCATCTAAAAGGGGATTTTGACTATTAGTTTCCTTGAAACAAGAAGAGATCCCAGAAAGATCTTGGCACCCACTAATGCATCATCATTATTGATTCTATGTAAGACTGATATTTTCTCTACTTTTCCTTTTAATATTTTGTAGGACTTTCTGAGAATTAGCAACAACAAATTTCAACCTTCAAAATCAAGATGGTCTCCCTTCAGTCACTTTATTTCACTGATCTGACTAAAAATTTAACGGGTACAACTAGGGACCATGGGAATTATGCATATCAACTTTGAGAATAATAGCCAAACATGTGACCATGGAACGTCCCACCATTTTGGTGTAATTCTGTAGAATGGAAGAAACATGACTATGAAGCATGTGAATAAAAAATTATCATGTAATCTGTACTTACCATCCAAGAAACAAATGGTTCAAAGTTGAGTGTAGAGAGCAGCGTGATGGAGACAGTCCACACAGCTGTAGTGGACTGGAGGAGTGAAGTGAGATACAGCAATGCACAGTGTCCTAGGAACAATGAGATAACCGGCCATCCCATCAGAAATGTCAGACTTCCCAGGGAAAACGCCGTCAACACCAACTTCTTGTACTATGGAGGTAGAACTACCGACAATAAGTCAATCCATTTCTATCACTGTTTAGTTAGTACAAACAGATGCTCTCTCATTGTCCTGCAATAAGCCCACCCCAAGACTTAAAAAGTCATACAGTGTATTGGTCCCCTGGGCCATATGGCATGTATCCTTTATACTCATAATTAAAAATTATCTTTGATTCCTGCATATACTTAAAGTTCAATTATCTTTCCAGATATTCATTAAATTGTGAATAAAGTGTAGCATAAGCACTCTTGATAAGCTTTAACAGTCAAACTAGCTAACTTTATAAACTGAAGTGAATTGTACAACATAAACTTCAGCACACTTACATGTAGAAAGTTCCAGTCACAGATTTTTGCTAAGGCCATATGTCCTACATACCAAGGACTAACTCTCCAGAAATAGCTATAGAAAAAATGCCACTCATAATTTGAAATGTCCTACAAGAGATGAAAGCAAAATATGACAGGTTATTTGATCATCAATGATTTAGATACAAAAATGTATACCCTATATAAAACACTGCAACAAAACATAAACAGTTTCTTCAGTTAACAAAGATGAATTTACTTGAATGGTTAACCATTTACAGAAATCTACCTCTATTTGATAGCCCTAATGACCTTTTATGTGTTGACATTAAGAATGTTATAATAATAATAATAATAATACTAATACCTCTATTTAATTGACTTATGAAAATACAAGTATAAATTCTTTTGATTAAGTTTGTATGTTTATCCTGTAATTCATAAAATGATAAGGATATGATATCAATAAAACACAACAATTGAAGCAGCAAGGTTGGTTAAAAAAAACAAAGCTGTTTCGCAAACAAGTGTATCAGAGAAACTGAGGAACGGTCCCAAAAAACAATTTCATTGGACACAAAAATTTAACAAAGGGCAATAATTCTGATATTAAGGAGTTGCAGATCATAAATTTGGTATATTGCCCATTTTCTTAGTATAATCAATGTATACACCAACTTTCGTGATCCTAGTTTTAATGCAAGCAAAGCTAAGCTCATGACACAAAATTTTATCAAAGGGCAATAACTCTGTAACTGAGGGGTCATTGGCCTTGACATTGCTACACTGCAGCTTTTTTTCAGTATGACTGATGTATACTTAAATGCAGGAAAAGTAATGCCATGCACACAAAATTTTGATGAAGGTCAAGAAGTCTGTAATTAAGGGCATGCGGGCCCTAGCATTGGTGCACTGCACATTGTCTTAGCATGACCAGTGTATACACCAAGTTTCATTATCCTAGTTTCAAAGCAAGTAAACTTATGCTCTGAACACAAAATTCTAGCAAAGGGCAGTAACTCTGTAAGTTAGGGGTTGAGGGCTCTGAATTTGGTACACTGCACATCGTCTCAATATGACCAATGTATATACCAAGTTTCATGATCCTTGCTGAACTATGGGCAAAGTTTTGCTCCAGACACCAAAGGACAGATGGACAGACTGACGAATGGATATGGCAGTGAATATATGTTTCTCCCAAAATTTGCGGGAAGCATAAAAATGTACTTATCAGTTGCAATTAGTATAACAAAATTAAGACTATAAAGTGTACCTTATCTCTTCCAATAATTTTCCATCCATCCTCAAAATCAAACATGTTCAGTAGCCCGTCATGTTCTGAAAAAACACAGTTTAATATTAATAACTAAAGTACCAAATCAATAAAGTATTGGGACAGTTTAGATACTGATCAGTAAATCATACTGATCTCTTTCTAGGGCACTTATCAGTGTCTTAGCTGGCCACTGCCTAGGACACTGGGGTCAGTCTTATACACTTCACAGTCAAAGATACTGGTCAGTAACTTATACTTGTCATTTTCTGGGATATTGGTAAGTACTATACCGGTCATTGTTTGGCATACTGATCAGTCTATCATACTGGTCACTGCAAGGGTACTGACAAGTCTAATACACAGGTCACTGACTAAGATATTTGTCAGTCTATTATACAGAAGGTAGAGCCAAGGATACTTGTAGGTCTATTATATTGGTCACTGTCAAGGATAATGTTCAATCAATTATAATAGTAACTGCCTAAGATATGGTCAGACTATCGCACTGGTCACTGCAAGGGTACTGGTCAGTTTATAACATGACCACTGCCTAGGAAATTGGTCAGTCTATTATATTAGACACAGAACAGGATAGTGGTCAGTCTAATATACAGGGCACTATTTAGGATACTGATCAGTCCATCACACTGATCACAGCCTAGGTTACTCAGCATTGTTAATACTGGACAGTCAGTCCATTATATTGGTCACAACCTAAGTCACTCAACTGTCTATTATACTGGTCACAACCTAAGTCACTCAACTGTCTATTATATTGGTCATATCCTAGTCACTCAACTGTCTATTATATTGGTCACAGCCTAAGTCTATTATATTGGTCACAACCTAAGTCACTCAACAGTCCATGTTATTGGTCACAACCTAAGTCACTAAACAGTCTATTATATTGGTCACAGCCTAAGTCACTCAACTATCTATTATATTGGTCACAACCTAAGTCACTCAACTGTCTATTGTATTGGTCACAACCTAAGTCACTCAACTGTCTATTATATTGGTCACAACCTAAGTCACTCAACTGTCTATTATATTGGTCATATCCTAGGTTGTTCAACTGTCTATTATATTGGTCACATCCTAGGTTGTTCAACTGTCTATTATAATGGTCACAGCCTAGGACAGTCAGTCTACTGCACAGGTCACACCTTAAGTTACCCAACTGTTTAATATACTTCTCATTGCCAGAGATATGATCAAACTTTCATTTTTGTCACTGTAAGGGTACTGGTCAGTCTATTACACTGGTCACTACCTAGGATATTGTTTAGTCATTGGAAATCCAATGCGTCCTCTCATTTGAGAAAAAAAAAATTAGAGAAATTTTACCACAAATTTGTATATTCACCAAGACTGACTAAGACATGTTTGTTATGCATTGAAGTTGAATCACATACATGTTATGCAAAGATCTTTTAAGCTAATTCTTGCTGATTTAGTGACTTATTTTGCTGTCGCATAGTGTCTGACTAACTGAAATCTGACAATTTGACAATGTTTGATGAAGTTTGGCAGTTATAGGGCATGATGTAGAGTAAATCATATACCAAATTATAGAAAAAAATATTTATCTGTTGATTCAGACTACTCCCAGCATGATATATTGAATGCTTTAGTGTCCATTAGAAGTTTCATGAAATTGGGTGGTTTCGCTTGCTAGGCCAATACAAACTTTGTTATTAGTATATGCATCATGAGTGCATTGACAAATCTATGTGACTGGTACCTGTAAGACACTCCCAGCCTGATTAGACTGGTCACAGATACTAACCTACTGATGCCCAGTACACACAAGCACAAATGTAGATCACCACACCAACATGTACAACTAGGTATAAGCTCAGCTCCCATGTTGGCAGAGCAGGTATTCCACTAAAGTCAATTTTGCATGGTTCCTTGGTCCCCTTCTTCTTCTTTCCCATACTGGTGTTCAATTTGCTAAAGACTTCTCAAGTGTTTGTTGTTCAGCTTTTATTTCACTGCAAATATGACAAGAACTATTATACATCTGCATTACAATGTGCAATGATTCTACTGTGGCAATGTTACATGTATATGCCTTCTACAATGTATACATATACGTACCTGTGTACAGTGTAGTATGCACATGCATTTTCCCTGTACAACACCTTTACGGCTTAGGTCTACATCAATTTAACACAGCGGACAACATGTTCATTATATGATACATTACAGTACATGTATACTGATGTATTGACAGACAATGCTATTACTTCTGAGTGTACTTATGCCTGGTTATTGGCCTCTCCGTCGACGAATTCGAATGAAATGAGGTCACATTGGCATTTCTGATAATAGTTGATTTTAGAATGATTACTTACACAGCATGATGCTGAATTACTGACGTTTGTTTCCGCTACACGTACCGTAGACTATGTGAATCAACTGCCTACACTTCAAATCATGGATCCATGTACCCTGCACAGTGGAACAGTTGCACATGTGCCCATTTGACCACGGTCTCAATGTGGGGATTCACCCCTCGGTTCTACACGATGTCATGTCGTTCGGTTGTAACACACCAGTTAAATCGAGCATGCAGATGAAAATATTGCGAACAGGAATGCCTTGTCTTATGAAATAGCTCCCATACCAATAGCGAAATATAACACCGTTAATATTGAACACATGCAATTGCGAAACACAAAAGAGTTCCAACACATTATTTTTATATAAATAAAACGCGGAGGACGGATTGAAAAAACGAAAACCGTTTACGGATTAAAATTGAAACAGATTTGAAATGGCTGAAATATAGAGAATACAAGATCAATGTCTTGAAACAATTTTGACAATGAAATACATCAATTTTGAAAAAAATCTTAAATAGACTGGTTTATTACAACAAATAAAATTGTTAGTTATTCCCAAATGTATGTAATTATATAAGTAATGTGCATGCTACAATACACCTGTATTTTGCCACTGCCTAATAAAGTAAAACTATATGTTGTTTAGCTGATGAGCCGTTTCTGACATAAAATAAACCGGTAACAGCAAAAATAACTTTCATCGTGATAAAAATCTGGTATCACTGAATGGTTGAGACAGCATTGTTTGTAGGTACCACAGGAAACATAAAACAGCTACACGAGGAACTACAACAGACTTTCTAACACTGGATCTACCACAGGAACTATTAACAACTACATGAGGAACTACAACAGACTTTACAACACTCGATCTATCACAGGAACTATCAACAACTACATAAGGAACTACAACAGACTTTCCAACACTTGATCTATCACAGGAACTATCAACAACTACATAAGGAACTACAACAGACTTTCCAACACTTGATCTATCACAGGAACTATCAACAACTACATAAGGAACTACAACAGACTTTCCAACACTGGATCTACCACAGGAACTATCAACAACTACATAAGGAACTACAACAGACTTTCCAACACTTGATCTATCACAGGAACTATCAACAACTACATAAGGAACTACAACAGACTTTCCAACACTTGATCTATCACAGGAACTATCGACAACTACATAAGGAACTACAACAGACTTTCCAACACTCGATCTACCACAGGAACTATCAACAACTACATAAGGAACTACAACAGACTTTACAACACTTGATGTATCACAGGAACTATCGACAACTACATAAGGAACTACAACAGACTTTCCAACACTCAATCTATCACAGGAACTATCAACAACTACATAACGAACTACAACAGACTTTACAACACTCGATCTATCACAGGAACTATCGACAACTACATAAGGAACTACAACAGACTTTCCAACACTTGATGTATCACAGGAACTATCGACAACTACATAAGGAACTACAACAGACTTTCCAACACTTGATCTATCACAGGAACTATCGACAACTACATAAGGAACTACAACAGACTTTCCAACACTTGATCTATCACAGGAACTATCGACAACTACATAAGGAACTACAACAGACTTTCCAACACTGGATCTACCACAGGAACTATCAACAACTACATGAGGAACTACAACAGACTTTACAACACTCGATCTATCACAGGAACTATCGACAACTACACAAGGAACTACAACAGACTTTACAACACTTGATGTATCACAGGAACTATCAACAACTTCATAAGGAACTACAACAGACTTTCCAACACTCGATCTACCACAGAAACTATCAACAACTACATAAGGGACTAAAACAGACTTTCCAACACTCGATCTATCACAGGAACTATCAACAACTACATAAGGAACTACAACAGATTTTATTATCACAGGAATGTTACTTTTTGTATGTATTACAGGAACCTCCATCATTCACAGGATAATAAAGGTTACTCGATCTACCACAGGAAATCAACAACTACATAAGGAACTACAACAGACTTTATCAAACATTGGATCTACCACAGGAACTATTAACAACTACATAAGGAACTACAACAGACTTTCCAACACTTGATCTATCACAGGAACTATCAACAACTACATAAGGAACTACAACAGACTTTCCAACACTGGATCTACCACAGGAACTATCAACAACTACATAAGGAACTACAACAGACTTTCCAACACTGGATCTACCACAGGAACTATCAACAACTACATAAGGAACTACAACAGACTTTCCAACACTTGATCTATCACAGGAACTATCAACAACTACATGAGGAACTACAACAGACTTTCCAACACTTGATGTATCACAGGAACTATCGACAACTACATAAGGAACTACAACAGACTTTCCATCACTCAATCTATCACAGGAACTATCAGCAACTACATAACGAACTACAACAGACTTTCCAACACTCGATCTATCACAGGAACTATCGACAACTACATAAGGAACTACAACAGACTTTACAACACTTGATCTATCACAGGAACTATCGACAACTACATAAGGAACTACAACAGACTTTACAACACTGGATCTACCACAGGAACTATCGACAACTACATAAGGAACTACAACAGACTTTCCAACACTTGATCTATCACAGGAACTATCGACAACTACATAAGGAACTACAACAGACTTTACAACACTCGATCTACCACAGGAACTATCGACAACTACATAAGGAACTACAACAGACTTTACAACACTGGATCTACCACAGGAACTATCGACAACTACATAAGGAACTACAACAGACTTTACAACACTTGATCTATCACAGGAACTATCGACAACTACATGAGGAACTCCAACAGATTTACAACACTCGATCTATCACAGGAACTATCGACAACTACAGGTCTTTGCGAGTCATGGTTGTTCTCAGGTAAATCATTTATTTCTACATAGTTGGCCTCCATTACCACTGAATGGTTGTTGGATTGTAATTATTTTCAACAAGAATGCAATCTGGTGACAGAAAAATTGAATGACACCCATTTTCTCTTGTTATGAATTATTCTTTTACATGAAAGGCAATTAACACACAAAAATGTAGACCTGTTGATATTATTTTCATTTTTTTTTTTTGGTGGAATGATCTTTCAAATTACAATGGCACACCATTTTAAACCAACTGTGCCCATCTCTTAGCCAATTTGTTTTTGTTTTCATAAAAGGCCAAACTAATTGAAAAGCTTATCTAAACAGGCAACAAAGTTTTTATCAAATTCTTCCATCTAGATTTAAGATAAATTGACCTGTCTATTTTCATGTACCCTGCAGAACTTAAAATGAAGGACACACCAGACTTTCCTTCATCAGCTCCTTATCCCAATGTTCATGTACACTGTAATCGTTCCATTCCACTTTCCACCATAATGTATGATAGATATAATGAGTGCCATTTCTCTACAACGAGTTTTCCGTTTCCCCAACATGTAGTGTTTACACATTACAAATGATTCAGTATTCCTGAGTGTGTCCAAATATCACCATTTTGACAGCTGATGGAAGATACAGTTTGACGATGACTATGGGGAAGCTTTATGAATGCTATCATGGTATTGTATGAAAATTCTTGTGGAATATGAACTTATAAGGATGCCTTCTGGCTATTAATCTGGTTCTTCCTTGAAAACTTGTCATTACTTGACTTCTACATGTTGGAAGTTGTCAATGAAGCAGATGACACATTACTACCCTAGACTACATCTGGTCTTAAATCTAACAACACTGAGTTTGACTAATGAAGGTATTGTTGACATGTCGGTATTGTTGACATGTCGGTATTGTTGACATGTTGGAATTGTTGACATGTTGGAATTGTTGACATGTTGGAATCGTTGACATGTCGGAATCGTTGACATGTCGGTATTGTTGACATGATGGAATTGTTGACATGTCGGAATTGTTGACATGTCAGAATTGTTGACATGTCTGTATTGTTGACATGTCGGAATTGTTGACATGTCTGTATTGTTGACATGTCGTTATTGTTGACATGTTGGAATTGTTGACATGTCGGTATTGTTGACATGTTGGAATTGTTGACATGTCGGTATTGTTGACATGTTTTTTGTTTCCTTTTTGTTTCAGATATGTTCTTTAGACCAAATACATTACCTTTTTAACAGAGTGACAGCCGAACAGGGTAAAAACAAAGAAAAGAAAAATAAAACTGTTTAAAAAAATAGTTTTATTGTTACCAAATAAATTACAATACACAATAAGACATAATATAGAAATGATCCCTCAGTATTCACATCAACAGAAAACATTTCTTTATATAGTACCACTTACTTGTAATATCAGACCCAATAATCAACAACAATCAAATAACTGAATTTTGATCTTGAGATACATATGTAACTGAAACATTTTCCAATGTGACATTGTTGTCTACAAACTTTTGTTCATATTTCAAAGAGATCTGTTGAGGTTATTCCTTATGATATATTCAGATTTCCCTGATGCAGAAATTATATAATGATACCTCTTTATTTACGGCCATATTCTTCCTTTTAATATCTGATTGTTAAGTACACCTGTACAAATATATTAAATTGCATCCACACCTTGTCTTAGTGAATAAACTTTGTACATTTGCGTGGCTTGTCACATGTTGCTAAACATTCAGAATCATGTAATCCATCATAACTTTGAGAATTTGGGCATTTTCTTCTCCATTCCTGCCATTACAGCCTTCATAATATCTTCACTCTGTAACATCCCCTGGTTCCACACGGCCTACAAATGATCAATTAGTCATCAACACTTAGACCTATGTCATGTATAAGTGGCTTTTATTGTTAATTGTTTGGATAATTATCATATCCTATTAAATTCTACTTGGCACTGGCATATTTTTTGTCAGGTATTAATCCTTGCCATTACCAATGAAAAACATGCATATCCAACAACTGGGTACTTTAGCACCATCTGTAAGTTCCTAGAACCAGTGTTTTTGTCATATCTATTAAAACTGTAAATGTCTTGAGAGATGTAGTCCATACAGAAACTAAAAACTTCCACTGAAATTGATTTAGTTTCACTTTAAATTTCCCATGGAGAAATACAGCTCAGACATTTCATTCTCAGGAATTTGTTTTCATGGTAGTATGTATTGTTATTGACATTATGTCACCATGATAAAATAAAGTTTTGTGAAGAGAGATTTCTGAATTTGGTAACTTACATTTTGTTGCTACATTCAAAGCATATGTTAAACTATGTAAATAAGACACTTTAACAAATCCTGACTGCTGTGGTGACAGGCCTTGTTTGCTACATACCACATGTTCTAGTCCTTCCCTGACAGAGTGATCACGGGAAAACACCATGGACACCTTGCTGCCTTGGACAGCAACAGGACTCTTACTTGCAATGAGCTCTGCTATTTCCATTGATCCTGCAATCATTGACTCTTTGTCTGGAAAGATGCGGCTGTCAAAAAGACAGAAATTATTCACTCACCAATCAGCACATACTCCAGATACATCTAAAGAATTCTTTTTTAGAGTTGTAAATATATAGGGAATGAATCTAAAATATGAAATTATTTCCATTTTAGTTTCAATATTTGATCATAGCTCACATAAAACACTCCAGATATTTACCTGATAAAGCCCATCTCCTTGGCTTCATCACTGTAGAATCTCCGTGCTGTGTATGTGAGCTCTCGTACTAAACTGTCATTTCCGACAATTTTAGGAAACCTTTGAAGAGTTCCAACATCAGCAGCTAGTCCAATGTCAACTTCCTGTGTTAGAAATATCACATACACAAATCAATAACACTTCATCAGTGATTAGGCAAAGTTGACATAAAGCATTAAAGCCTGTACTAGAATTGTTTGAGGTGATAGGAAAAAATACAATTTTGAAAGAGGAAGTTTACCTTTATTTGGAAAAATGAATCCTGTGTGGCATATCTGATGTCACAGGCTGATGTCATATCTATACCTCCTCCAATACAGGCATTGTGTATAGCTGCTATCACAGGCTTAGTACACTGAAACAAACAACAAGGAATACATCCAGCTCTATATCATATCACTTATCACTGCTATCATAGACTTAGTACTCAGAAACACACAGCAACATCCAACTCTATGTCATATCAATTATCACTGCCATCACAGGCTTAGTACTCTGAAACATACAGGGAAGGACATATAAAAATCTTTATCACACCACTAGGGCAACAATTAAAATCATCTTGGTTTGCTGTAACCCGACCAAGAGGTGTTCAATGAGAGTAAGTAGGAAGGGACCAGAATTTTTTTATAATTATTTTACTGAAACCTTTAGTAGAACTCTTCCTGAAAGTTTTACCTTGGGGCACTGGACTGTTTCTCCATATATATTGCTTGTGCCAATACAGTAGTTTCAAAACAAGCAAGAAGACAGCAATGAAGGTAAATAATCATCGGTGAGTATAAATTTATTACAACAATCAGACTGATTTGGACACAAATTAAATATGTTATCCACATGGCAGAATGACATCAAACATGTCATGACAAAAAGAAAGAATTACAAATAATAAAAATACAATGAAAGATCCAAGTTCAATTGTTATGCTTTATGCAGTATGTTTTCCGGTGTGAGTTTGATCGGAGAATTTTTGGAGCAGAAAGTTCCACATATATCACAACTGCCATTTATTCCTTCCATCCAGAGAGATCAACTTGTACTTTTTTCCTTTGCATAAAAATTTCAAAAAGAGTTATATCCCCTGGACCACTAACCCTAACCCTGCACAATGCTGTACTCAAATTGATACACACACCAAATTTCATGATTCTTGCTTAACTAAGGGCAAAGTTTTGCTTTGCTCGAAAACTTTCAAGGAGTATGAAAAAAATGTCCCATATCAGACAAACCTTTTCTATGACTGTGAATGTTTCCTGATAATCAGCAATAGTACCACGGATAGCAAAAGCTTTTCTGGCGGGATCCATGTCGGACTGCATGATAGCTACTGAATCTATGTCCATGAGGTCCAAGCCTATAAGGTATAAATTAAGATTCTTGTCCTAATCATATGAGTGACTATGAATGCATCACCTCCCTCTTTTTGGGAAAATAAACCTACAAATACATTGTCATTTCAAGGTAGAATGTATGCTTTCAAATATCCAGTTTATTAAAAAGGGATGTGTTCAGTTTCTTGATACTAGAAAGTGGTTTACCTGAGTTATTTAATTCTAGTTATCTATGTAACACCATTAATATGATATGCATGCTGTGATCCTTGGTTAAGTGGTTCCCTAAATGCGACTTACCTGTCGTGGATATATTCTGTCAGACCCATCCCAGGTGTGATTTATCTGTTGTGAATGCCTTTTATCAGCCCCTCCCAGGGTGTGACTTACATGTACCTGTCGTGAATACCTTTTGTCAATCCCTCCCTATGTGTGACTTACCGATTGTGAATACTACGTTTCAGTCCCTCCCTAGGTGAGGTGTACCTACAGTGAATATCTTGTGTTAGTTTCTCTCTGGGTGTAACTTATCTACATTGAATACCTTGTGTTAGTCCTTCTTTGGGTGTAACTTACATGTATCTACATACATTGAATACCTTGTCTAAGTCCCTCTCTGGAGGTGACTTATCTACAATAAATACCTTGTGTCTGTCTCTCCCTGGGTGTAACTTACCTGCTGTGAATACCTTGTGTCAGTCTCTCCCTGGGTGTAACTTACCTGCTGTGAATACCTTGTGTCTGTCCCTCCCTGGGTGTAACTTACCTGCAGTGAATACCTTGTGTCTGTCCCTCCCTGGGTGTAACTTACCTGCTGTGAATACCTAGTGTCAGTCCCTCCCTGGGTGTAACTTACCTGCTGTGAATACCTTGTGTCAGTCCCTCCCTGGGTGTAACTTACCTGCTGTGAATACCTTGTGTCAGTCCCTCCCTGGGTGTAACTTACCTGCTGTGAATACCTTGTGTCAGTCCCTCCCTGGTTGTAACTTACCTGCTGTGAATACCTTGTGTCAGTCCCTCCCTGGGTGTAACTTACCTGCTGTGAATACCTTGTGTCTGTCCCTCCCTGGGTGTAACTTACCTGCTGTGAATACCTTGTGTCTGTCCCTCCCTGGGTGTAACTTACCTGCTGTGAATACCTTGTGTCTGTCCCTCCCTGGGTGTAACTTACCTGCTGTGAATACCTTGTGTCAGTCCCTCCCTGGGTGTAACTTACCTGCTGTGAATACATTGTGTCTGTCCCTCCCTGGGTGTAATTTACCTGCTGTGAATACCTTGTGACTGTCACTCCCTGGGTGTAACTTACCTGCTGTGAATACCTTGTGTCAGTCCCTCCCTGGGTGTAACTTACCTGCTGTGAATACCTTGTGTCAGTCCCTCCCTGGGTGTAACTTACCTGCTGTGAATACCTTGTGTCAGTCCCTCCCTGGGTGTAACTTACCTGCTGTGAATACCACGGGTAAGTGCGTTCCCTGGTGTGTAACTTACCTGCTGTGAATACCTTGTGTCAGTCCCTCCCTGGGTGTAACTTACCTGCTGTGAATACCTTGTGTCAGTCCCTCCCTGGGTGTAACTTACCTGCTGTGAATACCTTGTGTCAGTCCCTCCCTGGGTGTAACTTACCTGCTGTGAATACCTTGTGTCAGTCCCTCCCTGGGTGTAACTTACCTGCTGTGAATACCTTGTGTCTGTCCCTCCCTGGGTGTAACTTACCTGCTGTGAATACCTTGTGTCTGTCCCTCCCTGGGTGTAACTTACCTGCTGTGAATACCTTGTGTCTGTCCCTCCCTGGGTGTAACTTACCTGCTGTGAATACCTTGTGTCAGTCCCTCCCTGGGTGTAACTTACCTGCTGTGAATACCTTGTGTCTGTCCCTCCCTGGGTGTAACTTACCTGCTGTGAATACCTTGTGTCTGTCCCTCCCTGGGTGTAACTTACCTGCTGTGAATACCTTGTGTCAGTCCCTCCCTGGGTGTAACTTACCTGCTGTGAATACCTTGTGTCAGTCCCTCCCTGGGTGTAACTTACCTGCTGTGAATACCTTGTGTCAGTCCCTCCCTGGGTGTAACTTACCTGCTGTGAATACCTTGTGTCTGTCCCTCCCTGGGTGTAACTTACCTGCTGTGAATACCTTGTGTCAGTCCCTCCCTGGGTGTAACTTACCTGCTGTGAATACCTTGTGTCAGTCCCTCCCTGGGTGTAACTTACCTGCTGTGAATACCTTGTGTCTGTCCCTCCCTGGGTGTAACTTACCTGCTGTGAATACCTTGTGTCTGTCCCTCCCTGGGTGTAACTTACCTGCTGTGAATACCTTGTGTCTGTCCCTCCCTGGGTGTAACTTACCTGCTGTGAATACCTTGTGTCTGTCCCTCCCTGGGTGTAACTTACCTGCTGTGAATACCTTGTGTCTGTCCCTCCCTGGGTGTAACTTACCTGCTGTGAATACCTTGTGTCAGTCCCTCCCTGGGTGTAACTTACCTGCTGTGAATACCTTGTGTCTGTCCCTCCCTGGGTGTAACTTACCTGCTGTGAATACCTTGTGTCAGTCCCTCCCTGGGTGTAACTTACCTGCTGTGAATACCTTGTGTCAGTCCCTCCCTGGGTGTAACTTACCTGCTGTGAATACCTTGTGTCAGTCCCTCCCTGGGTGTAACTTACCTGCTGTGAATACCTTGTGTCTGTCCCTCCCTGGGTGTAACTTACCTGCTGTGAATACCTTGTGTCTGTCCCTCCCTGGGTGTAACTTACCTGCTGTGAATACCTTGTGTCTGTCCCTCCCTGGGTGTAACTTACCTGCTGTGAATACCTTGTGTCTGGGTGTCTGTGAATACCTCCCTGGGTGTAACTTACCTGCTGTGAATACCTTGTGTCAGTCCCTCCCTGGGTGTAACTTACCTGCTGTGAATACCTTGTGTCTGTCCCTCCCTGGGTGTAACTTACCTGCTGTGAATACCTTGTGTCTGTCCCTCCCTGGGTGTAACTTACCTGCTGTGAATACCTTGTGTCAGTCCCTCCCTGGGTGTAACTTACCTGCTGTGAATACCTTGTGTCAGTCCCTCCCTGGGTGTAACTTACCTGCTGTGAATACCTTGTGTCAGTCCCTCCCTGGGTGTAACTTACCTGCTGTGAATACCTTGTGTCAGTCCCTCCCTGGGTGTAACTTACCTGCTGTGAATACCTTTCCAGCTCCTGACAGAACAATAACTCTACAATCACTGTCAGCATTCAGCTGTTGGAAACATGTTCTCATCTCACTAGAATTTAAATTAATTCATATCAAAATGAGCAGATGTTGATGATGAAAGAAATGCAGGTATTGTTACAATAGATAACAAACAAAAATTAGGTTTGTCTACTCAAACTCAGCAGAATTTCCATCCGAAGTAAAATAGAGCCTACTCAAAATATTTTATTTGCATTTTGCTTTGTAGTTTTACCTCATTTCAAATACATATTATAATCAAAACTACTTCGACTCAAAACAGCTCACTGGTTTAACTGACATAATTTGAAAAAGTTTTAGAAGGAAAAAAGACACACAGAGAAAAGTAAAGGAACATTTAACACCTGTTATCCCACCTAATGCTGTGTAGTTAAATCATTTGAGTTTTGTTTGGCGAAACAAACTTTATATAATTTTATCCTAAAACAGCAATGTTTTTTTAATTAAATTAAATCAAACTTTCTTTGGGGTTGGTTGCAACGTGATATTGTGTTTGCTGAAAAAAATCAATCCTTTATCTTCTAAAATGAATTCATACCTCCAGAATGCCTTGTTCATGGCATTCAACTTTTTCGGTCTGTTCATTTCCACCTGTGTAACAAACTCCTTTGGCTGGGTAATCTTGAGGGTCTCAAAGTTATACTTGGAAGTAGTATCAGCAGACATATTCCTGGCTGATCCCACAAGGAGAGGTTTCAAAGCTGATCTTAATATTCCTAGATGAAGAATTTAAAGGTAAAAGGTTAATAGAGAACATTTTGAACTTATCACTGTACTGCTGAACCAGGAAAGCAGTGTGGTCCTTAATTTATCCCCCTTGTCATCAGACACAGACTTACCACACAAATAACCACTTCGCAAGGGTGTAAGCAGAGAACACTACTAGGTCAACACCGCTGAATATATGACTAATAAAAAAGCAGACCAGTTCTCTGCATTTATCAAGGGCAAGGATTGCGTCCACTATATAAAAAAGTGGCAGTTTATCTCGATGCATGACACCATAAGCATGCAATTTCATTAAAATGGGGTTTTAAGAATAGCATAATACATCTCAACAGACTTTGGTCGTCAGTTATGGACATATATACATACATTTATATGTATACATGTAGGTCCATCTACATTTAAGTGGAGAACAGTAAGCTTTTCTCAAGACTCCTTATATCATTTAAATGGTCTAAAATACAATCTTGAAAACATTTATCCTGAATCCAATATCCCTGTATATTGATAAAACAAATATCGATACCTTTCTAGTAAAATTACGACACTACAAAAAGTATACATGTACAATATCCCAGATGTCACGTGATGTAAACCGTATGAAAATCTAGACATGTATGTAAACTTTTAAGTATCTTGAACATAAATAATCTGAGGGCAGAGTTGAGATCGTGTATTTTAATTTATAGTCGATCAGTGATAACATTTAAATCGGCATCAAGGTTCGTATACCTGAATCGAAGAAGCGATAGCAGCAACAGACCTCTGTCGTGAAAATTTTAACTTCAGTTCAAGTACAAAGTTCACACACGTAACTGATAACAGAACTAACTGACACAGTCTTTTTCGTTTTGCCGGCGATTACCTCGAGATGAGTTTTTCATAAGCTGGGCAACTATCTTCATGTTTCTTGGTTTATCATCAACAAGGCTGTATGTCTAACAGGTTTTAGGCTGCTTCAGCGTACGTACTGTAGAATCCACAAAGTACGGTAAGTTTAGAGGTATTCCGAAAGTAAGTAACAAACTTTCGCTTTGTCCTGTCCAATCAAAACAAGTTTTACATTGCACTTTCGGAACCCGTATTAAGGTGAAGTAAACATGTCTTCGCCATCGTGGTTTTGGTGGAGTGTTGTAGGAGGTGGAATTTCTGCTGTAGCCCTTTGTATTCTCAAAAGATGTACTCGAACGGCCATTAAATGTACCAGCTTACGTTTGATGTCAGGTAAAACGGTCCTAATAACGGGGGCAAACTGTGGACTCGGGAAAGCGACAGCATTGGAGCTAGCTAAACGTGACGCGAGAGTAATTATGGCTTGTCGAGATTTGGTGAAAGCGAAACAGGCTATGGATGACATACGCCAAGTGACAACGATGGGAGAACTGCATATTGCCAAACTCGATCTTTCATCTATGTCGTCTGTTAAACAGTTTTGTGAGAATATCAACGCTCAGGAGAGCAGACTGGACGTGTTGATAAATAACGCGGCTGTTATGGCACATCCTTTCGCTATAACTGAAGATGGTTTAGAGATAAACATGGCTGTCAATCACTTCGGAAATTTTCTGTTGACAAACCTTCTGTTGGACCTATTGAAAAAATCAAGTCCGAGTCGAATTGTCTTTGTATCATCTAGTCTTCACAAATTTGGAAAGCTTAATTTGAAAGACTTGAACACCAAGCATAAAAACCCCTATGCTGACAGTAAATTAGCCAATATATATTTTGCAAGGGAACTGCATTCAAGGCTTAAAGGTACTGGGGTAGCTGTTCATACCCTTTCCCCAGGAATGGTCAACACAGAACTTGGGAGACATAGAATATCCAATGTGCTTCGATTCTGCCTTCAGCCACTCTTCTGGTTAATGGTAAAGTCACCGGAAGAAGGATGTCAAACCATTGTTCATTGTGCAATTTCAGAAAACCTTGATAATGTTTCTGGTGGCTATTATGCTAATTGCAAAGAAAGCCAATGGAGTGAAATTTCTCAAGAAAATTTACCACAATTGTATGAAATAAGTGAAAGATTGACAGGTCTTTAAGGGGATCAGTTTGTGTGGTTATGAAATTGTATAAGCATAAACAATCACAGAATAACATTTTGGAGATCAGCTTACCTCATTTAGTGGAACATGTTAGTGAAATTATGTGTGAACCTGCAAAATATTTGGAGAATTTTGCCTATTTAAATCTACTGTTTCAAAAACTTTCTGTGTTATCGACAATGTCTAATGAAGTATTTATTTTTAAGAAATAATAAATTAAAATTCATATTTTCTGGTTTTTACTTATTTAATAGATCCTTGTGAAAAATTAATCACTATCAGCACCGCTCATGTCACAGTCTTTCGTCAGTAAGTTGGCTCAAATTAGATCAATATGGCACTGAAATAGACACAACAATCTTAGTTTAACTTCAGATTAATAGTTGTGAGTGGTGTGTCAAGGTCCAATAGAATGACAGGGTCAAGTGAAGTGAATGTTATGAATAAATTGTTAAGCATTAGTGTTTGGTCTATTGGTCATGAGAAAAGTAACAAGGACCTATGGAGTGACTGACTGGTGTTCATGTGTAGACTGTGAGGTCCAGTTGAATGATTTCACGAATAAAGTGATGGGGTCCAATGGAGTGATTGTCATGGGTTGAGTGATAGGGTACAATCAAGTGATTGTCAAGAGTAGAATGATAGGGTGAAATGGACATAAACAGAGTGTTTAGGGAATAGGAGAGACAAAAACTTGTGTTTCTATAATGTTTCAATTTTTTGACAACTTACTAGACCAGCACTACCTCAGGAATGCAATAGGGATCCATCCATTTTTCTCTGATGCTTGTTTGATAATTCATAAACTTTTTTACTTCTTTACAAATGATACAAAGTTCATCAAAACACTATGAAACTAGAATCATGGTACATGTAATTAGTTTTTTAACGATCTCAACACCATGTGCATCTGAAATGACACATACATGACTGGTAGGTATGCATTCATAGCAGAGTGCCATGATGACAAGCAAACACGAAACCTCCAAACAACCCAGAAGGAAAGGGGGTTGTAATCAAGTCTGGTCTTGCGTTCAATGAGCATATAAGAGAGAAAATTAAGAGGATAAACTCCATGTCTGCACTGCTAAGAAGAACTTGTGCCCCTAAGTGGACTCTGGTACATCTCTGTATAGACCCAATATATTGATGATGGTTGGATTCAAATCGCCTTATGTCTGTGGTCTGTCATTGGTCTGTTATCACTATTCCTTGAGATGGAAAGGATGGATTTTTCTCAAATTTCATATATAGGTTCCCCTTGGTCCCCAATTGTGCTAATTTTGATTTTGAATCTGATCAGAAACAAAATGATAGATAGCCCTCCTGTGAGAGGACAACATGTTTGTACAGAGTCTGACCCCAGGGCCCCAACCCTGGCAGACCCTCATTAATTAAGTTTCTGGGGCATTAAAATCTTTCATCTAAAAAAAAAAAACAAACAAACAAAATGACCAACAAGTGGCCATCTTGGATTTTTACAAAGAAGTTTGTTTTTGCTATTTCTTGATTTGGTAGGTAAAGATTATTATCGCTATTTCTGCAAAGGAATGTTCAAATTTCTAATCACATAGAGCAAAAACAGAATAGAAGAGAAACGAAAAGATCCAGCTTTCAAAGAACAGTTGTCCGGTACATTTAGCTACAGTACACATACCTGCAATTTGGACTTGCTTAGCAACACAATACCGGTAAAAGTAAAAATGGCACAACGGTGTGCAGACTGTGTAGGAAAATCTCTTTTAAGCCTAGCCACTAGATACTCTTATGCAATTTAGATATCTACAAACTTAGATCTTTTGTATTTTATAAAATTGGTCTTAAAGAAGATGCAACCTGTAAATATACTAGTTCCAATGGTACTGAATTGTTAAACCTGCAAAGCAAATGACCCATTTGATAACTTTAGGCACTTGGCAATCACCAACACACTTATAATAATTTTCCCTCACGCATCAAAGTCGAATGGCCAATAATACCCTTCCTGCAGCCATTGTTAATATTTCAGTTGTTGAAGAATTAAGAGGCCAGCTGAAGTCTGCTGTGCTATAAGCAATACCATGGACTTGGATCTGTTCCAATGATGAAAATATCTTCTTATCTTTCAGTATACTTTTTTCCCCTCATGTAATTTTCCACATCAGGAAGGTTATGTGAATAACAAGAGGCCCATGGACCTTAACGGTCATCTGACATAAAATACAAGATTTCAGATTTGAGAAGTCAAAAAATGTGTTTCCAAGATGGCAGCTATGGTGGCCATGTTTGATTTTGGACCAACCCGAAATTAACAAACTTTGGTCAGGATCATGTCACAATCATTTCAAGTAAGTTTCAGCTCAATGTGACATGTAGATCTTGAGAAGAAGTCAAAAATGTGTTTTCAAGATGGCAGCTATGGCGGCCATGTTTGATTTTGGACCAACCCGAAATTAACAAACTTTGGTCAGGATCATGTCACGATCATTTCAAGTAAGTTTCAGCTCAATGTGACATGTAGATCTTGAGAAGAAGTCAAAAATGTGTTTTCAAGATGGCAGCTATGGTGGCCATGTTTGATTTTGGACCAACCCGAAATTAACAAACTTTGGTCAGGATCATGTCACAATCACTTCAAGTAAGTTTCAGCTCAATGTGACATGTAGATCTTGAGAAGAAGTCAAAAATGTGTTTTCAAGATGGCAGTTATGGCGGCCATGTTTGATTTTGGATCAACCCGAAATTAACAAACTTTGGTCAGGATCATGTCACGATCATTTCAAGTAAGTTTCAGCTCAATGTGACATGTAGATCTTGAGAAGAAGTTGAAAATGTTTACGATGGATGCCGCCGGACAAAAGGCGAACGCAATAGGTCATCAGACCCTTCAGTCAGTCATAATCGGGTCTCCTCTTAAACATAACATTTTCACAAATGTACGTCTGTGTATGCACACTTAGACGATTCACAAGATTTAGCAGAATCAGGGTAGATTAGTGCTGTTTTAACAATTCTAATGAATTTCTTTTGCATTAAAGCCATCATATGTTAAACATTATAAAGTTTTTACAAGTAAGAAGCAATGAAGATGTATTACATAAAACACTTATATCTGTTTTGGTCAAGCCAGACTGAAGTATGGTTTACAGGACTGGGTAGAATCAGGAGGATTATATGTTAAATTTAGGCATTAAATTGTTTTAGAGTAATTATTGTGGTGTTAAATGATCTTAGTTAAAATATTATAGTTTCATATTGGTAAAAAACGGTGTATGCGAGTTATTGGAGACTAGATCTTCTTATTTGCAGGTTTTGTTCGTAATAAACGGTAAAACCGATAAAAACGCCGATACAGAAATGTTACAAACGTCAGGATAATATCAATTATTTTGTAAATGGCGCGAAATATGCGTCAGTTATCCACGTGATCTAGATGTTTCTTGAAAGGACAGTTTTAGAGCGTTTGCTTAACACAGTCTGGTCTATTTTTGTAACCGGAAAGGTATTGTGAAACCAGCCTCATGACGTGAGAGGGTCTCGTCACAGTTTCCCAAGTAAACAGACTCAACATACAGTTCAAAATGAAGTCACGATTTAGTACTATCGACATAGCTGTCGGTATTAAAGAATTACAAAGGTTAGTATGTCATGAGGTTTTGTTGAATCGGGATTATGGTGAAAGACATTACACACTATTACCGTGATGTTAAATGTATTATCTAACCATTTTGATCGTTGTGCGTGATATATATCTTATCATTGTACAACCAGTCTGTTTCATCTGTAACTTAATCACTTACATATCCCATAACCTTGAACATTTTGACAACACAGAAGATATTATTTCTTTCAAAACGGATTTTATTGGCGAAACCTTCCAAACCAAGGCCAAAATACACCTCCTTACAAATTTATTATATTAAATATAATCACCGAACAAAACATGAAACATGAAAGTATTTCTCTGATGACATTTGTACAATGCATTACATTCGTCTTTGACTGTCGAAAAACATGAAAATATCGATGTTATCAACAGCTTAAAATGTTACTTGGTTTACACATGGAATCGTGGACAAAATTCTACCTGTCAATCATTTTCCTGGTAAGCAGTTATATTTAGTCCTTTAGTAGTCTCTCTATATATAGTTTCAAGTATAACATTTTTAGAAAATTCACCTTATTGAAAGGGTTCTGATCAAATCTTTTGAAACGTTTTTTTCTGTCATTGTTAATGAATAGAAGAGTCAGAGATTACCTGAAAAAAATAACATGTTTTTTCCATGTATTGTTTTATTTGAGTGAATATCAAAGTAGTCAAGATATTTTAAGGCAACCAAATTACATGTTTTTACCAATAATATCAAATGGTCAGACACTGTAGTTAGAAACATATAACGTAATGCAGGGATAGGGAACAAGGCCCAGTGGAAGCTTCTCTGCCTTAATCATCATTTTTGCTAGTTCACTGAGCAATCAGGGAGGTGAAAGTCCCCATTAATTGACCTTTCACTTCCATTCTGTAGGTAGTGTAGACAAAGCACTGACTGTCCTGACGTCGGCCATTTAACTGCTGCGCATGGATGTTAATGTTGCTTCCTGAAACTTTACTCATTAATGAATTCATGCAAAATATACATTGTAACGAATTCCTAAATTGGTGACATCACTATGTTTTATGGCGCTGCAATGTTGATGGACAGGTTGACGAGGGTTGCATAATCATATCTCAAATCTTATTTTTGTCATTATGGAAGGAAATACACAGTTAACATTGTACAATATGTTTGCATAAACACACTTGTGTGATATGTGTTTAGTTTTCATCATAACCAACTTGTGAAGTATTGTCATTTCTATCTCGGAGCCCTGCTACTTGTCTCTGATGACACAGTCAAGTTCTGTTCATGATAGTTGGTATTCCGAGAGTAATTTAATATATCTTTTCAGCAGTTTTATTGTGGTATAGTTGAATTTATAGCATATTTCTAGTGTTAATACAACATTCCATGCCTCTTTGAACCAAATTTTGGGAGATTTCTATGATTGAATACATCTTCTGACTTGTTACTTTCCTTTCCTTTCATATGCAGTGACATTAAGATTGATTTTTCAAAGGTGCAACCATGTAGTCTATATAGAAAGGGAAACTAAGTTGATGTAATAAATCCAGCAATCTGAATTCTAGTGTCCACCTGAATAATTTCAACAATAAATCATCAAAATAACAAATTCTCATAAAAGAATTACAGTAACCTGCCCCATCGTTGGGTTTATTTTTCTTTAAAATTAAAATCATGAAGACTGTTGAGGTGGACAGTAATTTTTTAATGGTGTAGACAATGATCTTTCTGGCAATATGAGGCTACACTATTCGAAATGGCAAAATGTTGATGTGACTTAATGCTAAGTGCTTATGAATCCAAAATGTTATTATGATGTAGGATGCGATACATTTCAACTATATCGGTGTCTATGAGGTCTGCATTGGGTAGGACATGAAGGAATTAAGGCATGGAATAAGAAATGGCATATTTTCAACAGTAAAATACTGAAAAGCCACAAAAACTGTAATGTGCATTGACTAGTGAATCTCTTTTTTTTTGTTACCAAATTAATAATGAATGAAAATGATAAAACATAAAAATTACATGTCCCACAGAAAATTACCCACCTTTTTAGGGCCATTGATTTAGAAATGGTTTTCTTTTTATTCGAGCTGAAAGTTGTATGCAATGTAAGGTGATATTTCAGTTGTAATTAGCTTAAACAAGGCAAGTTAACAATAATTTCTTTAGGTTTAGCTTTCCAAAGAGATATAGACAGTCTCATAAATTGCGCCTATATCAAAAAAAAATTTCTGTTGACTGGTTTTTATGATACACAAAAAAGATAGTTTGGTATATGTTTAACTGTATGTAAATATATACACAGATTTTACAGTTTGTGCTGACTTTATATTGTAGATTCTATGGAATGCGAGTGGTAAATGTGTATGATGTTGACAACAAAACCTACCTCATCAAATTAGGACGGTGAGTTGATGAAATCATGTTTTGTTAAGATCATTACATACAATATATTATATAATGCTTAGCTGCTATACAATAATTCTGTATTTAAGAAATATGAACTTTCCTCTCAATGATATACATTAATTTACTTTTAAAGTATGTAATTAGCATTACTTTGTCTCTTCTTTTTACATGTAATAGATAGCTAAACAAACCATTTAAATTCTTTATTTTAGCCAATGATAGGAAAGTTTAAATTAAATATCCAGTGAAATTTCTGTAAGAATCAGAACTACTCTTTCTTTGTGTTTGTAGGCCAGAGGAAAAGGCTGTTATACTTATAGAGTCTGGCATCAGAATTCACTGTACAGAATTTGATTGGCCGAAGAATATGGCTCCTTCAGGTTTCTCAATGAAGGTAAATGAACTGAAGTGTTCTTTATATAAGGACAAACATGGTAAAATCCTGTGTCTGAATTAATAGTTAGTTTGGTTTTTGTATCTCCATACCATAGAGTAACTAACATCTTGACTTGAGATAGTATCTTTATGTACATCAGTATGCCAAACTATTCAGTGAATTTTGTTTATGTAATCAGTACTTTTTGAAGGATTTTACTGATGAGTCCAGATCACCAATTCCAAATTTTGTTGAGTCTAGATACAAGGATATATAGCGTGTTCTCAAAGTTTGAATGAGTCCAATAACTCTGTTGTTTCATTTATTCAGCTAAGGAAGCATATCAAAGGTCGACGTTTGGAGTCTGTCACACAGCTTGGTGTCGACAGAATAGTTGATCTTCAGTTTGGGTCAAGTGATGCTGCGTACCATGTCATCCTGGAACTATATGATAGAGTAAGTGAACAAAATATAGTTACCAAATCTGTATCACATTTGCTGCCTTAGAACTTGGTGAAAACCCGCTTAATTGAGATCACCAAATTAAATGTGAAAACATTTTGTCCATAGTTTAACAAAAGGATCATATGTTTTTTACAAGACTGAATTGATAAAATAATTTGATCGGTTCATAAATCATAATGTTCTGTTTGGGATGAGTGTCATCTGTTTGGTTTTCATATTATTTTAAAAAATTTTGACAAAAACGGCAATTGAAAATTGTAGAAGAGCTTTTGAAAATGTCTTACTTGTGTTAAGCAAAAAGTGCAAATGATGTTTTGAATGATGCTTCCACAAGCTTGCAAACACAGTTTTGAAGTAGAAAATATCTGTACAACAAACATCAAACTTAAAAAAATGGTTTTATAGAAGTAGTGTGACAAAATAGTTATACTCTGTAATATTCATAGAACAGGAAATTACTACACCATATGATTGTTTATTCTCATTGATAGAGCAACATTATTCTAAATTTTCTAAAATAAATTTTAACTTGTTATTAAGGTTCTGAATAATCCAAGTAGACTGAATTGTAGGGTTGAAAAAACAAAACTGGATTTCTTACTTTATTTGCTCATCATTGGGGATAAGTTCTCACTCTGGGGAATGAGTAACAAAGTAGCAACTGAAAGATTTTGAATTACCAAGATAGAAGATAACCTGACGTTACTAGTATTTTGATTTTCAATGTTGACTCAATAATTTTCATTCCAATTTCTTTTTCAAGGGAAATGTTGTGCTGACTGATTATGACTATACAATCCTGAACATTTTGCGACCTCGTACTGACCAGAGCCAGGATGTGAGATTTGCAGTAAGAGAGAAGTACCCCATTGTGTCCACCAAAACACATGAGGTTCCTACAGATGAAAAGTGAGATACAGTTCTGATTATGGTATTATTTTGACATTTTAGTATTTACCAGAGTTAAGTGAAATAGCCTGTTTCCACTTCCAAAGTAAAGGTTCTACTAGTAGGAAAATTCAGTATCAGAGAAAGTAGATTATTTCTTATTTTGGACAGACTTGTTCCATATTTACATTTACATCATTTTGTTTTAAAAGACTTTTGAAATGTTTTTGTATATGAAAGGTTAATGGAACTACTTACTGCAGCAAAGGAGGGCGATTCCTTGAAGAAGGTTCTAGTGTCAAATCTAGGTAAAAAAAAATCCCACTTAAAAGTCATCTCATTTTAGAGTTAGAATTTAATTGGTTATGGTGACTGAAGTTTTACTTGTCTGGAGATTGAAACATTGAAAGTAGTGGAGAATCAGTATTATCTTTAATGTTTTATAAAAGTTTATGATTCAATGTGATATTAGAACACATCATAACCAGAAGATAATAAGTTATTAGAGATTCAAACAAGATCGATGTTTGATTTAAGATAAAGATTTGAATTTTATGTAATACTGTGTGGTATGAGTTATAAAAAAGAAACTTCATTACATTACTTATGTTGCTTTAAAACAATATAGTTTCCCATATAACAGGTACACCAGACTTCAGTTATGATGTATAGATTAATATGATTTTAGTCTCTTATATCTTGGTGTTTTAGACTATGGTCCTGCCATTGTTGAACACAGTTTGTTGGTGGCAGGTATTCCTGAGTATGCAAAGATTGGCAAGCACTTCAGTGTTAATGATGGTAACCTTTACAAATATAATGTCAATACTGTTCTAAAATAGTTTAAAGCTTGCTTTCATATATTGTAGTATTACTGTTTTCTGGTAGTTGTGAAATATGTCCTGTGAAAATGTTAAATTTTTGAGAATAGTTACTTACAAAGAAAAAACAAACTTCATATAGAGCATGGTCTTATAATTTCAATACAAAAACCAAGCTTCATATAGAATATGTTTCTTTTAATTTCAAACACCAACGTGAAAAATTGATCTGGTGAATCCCCCACCTCCCCCACCCCCCTTTCAATATAATCAAGTATACAGTGGTTTATTGAACTTTGTTTCAGACATGGGACAGTTGCACATTGCTGTTGAGGAAGCTGAGATGCTGTTTGATTTTTTACAGAGTGAACCATGCAAGGTGTGTGTAAATTCATGAAAAATGATTTTGATTGATTCTACATATTGGAATATGATAGTCGCAGTTAAATTACAAATCAAACTTCATTTTACAGCATCCTGAGGAATTTCTTTTCAATTGAAGTTTTGAACTTGACAATATGTCACAATCTTAATATTCATATCTTAATATGGATTAAACACCCACCTACAGGTAACGCTTGAATATGTTGTGATTAATTAACCTCCTCATATATAATCTTAATATTGAGACGTAACTAATAATATTTTGAAATGAAATTCTTGAAGTGTAAGCTGGTACCATACACATTTTACTGTTTTATTGGTGTTAGAAATTAAGTAAACATATCGTATAAAGAAAACTAATGTCAGTGCCAGTTATCCTCCTCTTCTGACACATATTATTTGGTGCCCAACTTACATCCCTAATTCTACCTTCATTGATTCTATCTGTAGGGTGTGATTGTGCAGAAGAAAGAGAAGAGGGTTACAGTGAAGGAAGGGGACAATCAAGATCTACTCACGTAGGTATCTGCTGTGTTTATACTGATTATAAGTGTAAGTATCAGTTGTGTTTATACTGATTATAAGTGTAAGTATCAGCTGTGTTTATACAGATTATTAGTGTAAGTATCAGCTGTGTTTATACTGATTATTAGTGTAAGTATCTGCTGTGTTTATACTGATTATAAGTGTAAGTATCAGTTGTGTTTATACTGATTATAAGTGTAAGTATTAGCTGTGTTTATACTGATTATTAGTGTAAGTATCAGCTGTGTTTATACTGATTATAAGTGTAGGTATCAGCTGTGTTTATACTGATTATAAGTGGAAGTATCAGCTGTGTTTATACTGATTATTAGTGTAAGTATTAGCTGTGTTTATACGGATTATAAGTGGAAGTATCAGCTGTGTTTATACTGATTATAAGTGGAAGTATCAGCTGTGTTTATACGGATTATAAGTGTAAGTATCAGCTGTGTTTATACTGATTATAAGTGTAAGTATCAGCTGTGTTTATACTGATTATAAGTGGAAGTATCAGCTGTGTTTATGCTGATTATTAGTGTAAGTATCAGCTGTGTTTATACTGATTATAAGTGTAAGTATCTGCTGTGTTTATACTGATTATAAGTGGAAGTATCAGCTGTGTTTATACTGATTATAAGTGGAAGTATCAGCTGTGTTTATGCTGATTATTAGTGTAAGTATCAGCTGTGTTTATACTGATTATAAGTGGAAGTATCAGCTGTGTTTATACTGATTATAAGTGTAAGTATCAGCTGTGTTTATACTGATTATTAGTGTAAGTATCGGCTGTGTTTAAACTGATTATTAGTGTAAGTATTAGCTGTGTTTATACGGATTATTAGTGTAAGTATCAGCTGTGTTTATACTGATTATAAGTGGAAGTATCAGCTGTGTTTATATTGATTATTAGTGTAAGTATCAGCTGTGTTTATACTGATTATTAGTGTAAGTATTAGCTGTGTTTATACGGATTATAAGTGGAAGTATCAGCTGTGTTTATACTGATTATTAGTGTAAGTATCAGCTGTGTTTATACTGATTATTAGTGTAAGTATCAGCTGTGTTTATACTGATTATTAGTGTAAGTATTAGCTGTGTTTATACGGATTATAAGTGGAAGTATCAGCTGTGTTTATACTGATTATTAGTGTAAGTATCAGCTGTGTTTATACTGATTATTAGTGTAAGTATTAGCTGTGTTTATACTGATTATTTGTGTAAGTATCAGCTGTGTTTATACTGATTATTAGTGTAAGTATCAGCTGTGTTTATACGGATTATAAGTGGAAGTATCAGCTGTGTTTATACTGATTATAAGTGGAAGTATCAGCTGTGTTTATACGGATTATAAGTGGAAGTATCAGCTGTGTTTATACTGATTATAAGTGGAAGTATCAGCTGTGTTTATACGGATTATTTTAATGTAAGTATCAGCTGTGTTTATACTGATTATAAGTGTAAGTATTAGCAGTGTTTATACTGATTATTAGTGTAAGTATCAGCTGTGTTTATACTGATTATTTTAATGTAAGTATCAGCTGTGTTTATACTGATTATAAGTGTAAGTATCAGCTGTGTTTATACTGATTATAAGTGTAAGTATCAGCTGTGTTTATACTGATTATAAGTGTAAGTATCAGCTGTGTTTATACGGATTATAAGTGGAAGTATCAGCTGTGTTTATACTGATTATAAGTGTAAGTATCAGCTGTGTTTATACTGATTATAAGTGTAGGTATCAGCTGTGTTTATACGGATTATAAGTGGAAGTATCAGCTGTGTTTATACTGATTATAAGTGTAAGTATCAGCTGTGTTTATACTGATTATAAGTGTAGGTATCAGCTGTGTTTATACGGATTATAAGTGGAAGTATCAGCTGTGTTTATACTGATTATAAGTGTAAGTATCAGCTGTGTTTATACAGGTTATTAGTGTAAGTATCAGCTTTGTTTATACTGATTATAAGTGTAAGTATCAGCTGTGTTTATACTGATTATTAGTGTAAGTATTAGCTGTGTTTATACGGATTATTAGTGTAAGTATCAGTTGTGTATATACTGATTATAAGAGTAAGTATCAGCTGTGTTTATACTGATTATTAGTGTAAGCATTAGCTGTGTTTATACAGGTTATTAGTGTAAGTATCAGCTGTGTTTATACTGATTATTAGTGTAAGCATTAGCTGTGTTTATACAGGTTATTAGTGTAAGTATTAGCTGTGTTTATACAGGTTATTAGTGTAAGTATCAGCTGTGTTTATACTGATTATAAGTGTAAGTATCAGCTGTGTTTATACTGATTATTAGTGTAAGTATCAGCTGTGTTTATACGGATTATTAGTGTAAGTATTAGCTGTGTTTATACGGATTATTAGTGTAAGTATCAGCTGTGTTTATACGGATTATTAGTGTAAGTATTAGCTGTGTTTATACGGATTATTAGTGTAAGTATCAGTTGTGTATATACTAACAAGTCTTGTTATAAAACAGCATCATAAAAATTAACTCTTTTGTCAAGAACTTGGGTCGATTTAAAACATTTTGTTTTTCCATTTAAGAGATGACGTTTGTCCACATTTCATTTAGTTCATTAGGGAAGATATTTTGAAGCCACAAATTTCATACATCTATCACCACAGAGTCTTTGTGAAAAAAGAGGACTGTGAAGGTCATCAGGGATTGTTAAAAGTTCTAAATATGGAAGAATTACGGAAATCATTTAAAGGAAGATGTATGATATTTTATATTGTTAAACTGTAAACTGTTTTAGGTAGGGAATGGGGATGATTGAATGTTGTTACACCAGAAGTGAGTTAGCCTATGGGTTACAATTCTACTATTAATGTAAAAGAGTAGAATAAAAACATGGTATATTGAAAGGATCAGGTATTTTTTCTTCTGACATCCATCTGAAGACTATTATGTGAGGTAGCTCTTTGGTTCGGTTTGGCAAGTGTGAGTTGCTGAATAATTTGATATCCATTTAAGTGAAGGTATTGTTTAATATCAATATCCCTAATCAAAGTCAACTGTAAATTAGATATTGAAATTAGATGCAAGCTTTTCTGGTTTCCCTAGAAAGGTCTAATTTCAAGTTTGATGGACACAATTTACCAGCAGTCAAGGTATAAACCTCTTTACAGAGAGTGAAATTAGCTGAATTCAAACTGCAGTGTTCATATCCTAATATAGGTACATTGAAGCTTTATACAAACCTAATTTCATTGATTAAATTATATTGTTCTCTGCTACAGGTATGAAGAATTCCACCCAATGCTGTTCAAGCAGTACGAACATAAACCAGTTTGTGAATTGGCAAATTTCAACAAGGTAATTACTGAACTTGTAACATTATAGAAAGGTGAAAACTAAAATGTTTACTAGGTAATAACTGAACCTGTAAAATTATAGAAAGGTAAAAGGATAAAAATCAGGTAATAATTGAACTTATAAAATTATAAAAAGCTGGATGTTAACACAATACCAAGGTAATTACTGAACTTGTGAAATATAGAAAGGTGAAAATTAACACCTTCACAAGGTAATTACTGAACTTGTAAAATTATATAAAGGTGAATGTTAAAACAATACCGAGGTAAATTACTGAACATTTAAAATTTGGTAAAAATTGTAAAAGTAATGATCAACAGTATCAAAACTTTGATATTGATGTCAGTTGGGAACCCTTTTAGATAAATTAAAAGTTCAAGTTTTTGGCTTGTTAAAAGATTGATATAATATGTGTATACTTACAAGGGAGTTATAAGTTCATTTGATAATCTGTTTAGAGCACTTCATATAATTACGTTCATTTGTTTATTGTAATGCCTTTGGGGAGGACTTGTGTATTTAACATATATGTTTTGTTTTTTTCATTTTTTTACAGGCAGTAGATGAATTCTTCTCAAAGTTAGAGAGTCAGAAACTGGATATGAAAAGTTTGCAACAGGTAGAGTGATGAATTTACCATGGCAAATACATTGTAAATTTGTCAAAATCTGTATTAAAAGGGTTTGTCAATGATGTAATATACTTGAATATCAAATACTGAAGTCATATGACATTAGAACTATTGCCCTTAAAACAGTAATGTTATGAAGCTTTACTACTGTCACGTCATTGGACATATACTGTTATTGTAATCTGCAATATCTGTCCTGATTAAAAGTGATGTTTAGTTTTTATGCCTAAACCTGTAGACAATGTTCTTACCAATAATGAAACCAGAACCTTTCTTGGTTGTTAATTTATTTTGTATGTCATATTTACTACATGATGAGGATTATTGTAGTAAACGTTATGGTGTCCATCTTTTTTTAAATGTCAGCTTTATTTATTGACTTATCTGACTACATCTTCAATGGTAACCGTGTGTAAAATAAATCATATGTTCTGTTACAGGAAAAAGCAGCTTTGAAGAAGCTTGATAATGTTAAGAAGGATCATGAAAAGAGAATTGATAACCTTCAGAGAGAACAGGAAACTGACATCAGTAAGGGCCAGCTCATCGAAATGAACCTAGAGCTGGTATGTATCTCCCTTAAAATCTTTAAGGCTATTCCAGTAAAACATCTATCCCACCCTATGACTCCAGGTTTTGTTTCGAGTTATTCCAGTCAAACATTTATCCCACCCAAGTGACCAGGTTTCCATTCAGGCTACCAATCGTAGAATTTAATCTGCAATAATTTTGCTTAGAAGTAAAGGACACCAAACCATAGACAGAAATATTTTACTGTACATGTACATATTTCAATGTTATCTTATTTTAGGCGTTTTACACTGAATACATTGCACTAAAATATGATTGAATGAATTGCAGATTCTGTATGTTGTTTGTTTGTTTGTTGATGTGCGAATTCGCCATTTCATTAACTGCTCAAAGTGATAAAGTGCTAAAATTTCATTGCAACAATTAAGTATGTTTAGAGTATTTTGGAGTCCTGGGGTCAAGAAGATGTTTTGCTGGAATAGTTGTAAGAGGTTCTTTTTGCCAAACATGTAACAGGATTGTGAAAAAAAGAGCAAATAAAGAAGGCACCATAACCACTTTGAAGTTTCATTTCAAGGAATTTCTCTCATGGAATCTTTCTTTCAGATACTTCATAAGTTATCTTGAGAAAGAATACGGTTACATAAAATAAAAATAGGTTATATGTAATGTTCTTGAAAATGAAGAGAGGATAAAGTCAAAACCATTGTCATAGGAAATGTTGCAAGATTTGATTTGAATGTTGACAGGTTGACAAAGCCATCACCATTGTAAGGAGTGCAATCGCCAATCAGATAGATTGGGCAGAGATCAATAACCTGGTTAAAGAGGCACAGTCGAAAGGGGATCCGGTTGCCAGGACGATCAAAACTCTGAAACTTGACACCAACCACATGACAATGTTGTTGAGGTAAAATTAAGAAGATATCATGTTTGATATAAAATTGACAACTATTGTAGAATGTTCTGTCTTGTTTTCTCATTTAAAGTCTCGATATATACCTCTTGCTGTGTATTCACCTGGCTTATCTTGATTGATCAGTTTCTTTGTTTCATATTTTTAGTCCAACATCAATAGATCGGCTATTCAAATCGCCTGATGTCTGTTGTCTGTCAGTCTGTCCATCCGTAAACAACTTTTGTTATTGCTATTTCTTGAGAAGTACTGGATGGATCTCTCTTAAATTTCATATGTAGGTTCCCTGTAGTCCCTAGTTGTGCCCATTTGATGTTGGTACTAATCAGAAAAATAAAATGGCCTGCAGGTGGCCATCTTGGATTTTGACTTTGAAAGATTGTTATCACTGTTTCTTGAAATACTGCATAGATCTTTCTGAAATTTCATGTATAGGTTCCTCTTTGTTCCTAGTTGTGCCTGGTTGAGTTTGGGATTAAAAAGAAAATGGCTTGCAGGCAGTTATCTTGGAATATGCCAAGTAAAGTTTGTTGTTCTTATTTCTTAAGAATACTGTATGGATTTTTCTCCAATTTCATATATATTTTCCCTTTGGTCTTTACTTGAGTCGGTTTGATTTTGGATTTGATAAGAAAAGAACAAAAGGACTTGCAGTTACAGGTTCCACAAGTACTGGGCTGTGACATGCAAACCATTGAAACTGTCTTCATTGGCCTTTAACTGATTAAAGTTACGTAGTGTACATATGTCTTTAGGTACTTTAGGTCTCTATAGTCTTTACCTCAAAGTCATATAAAACAACTATCAGGTTGTAACATTAACCTATGTCCCCACCATAATTATGTTCTGAGGTCAGATACGTCTGCCCTATTGTCAATTGATCTGTCCGCATGGCTGGAACATTCTATTAATTCCCTGTGTGACAACCTGCTTATATTTACAGTGACCCTTATGCAGACAGTGATGAAGAAGACAGTGATTGTCTCAGACCCCAGAAGATTGACATTGACCTCTCTGTCAGTGCTTACGCCAACTCGCGCAAGTAAGTTCTCCAAAACATGTATATGAGTATGCATTGGAGTGTAAGGTATTCAAACAGCTTTCTGTAAAATCAAGGATGACTAATGATACAAGCTCTGTTGTGTTGGGGGATACTGAAATCTTTCCAAGAGGTCATTAAATATATAAAATGCTCTGGGTACTTTAGTATTTTTACATGTTATATTATGTTTAAGGAAAGTGCTAGTATACACTAAATTTGTCATTATTGCAGCTATAACAAACTTCTAATCAGAGATAATTATATTGCTAACCTACAGGTTTTTTGTCAAGAAAAAACAGGCAGCTAAAAAGGAACAGAAAACCATTGATGCCTCAGCAAAGGTGAGTTTAAGTTATTGAAGCAGCAACCACAGAGCAAAGTCCTCTCTCCCTGAATGATAAATATGTACAAGTAAAACTTGTGACAAATTACAGGTACAGGTTAAACCTGTGATAGATGACATGTACAGATAAAACCTGTGATAGATGACATGTACAGGTAAAACATTTGATAGATAACATGTACAGGAAAAACCTGTGATAGATGAAATGCACAAGTAAAACCTGTGATAGATGACATGTACAGGTAAAACATTTGATAGATAACATGTACAGGTAAAACCTGTGATAGATGAAATGTACAGGTAAAACCTGTGATAGATGACATGTACAGGTAAAACATTTGATAGATAACATGTACAGGTAAAACCTGTGATAGATGAAATGTACAGGTAAAACCTGTGATAGATGACATGTACAAGTAAAACCTTTGATTAATAACATGTAAAAGTAAAACATTTGATAGATAACATGTACAGGTAAAATCTGTGATAGATAACATGTATAGGTAATAACCTTCTTTTCTTGTACCTTTTACATAAAGATATTTAGGTAGCAAAAAGCTTCCTTTAATTATGAACCATTTGTGTTTTACCTCAGGCTCTAAAATCTGCAGAGAAAAAGACGAAAGAGACCCTGAAAGAAGTAGCAACAGCAGCCTCCATCAACAAGACAAGGAAAACCTACTGGTAATACTCTATGTGAAGGAGTTACTGAGTATATGTCACTGCAGAGAATCAGGGGTGTGAGTCAGTGTAGGGATGATTCTGTGTTAGAAGAAAATTATTGGGGATATATGATATATGTACTTTGAGAGAATCAGGAGGGTGAGTAAATGTAGGGATAGCTCTGTGTTAAGGAGTTACTTACTGATCCTTTTTTTTTTCATTTTAAAGAGCAATGAATGTGAGTCAATGTAGGGATTGCTCTGTATGAGTTATTTACTGAGGCCTTTTGTCATGTTAAAGATTCATTAGTGCGAGTCAGTATATGGATTGTTCTGTGTGAGTTATTTGCTGAGGCTCTGTGTTATTTTAAAGAGTCATTAGTGTGAGTCAATATAGGGATGGCACTGTGTGAGTTATTTACTGAGGCTCTGTGTTATTTTAAAGAGTCATTAGTGTGAGTCAATATAGGGATGGCACTGTGTGAGTTATTTACTGAGGCTCTGTGTTATTTTAAAGAGTCATTAGTGCAAGTCAATATAGGGATGGCACTTTGTGAGTTATTTACTGAGGCTCTGTGTTATTTTAAAGAGTCATTAGTGTGAGTCAATATAGGGATGGCACTGTGTGAGTTATTTACTGAGGCTCTGTGTTATTTTAAAGAGTCATTAGTGTGAGTCAATATAGGGATGGCACTGTGTGAGTTATTTACTGAGGCTCTGTGTTATTTTAAAGAGTCATTAGTGCAAGTCAATATAGGGACGGCACTGTGTGAGTTATTTACTGAGGCTCTGTGTTATTTTAAAGAGTCATTAGTGCAAGTCAATATAGGGATGGCACTTTGTGAGTTATTTACTGAGGCTCTGTGTTATTTTAAAGAGTCATTAGTGTGAGTCAATATAGGGATGGCACTGTGTGAGTTATTTACTGAGGCTCTGTGTTATTTTAAAGAGTCATTAGTGCAAGTCAATATAGGGATGGCACTTTGTGAGTTATTTACTGAGGCTCTGTGTTATTTTAAAGAGTCATTAGTGCAAGTCAATATAGGGATGGCACTTTGTGAGTTATTTACTGAGGCTCTGTGTTATTTTAAAGAGTCATTAGTGTGAGTCAATATAGGGATGGCACTGTGTGAGTTATTTACTGAGGCTCTGTGTTATTTTAAAGAGTCATTAGTGTGAGTCAATATAGGGATGGCACTGTGTGAGTTATTTACTGAGGCTCTGTGTTATTTTAAAGAGTCATTAGTGTGAGTCAATATAGGGATGGCACTGTGTGAGTTATTTACTGAGGCTCTGTGTTATTTTAAAGAGTCATTAGTGCTAGTCAATATATGGATTGTTCTGTGTGAGTTATTTACTGAGGCTCTGTGTTATTTTAAAGAGTCATTAGTGTGAGTCAATATAGGGATGGCACTGTGTGAGTTATTTACTGAGGCTCTGTGTTATTTTAAAGAGTCATTAGTGTGAGTCAATATAGGGATGGCACTGTGTGAGTTATTTACTGAGGCTCTGTGTTATTTTAAAGAGTCATTAGTGTGAGTCAATATATGGATTGTTCTGTGTGAGTTATTTACTGAGGCTCTGTGTTATTTTAAAGAGTCATTAGTGTGAGTCAATATAGGGATGGCACTGTGTGAGTTATTTACTGAGGCTCTGTGTTATTTTAAAGAGTCATTAGTGTGAGTCAATATAGGGATGGCACTGTGTGAGTTATTTACTGAGGCTCTGTGTTATTTTAAAGAGTCATTAGTGTGAGTCAATATAGGGATGGCACTGTGTGAGTTATTTACTGAGGCTCTGTGTTATTTTAAAGAGTCATTAGTGTGAGTCAATATAGGGATGGCACTGTGTGAGTTATTTACTGAGGCTCTGTGTTATTTTAAAGAGTCATTAGTGTGAGTCAATATAGGGATGGCACTATGTGAGTTATTTACTGAGGTTCTGTGTTATTTTAAAGATTCATTAGTGCTAGTCAGTATATGGATTGTTCTGTGTGAGTTATTTACTGAGGTTCTGTGTTATTTTAAAGAGTCATTAGTGTGAGTCAATATAGGGATGGCACTGTGTGAGTTATTTACTGAGGCTCTGTGTTATTTTAAAGAGTCATTAGTGTGAGTCAATATAGGGATGGCACTGTGTGAGTTATTTACTGAGGCTCTGTGTTATTTTAAAGAGTCATTAGTGTGAGTCAATATAGGGATGGCACTGTGTGAGTTATTTACTGAGGCTCTGTGTTATTTTAAAGAGTCATTAGTGTGAGTCAATATAGGGATGGCACTGTGTGAGTTATTTACTGAGGTTCTGTGTTATTTTAAAGAGTCATTAGTGTGAGTCAATATAGGGATGGCACTTTGTGAGTTACTTACTGAGGCTCTGTGTTATTTCAAAGAGTCATTAGTGTGATTCAGTGAATGGATGGCAAGACAAAGTGTTTTGCATAATTTTAGTATTAATAAATTTCTTTGGGGACATGCCTCATTCAATTAAATCATAAGATATATCTATTTGTGCGTGGGAAAAGAGGTATAAGGTACATCTGTGGTTCCAAATAATAGTTTAATTGTTAGATAATAAATTAAAGGATTACTGGTTATGCAATTTAATATGAAAGATATTCAAATTGATAAAAAATACAATAAAATGTATTTTCAGGTTTGAGAAGTTCCTGTGGTTCATCACTTCTGAAAACTTCTTGGTGATAGGAGGACGAGACCAACAACAGAATGAGATGATCGTGAAGCGTTACCTCAAATCAGGTAGGTCGAAAAGATTGTAGAAATATCAATTAATTTTTTTGATGAAACTGCAAAATTCCTTTTTTATGATTTTGATGTGTTACTTCAGAAGAGTTTTACTGAAAAAGGTTTAAAGTGTAGTATTTTTCATGTTTTCAGGAGATCTGTATGTCCATGCTGACCTCCATGGAGCCAGTAGTTGTGTGATTAAAAACTCCACAGGTCAGTATATATTTCTTTATTGATGCTTGCAAAATGAATCAGCTTTCTTCAGTTTTATGTTATATGTAAATCTTTCAGAAATATGTTTGTTTCATAAATGAACACCATTCAGACATTATTTGTGACTTAAATCTGCTTTTTATGGTTAACAGGTAATCCTGTGCCTCCAAAATCTCTGAACGAGGCAGGAAGTATGGCCATTTGTAATAGTGCAGCATGGGATGCTAAAGTTGTGACTAGTGCATGGTGGGTGTATCATGATCAAGTGTCCAAAACAGCACCCTCTGGGGAGTACCTCACCACTGGAAGTTTTATGATCAGAGGTAGGTGATCATTCTTATATCTTAGGTGTAAGATTTCTGGTGATTTCTGGTAATACTATTGTGTAAAGGTTAGCAATTACAAATAAAAACATATACAAAAATCTCTTTAAAATTATTTCTGTTTGTTAATGATCAAGTGTTTATACATTACTTTAAGTGTTTGATTACAAACATGTGAATTTAAATTCTGCTCGATGCAACTGCTTTAAAAAAGATCAAAATTATGTTAAAGTTTATTTCATGATTTTTTAATATTCCAGGAAAAAAGAACTATCTGCCACCATCGTTTCTTGTGTATGGATTTGGGTTTCTTTTCAAGGTGAGAAAACTATAAACACTGTATGGCCCATGTTTTATTCTGATCAATTACAGTAAGTCAGGTTGTATGTGACTTGAAATATCAATATTTTGATAATACCTGTAAATTAGCTTTTACTGAATGTTGATTTTAAAATTGTTTGACAATCATATTTCATGATTATCTTATTTTGCCTTTTTTTAGCTTGAGGATGACTCCATTCTCCGCCATAAAGGAGAGAGAAAAATCCGAACAACAGAAGAGGATGAAATGTCTATTGTAACAGAGAGTGATGTGACCACAGACATTGCCAGTATGGTAGATATGAGTGATGACAGCAGTGATGAAGACGATAATTCACAAACTGGAGGTGAGGAGCAGCAACAGACATTAGAGACACTACAGGAACAGGAAGAGGAAACTGAGGAACAACACATGCCAATAGTGGAGGTCAAAGTTGAAGAGGTGAAAGAGCAAGTGACAGAGGAGGAGAAAGAAGAGGAATCATCAATATTTCCTGACACAGAAATAAATTTGCAGCACATTAAGGGAGATAAGTGAGTTTAGCTAGAATAGTCATGTTTGTTTTCAATTATGATATAATTTAAAATGAAATGTTCAGATTGTATTGGATTTGGAAACAGTGTCGTGATTTGTGTAATAAATAAACAAAAACTAAAGTTTCAAAATCATAACTCAGTTTTGATTCTTAATTCCCAAAAACATAATTTGATATGTATACATTTCAGGTATGAATTACAGAGAGGAAGAAGTAACACCAGTGATAGCATTGAGACTGTTGAAATATCTGTAGAGGAGGAAAAAAAGGTACTTATATGACATTCTCCTATTGAATTAAGCAAATTTGTTGGTACCCATGACCCAGATTTATTCAAAGGAACACATCCTGGATTACTTTAATAGCTGTCACTGTTAAGAGTCTCAAAATATGCTTTAAATTGCAAGTTTAACATGGAACTAGGTCATTCTTTCTAGTCAGTACTTGAATTCAGAACTTGTTTCACCATGTTATTTGTATCATCAACATTACCAGTCACTTTGTGTTGTCAATACTTCTAGTTAGAAGTTAGTTAGTCATCACATTATTTTGTGTAGTCATTATTTCTTTAGAAATTTCAATTGTATTTGATAAGCCCAGCTATATATCAACAGTTTTCTACAATGCTGATTAATCATATGCTTGCTCTTTCTTGTTGTAGCCTGTGAAACCCACAGTTGTACGACTATCAGCTAAGCAAAGAAGGTAACTTGTTATCTATACATCATAAATATTGCACAGCATATGTAATATTATGAAAGTCATTTGATGATCTACTTAGTTAAAAACATGATTTCTGTTCAAATTATATTAAAAGAGTGTTCATACCATTAGGGATCTGAAGAAGGCAAAGAAAACTACACAACACCTCCAGCTAGACGAGGAGGATAGTGTGTCTTGGCTCAGTCAAGGTCACAAAGAAGATCAAGGGCATCCGGAGGAGCAACAGAAACAACAAATCATTCAGGAAAGGTTGTCTCACACAAAAGATGAACACGAGGTACATAACATATCTGAAGAAAAACCTTACAGATTTCAGAAATGTTTCTTATTACAAGTTAAAAGTTCAAACAACAACTTCACTTTAGATTTTTAACACAGCAATGCCAATTTTTTTACATCGTTTTATGTGTTTACTCTGGATATATCTGCACAAGTACATTTGGATTCACACTTGCTGGTAAGAGATTTCCATGCCATACCCAAAAGTGGTGACTGGGGGATTCCTTGTCATAACAGTTTTCTGATGTGACATCAAAAGAGTGGTGACTGGGGGATTCCTTGTCATAACAGTTTTCTGATGTGACATCAAAAGAGTGGTGACTGGGGGATTCCTTGTCATAACAGTTTTCTGATGTGATATCAAAAGAGTGGTGACTGGGGGATTCCCTGTCATAACAGTTTTCTGATGTGACATCAAAAGAGTAGTGACTGGGGGATTCCTTGTCATAACAGTTTTCTGATGACATCAAAAGAATAATTGAATATGGTTTAAGATCACTCTGTGATATAAAGTTTTGTAAATAAATGTGTTAATGTGTCAGTGAAGATTTAAAGATTATAAAACAAATTAAGGTCACCTCTCTGATGATTGGCCAAAGATCCCTCTTGTTTTGTGATATTACAGTATGTGTGTTCTTTGTGTTTTATATGATGACAGTTGTATGCTTCTGTTGAAATGTAGGATTCAGATTCAAAACCGCAGCAACATGAAAACAAACAGATTCGGGAACAGCAGGCACAGGCTAAACGTGGACAGAAGGTGAGTGAGGTCTAAACCAGAGTTTATATGTAATAGTTATGTAATTCATTATCTGGATCCATTTTGACGACTTATAATTAATATACATATGAGGCATACTATTTCCATAGGGACCAATGTGTATTGTATTGTAAGATACATGATATACAGTGGGTGTATCTAGATGCATAATTCTGGATTTACCTATAACTTGAAGTATTTGATGCTTGATCATGTAAATATGGGTTTAACCCATTTCCCTGCTTGCAGAGTAAACTGAAGAAGATGAAAGGAAAGTATGCCGATCAGGATGAAGAGGAGAGACAGCAAAAAATGGATATGTTAGGAGTAAGAAATTAATTTTACGATCAGGGTGTTGAAGTGAGATTCTAACAGAAAAAGGAATGTTATACAGGAAATTAAAACAATTGTTTACAATTTTCAATCTCCAGTATAAATCCAGGAAACATTCATATAAGTTAACACAGCTATTGAAGCAATGGATAATATGATTATTTTATGTCCATAGTCTGCTGGTTCTAAAAAAGATGACAAAAAGAAAAAGGGGAAGAAAGGAAGAGGAGGTGAGTCAGATCATACACGACCACAAAGTGCCAAACAACAGTTACAGCAACAGAAGAAGAAAGGCCTGCCAAGAGGTGTGGACGTCATTCTACAACCCACCGCAGACCTCATCTTGACAGGTATGTTGTACTAAGACATTAACAAAAAGTACATCCAATCAACTTCTAGGACATCAATATTTATTTTCTAATCATTTGTAGGATGGGTCTACTTTTTGTAGGATGGGTCTACTTTTTGTAGGATAGGTCAACCTTTTGTAGAATAGGTCTACCTTTTCGAGAGTATGTCTATCTTTTGTAGAATGGGACTGCATTTGGTTATCAGTAAAGATGTAGATGTAAAACATTTGTCAAAATAAAACAAATTGTGTTTTATTTTCCAGAAAATTGATTTGATTAATGGCTTTAAAAACTGACAGCTTAACAATGAACCAGGTAGTTATGAATGTCTCTGGTCAATCAATAATGATTGATAGTTTTGCCATGATCAAGGTATTTGTGAATGTCCGTGGTCAGGCAATGAAAATTGATGGTTATACAGTGATCAAGGTATTTGTGAATGTCAAGATTACAAGTTTTACAATGAACCAGGTATTTGTTGATGTCCTTCAGGTTTTACAATGAACCAGGTATTTGTGGATGTCCTTCAGTTTTACACTGAACCAGGTATTTGTTGATGTCCTTCAGGTTTTACACTTAACCAGGTATTTGTTGATGTCCTTCAGGTTTTACACTTAACCAGGTATTTGTTGATGTCCTTCAGTTTTACACTGAACCAGGTATTTGTTGATGTCCTTCAGGTTTTACACTTAACCAGGTATTTGTTGATGTCCTTCAGGTTTTACACTTAACCAGGTATTTGTTGATGTCCTTCAGTTTTACACTGAACCAGGTATTTGTTGATGTCCTTCAGGTTTTACACTTAACCAGGTATTTGTTGATGTCCTTCAGTTTTACACTGAACCAGGTATTTGTTGATGTCCTTCAGTTTTACACTGAACCAGGTATTTGTTGATGTCCTTCAGGTTTTACACTTAACCAGGTATTTGTTGATGTCCTTCAGGTTTTACACTTAACCAGGTATTTGTTGATGTCCTTCAGGTTTTACAATGAACCAGGTATTTGTTGATGTCCTTCAGTTTTACACTGAACCAGGTATTTGTTGATGTCCTTCAAGTTTTACAATGAACCAGGTATTTGTTGATGTCCTTCAAGTTTTACACTGAACCAGGTATTTGTTGATGTCCTTCAAGTTTTACAGTGAACCAGGTATTTGTTGATGTCCTTCAAGTTTTACAATGAACCAGGTATTTGTTGATGTCCTTCAAGTTTTACAATGAACCAGGTATTTGTTGATGTCCTTCAAGTTTTACAATGAACCAGGTATTTGTTGATGTCCTTCAAGTTTTACAATGAACCAGGTATTTGTTGATGTCCTTCAAGTTTTACAATGAACCAGGTATTTGTTGATGTCCTTCAGGTTTTACAATGAACCAGGTATTTGTTGATGTCCTTCAGGTTTTACAATGAACCAGGTATTTGTGGATGGCAAGATCACAAGGATTACATTTTGTACATGTATATACATTGTTATCCAATATACGAATTCTAACAAACATTTCCAAGATTTCAGTTCACTCTAAAAATGTTTCCTGTTAGGTATTTGATCTTTTGATATCTTTAATGACTGCAGATAAAGTGAAATTGAAACCCCTGTGAAAATTGCCAATGATAAGTTAGTCTATGGTTTCCATCAGTTGATATTAGATTATATACTGTTCTATTTTCTAGATACTACTGGAATAACAGCAGATAGAAAAATGGATCAAGAGAATGAGGAAATGGTTGGAACTAGTCAGGTAACCCATATGCTTTCTAAATATACAGATTGTTATATGCAGTTCATAACTAGGTTTTTATCCAAGAGTCAACACCAAAAAGAGATAGAAGTCAAATTACTGCAATGTTTGTACATGAAGAACATTGAGACTACTGTAACTTACACTTAAAAGATAGACTTATAGTACCACAGAACCTATTTACATATTTATATTTTGTTGTTTGTATATGGATAGTGTTACCACATCAAAAATCTCTCATGTAGGAAATTATGAACAGATGACCGATACAGTTTTGAGCAGAATTCTTTTTATTTTAAATATGGAAAAAGAGAAAAAAAAAATTCATTAAGATATTAATATTAATATATATGTGTATATATCATATCTTTTTTATATTGTTGTGTTTCTATTATGTAGGAGGATAAAACTGATGACAAGGGAGAGGATGAGACAACACACACTGCAGATGTAAGTCATCAGAATGGCTTACCATAATAATTTCTAACCTCTTAAATTTCCTCCCTCTGTCTTGACTACATCCTACCTAGCAACATGAGCCATTTTTTTGTACAACAGTAACAGTTATTCCTTTGATATTCAAATAAATAGAAATAGATTTGACAGGATTCAAAAATATATTTCAGTGCTAATAGGAAGGAGTAATGAAAAATATACTTCCCTTGCTGGGTTCAAACTAACACTTCTCCTTCATCCTTCAGAAATTTTTACCCTCTCTATGTAGTGATATATATAATTTTCTGCTTGAGGACAGTGTTTACTCAAGTAGTAACCAGTGTGTCATGCTATTGTTTACAGGATCTACAGATGTTGGACTCACTAACAGGAATTCCAGTTACAGAGGATGAACTTCTGTATGCCATTCCCGTGTGTGCACCGTACAACTGTCTTACCAACTACAAGTACGTACTATAACCATGTACAACATATTCCTCGGTCTGAACACTGGGTTTTATATTCCGTAAACTTAAACAAGCAGAGGTACCTATTTTCTGTGGTAAACTTGAGTATATTAAATTCATTGAATTGAGCTAATGAAATGTTCAAATTCTCTTATGGACACTACTGGTAGCTTTAAGTTCGCTTATACATCAGGTATTCAAGTGTCTTACACAAGTCTCTGTTTCCTATGATATAATTTTAGTGAGCTTTTGGTTAGCTGAAAGAAAACTTTGTTTTCACTTTCCAAAGTCACAGATGTATTAAGAACATATAGTCAAGATTCAGTTAAACACAGTGTGTACTTTAACACCCACTATGTTTGCCAGAAACTTCAGTTAATCTTTAAAGTTTTTGGCCAAAATTACATGGAAACATCTCTTGAGACTGAAACAAAATCTAAAATGATGACTTTTTCACATCATTTCCCTTTCTTTTTATAATATCACATTGCCTGTGATGCTACAGATTTGTGAAAATGGAAAGCTTCTGTAAATTTTAACAACACTAGAGTAGAAAGTCTCTATGTAAAACCAGTATTTATACAGATAACAAGGTTATAATATGTTAAAATAAATTCCACATGCTTTGGTTTGACCATTTGAATGAAGCAAAACATTTCACTTAACAGGCTTTACATAACTTTGTCTTCAAACATATAAATCAAACTTGTTGTTTGCAGATACAAAGTTAAACTTACACCAGGTTCCACAAAAAGAGGGAAAGGTAAGTCATTATTGATTTCCATAAGAAAAGAATACATATAGAGTATTTGTAATTGTTTGAAAGGTTTGAGTGAAAAGTTTTAGTTGAAATGATTTAACACACAATTTCTTATAGAGTTTATTTTATCATTTCTTAACAGCTGCAAAGACAGCTTTGAATATGTTTCTACACGACAAAGCAGCAACGAGTCGAGAGAAGGATCTAATGAGAATATTAAAGGTGAGGACAGAAAACCTGGAATCATTTGTTATTTTAAAAGATGTAAATATTTCTAATCTATTTTCTAAGAAGAGTATGTAACCTTTTTGTGAGAAAAATACAAAGATATTTGATGTAATTTTAAAGTCTATAGATTGATGGGTTCTGGTGTTTTAGTAGTCCCCTACTAGTTCTACTGGAGGGGACTATTTCATTTATTCTCCACACGTCTGTTTAATTCCCTCCGGTAATAACTCTTATAGTACTAGAGGGGGTCATTCTAGAGCATACCTTATCTTAACATGCCAGGTTTTGTGTGTGAATACTTAAAGTGTTGGCGTTCCACTGATTCTATATGTAAAACTGACTCTCCTCAGTTGCAGGAGAATCTGGCATAAACCTTTGTATTTCTTTTTCCTTTTCTTTTTCAATTGCCAAGGCTTATATGCAAGTAGCTGGTGCCATTGCGGGACATATAGTAAGACATATTTCATACTGATGTATGGTTGGAGATGATGGAGCTAGTATTGCCTGCAGTGCTTGCATTCCATTTTGATATATTGTGCATTTTGCTTTACAGGATGTTGACCAGAGTCGAAACATTCCAGGAAAGGTTAAAGTATCTGCTCCGAATCTTCACAGAAACAAGAAGAAGTGACAAGTCAATGGAGTTTCTCCATACAGCTTGACAACTTTGCTTTACACACGAAATACATCATTAAGATTGGGCTGTAACAACTGTAACATAACCAATGGCTGTTTAAAACATGCCTTTCTGAAAGTTAGCCTCGTTCTACTTGTAATTTCTTTACAGGGTTAATCTGATTGAATGTTCATGATGTTTTCAAAATAGTGACACTTATATATAGATCACAAAGATCTGGGATATTAATGGAGTGAAGTTGAACAAATGTATTGCATTGTAAATACATATTAGACATTTGTTACCAGAGACATATTATGACACCACTCTGACCAGGAACAGTAATTTTCCATAAATGAAGAAAGTCTAGTCAATAGACTTTTGTCTGGTTGGGTTACAACACATACCTGAGAAATAGAATATAAACTAGTTGTATAATAACAACAGAGGTGAAGAGTGGTGAACACAGAGATATTTTACAGTGATGGACCCGATCTGCTGATGGATTGTTCACATACTTATCCAAGGTCATTAGAGTGCTAAGTATAAATGAAAAGTGAGTTTAATGAACATTGAAAACTAACAGGGTTATCATGATTGAAAATCAACAAATACTAATTAATATTGTTAATGCTAGTCAATTAAAGATTTAAATTTTGAGACCAGGAATATTGAAGTACTGCCATGTTTTGGCCTTAGCCAGTACACATACTGATTATGACTTAAGACAAGGATTCCAAAATTTTGAGACCAGGAATATTGAAGTACTGCCATGTTTTGCCTTTGCCTGTACATATACTGATTATGACTTACCGGTAAGACAAGGATTCCAAAATTTTGAGACCAGGAATATTGAAGTACTGCCATGTTTTGGCCTTTGCCTGTATATCTACTGTTATGACTTAAGATGAGGTTTACCAAGGCTGTGATAGAGTTAAATTTGTATCATAATAAATAAAGAAACATTGATCCTAGGCAATGTGTTTTCTTGTATATTGTCTTTGAAAGTATTTGACATTGAAATTGTGAACTTTTCAGGGAAACCATTCATCCATTCCTGACCCGAAATAACAATTAAGATTAGGGAAGTTACTGTATTTCTTTTTCATGTAAGGGTCACAACAATTTGACCCAGAGTTATTGTACATCACTCATGCATTCTGGGATAGAGAAAATTAACAGGTTCAGTATAAGTTAAGTTTTATTAATAAAAAATGTCTACCAGTTTTGCCTGCACAGTGGGCTTCATCAGGACACCTTAACTGTTGTCATGTGATTACATAACGCTTATTTTTCATGACCTTTAGTAACATTCCGTCACAGGTATCTTTATGTTGTAGATTAGAAAATTAAGAACTTTAAATCACAAAGGGTGACCATAATTTACCTTATGTCTAGTATAGCTGTGTAAGGTAAGTGATTTACCTTATGTCTAGTATAGCCGTGTAAGGTAAGTGATTTACCTTATGTCTAGTATAGCCGTGTAAGGTAAGTGATTTACCTTATGTCTAGTATAGCCGTGTAAGGTAAGTGATTTACCTTATGTCTAGTATGGCTGTGTAAGGTAAGTGATTTACCTTATGTCTAGTATGGCTGTGTAAGGTAAGTAATTATTTAAATTAATACAACATATATATATACATGCATATATTGTTGTAGTGTGTTGTCTTTCAAAATGTTCATTGAGGTACACGATGGATGTGGATGTCAATTGGTAACATGTGTTTTATAGCCCACTTCTGTTACTGTCCTGTTGTTGGTTGGTACTTTGTCCTCACTATCTGACAGTTCTTAATCCTTCTTCAGTTCTTCAAGTAATAGATCTAGTACCGACCTGAGGTTCACAATAGCCAGCACAACTCTGCAAGGTCAACTTCAGCTTACATTAATCCAAATTTATCTGTTTTACCTGTTTCTTGGTTATTACCTCAAAAGTGCACTTCTTTGGTTTCTTGGTGTTCAATTAAGTGCAGACTTTGAAAATTGAAGATTTCACTGTAGTGTATCCTGCACAGTGTCATCATGCCTCCTCAGGTTTCTGATGCTCAAGTATGTTTTCCCACATCTGATGCAAGATATTCTCAGCTTCTTTTCTTACTTGGTAATCAATGTGTTGTCTGTTTCATCCCTGCCATTGAGATATTGTATTCAGACCTTATGACTGTGTTCTTAGTATGTGAATCCAACTCTCTTCAACTTAGTGATAGTGATGGATATTGCTGACATCTGACATGTAACTTTGATGTCTTCAATATTTCGATTAGGCAACTTAAAATGTCCTGCCACTGGTTTGCTGATGGTGACATACGAGTGTATTAATGGTTGTAATGTTTGTCAGACATACTGAATACCACATCAGTAGTGTTACTCGTGAATTGTTTTGATTCCTTATGTACATATAGTTGACAGATTTTACCAAACGATCTGCAGCCTGACAGTTGTGGCAGATGTCACTTTTTCTGGCTTCCTTTTCCTTATGCCATATCATTGTGATGCCTCAACCTACTAGCAATATACTTCAAAGCATTTACATTTTCAAAATCTGAGAAATTTGTCTCTCTCAGCTCTTAAAAACTTTGTACACCTGTACATCTTAGGCTAGCTGGTAAGGGTATTCTACATCTTATGTTCGCTGGGAAGGGTACCTCTATATCTGAGTTTAGCTGGTAAGAGTATCTAAACATCTTAAACTAGCTGGTAAGGAGATCTCTACATCTTAGGTTAGATGGTAAAGGCACAAGGCCTGACTGATAAGTTATGAGCCTTGTATTGAAGTTCAGCAGGAATGTCCTTTTTCAGCTCTGCTATTCCATGACTCATTTAAGGCTGGTGTCATTTGGTCAGTTTATGTAGAAGAGGTAGCACTCTTAAAGTAAACAAGGCAAGTGATTTTTCCAAAATGGACAAAATTGCTAAAAGGAGCAGTGATTCAACATTTGTATAAGAAAGGTCTAGCACTTAAGAATATCCATACTGATACGGTAGCAACACTAGTGAATGAGGCCCCTTATATGCTACAGTGTAAAGGTGGATGGTGGAATTTAGGTGTGGCAGGCAGAGCATTGGGGATGATGCCCATCCTAAAAGGCCTGTCACTGTTGCAACCCCAGAAGTTTATAAATGTTCATATTGATTTCAAAATCGCATAGTATAAGTATATATATATATATATATATTTTTTTTTTAAAGTTTTGTGTATATTTCAAGAAGAGTAAGGGATACAACAAGAGTAAGGGATAACCTTAAGCATGATATTGAGGAATTGTTGAAAGAACAAGCAATACATTGACCGATTTTAAACAAAGTGTATTGAATAATTTAACAATGTAAAGTGCACTTTCAATTCTGACTTTAAAACTTTATGAACAGTTACATCAATGGTAAATACTGATAAATCTTATCCAATGAAGCATGCCACTTAATGGAAGATACTGATAAATCACATTCAATAATGTTTATATCATACTGCATAAATGGTAGATATTGATTAATCATGTTCAATGATGCATGCTACTTCAATGGTAGATATTGATTAATCATGTTCAATGATGCATGCTACTTCAATGGTAGATATTGATTAATCATGTTCAATGATGCATGCTACTTCAATGGTAGATATTGATTAATCATGTTCAATGATGCATGCTACTTCAATGGTAGATATTGATTAATTATGTTCAATGATGCATTCTACATCAATGGTAGGTACTGAATAATCATGTTCAATGACGTGTGCCATATCCCTTATAGATACTGATTTATCATGTCAGTACCTACCATTTATATTGCACACATCATTGGACAAATCATGTGCAATGTTTCAGACATACATGTTAAAACAGGTAAAACATGTTTGTGTTTTTAAGGCAAGAATATTTGGAGAAACAGTGTTGAGGTGTGAAAGACACGATATCTAATACGATGTGTATGATATATATAGGTATAAATACACATAGGACATGAACAATGATCAGCTATTAATCATATTGTAAGAAAAAATAGGAATAAATGTGAAATATTCTAGCCAGCAAGTTCATCCTTAGAAAATAGTGAGATAGGTAATAAAGTGAGACAATAAATTTGATAACAAAACTAATTGCAACATGTTTAAGTGCTGCACATACTAAAAAGAGTACACCTATACATGCTCACAAGTTTAGAGTTGTGTTATATATGGTTAACATAACCAACACCTCAAAGGAATGTCTTGTCTACCAGTACAATAATTGCAATAGATAACTGCATAGGAAGTTCAGTGTCTGTGGAAAAGTCCTTACACTGCCAACAACAAAAGGCTCATATCTCTGAACAGTCACATTAAAAGAATAAAAAATCCAAGTTCTATATGTCTGAACAGTCACAAACAATAAAAACATAAAGCCTATGGGTAATAATTGCCTGAAAATCCCAACCAATGGCCAGTGGGCACTAACAATCCAAACAAATCATCCACAAGTCTTAAAAGTCCCCTAAAGCGGCTGACAGATCTGAACCATCACCTAACGATCCAAATAAACTTTACCTTACCTTACAATTCCAACAAATATTCATAGTCTAAACAGTTGCCCAGAAATTCCAACAAAGGTCCATGGGTCTTCACAGTTGCCTAGAAATCCCAACACAAGCCCTCGGTCTTCACAATCACCTAGAAATCCCAACAAAGGCCCGTGGGTCTTCACAATCACCAAGAAATCCCAACAAAGGCCTGTGGGTCTTCACAATCACCAAGAAATCCCAACAAAGGCCCATGGGTCTTCACAGTCACTTAGTATTCATACCAAAGGTCCATGGGTTTTAAATGTCACCTAGAAGTCCCAACAACGGCCCATGGGTCTTCACAGTCACTTAGAATTCATACCAAAGGTCCATGGGTCTTAAATGTCATCTAGAAGTCCCAACAACGGCCCATGGGTCTTCACAGTTGCCTAGAAATCCCAACACAGACCCTCGGTCTTCACAATCACCTAGAAATCCCAACAAAGGCCCGTGGGTCTTCACAGTCACCAAGCAATCCCAACAAATGCCCATGGGTCTTCACAGTCACCAAGCAAGCGATCCAAACAAATGCTCATCAGTACTAACAGTCATCTGAGTTATTGTATCCCTACAAATACATTTGACTGTGACCTATTATTGCAATGAATATAAGATTGTTGTAGCATATGTATGACAACTGTACATGCCTTTAAAGACAATATCACAGACCAACACATACACTGATCAGACATAAAAGTCATAGCAGGAGCACACAATAATTGATCAATGTTACCATGGTGATTGGCCCCTTTGTCAAGACAAGTGATCGATGAGGACTACAAAACACTAGGCAATATTACATTATGAGCAGCATATATATATGTCAGCCAAGTGAATTTAAATGCTACTGTGGAAGTTTCCTCAATGAATCATAGCATGCATCTAATTAGTTACTGTCTGTCAACAGAAACAGATTTCAACAGATCTGCAGCACCTTTCAAATAGTAGCTGTCACAGAACAGATTTTTTTTAACCTGACCCTTACATCCTCGGTGAACACACAGTACTGACATACTCTCTTAACATATCACTTGTTTCTAATGGACAGGCCTGGAGACCAACATCACCATAACAAAGTTTTATCATATAAAAATATCACAGATAGAGATTCAGATGGATGTAAGTTCATAAAATTATATACAAATGATATAATTGTGTTGAAAAGGAAAAAAAAATCTACTTTATCTTGCATTAAACAAGCACATAATAAAATCTAAATGTGAAGGGTTGTTTCATTTACAGCAAAAAGTATTAAGTGAAAAGCTGAAATGAAATATTAAGCGAGTGTTTCTTATAAATCAAAACTGTTTTAACACCACTGACAGATACAGAAGTAACAAATCATTTTTGTTCAACAAGCAGACCTGTCAGACACACATGCATAAAAAACACCTGTAAAATCTATGGCGTATCAACCTGGTTTATATTTTCAGTTCACCTTCTTAAATACATCATGAGCCATTTTTGAGAAGTCCAGACAGCTTGTATATAAATAATATCGCAGGTATCAATTTCCTCTGCTTATATTTGGGAACATTTTATGTATCAGAGCTTTACAGGTCTGCCTGTTACAAGGAGCTTCTAGACTCCCTTGTTTACACTACATAAAGGAACTTCTAGACTCCCTTGTTTACACTACGTAAAGGAACTTCTAGACTCCCTTGTTTACACTACATAAAGGAACTTCTAGACTCCCTTGTTTACACTACGTAAAGGAGCTTCTAGACTCCCTTGTTTACACTACGTAAAGGAACTTCTAGACTCCCTTGTTTACACTACGTAAAGGAGATTTTAGACTCCCTTGTTTACACTACGTAAAGGAGCTTCTAGACTCCCTTGTTTACACTACGTAAAGGAACTTCTAGACTCCCTTGTTTACACTACATAAAGGAGATTTTAGACTCCCTTGTTTACACTATATAAAGGAACTTCTAGACTCCCTTGTTTACACTATGTAATGGAGCTTCTAGACTCCCTTGTTTACACTACGTAAAGGAACTTCTAGACTCCCTTGTTTACACTACGTAAAGGAACTTCTAGACTCCCTTGTTTACACTACGTAAAGGAACTTCTAGACTCCCTTGTTTACACTACGTAAAGGAACTTCTAGACTCCCTTGTTTACACTACATAAAGGAACTTCTAGACTCCCTTGTTTACACTACGTAAAGAAGCTTCTAGACTCCCTTGTTTACACTATGTAAAGGAACTTCTAGACTCCCTTGTTTACACTACATAAAGGAACTTCTAGACTCCCTTGTTTACACTACATAAAGGAACTTCTAGACTCCCTTGTTTACACTACGTAAAGGAACTTCTAGACTCCCTTGTTTACACTACGTAAAGGAGATTTTAGACTCCCTTGTTTACACTACGTAAAGGAGCTTCTAGACTCCCTTGTTTACACTACGTAAAGGAACTTCTAGACTCCCTTGTTTACACTACGTAAAGGAACTTCTAGACTCCCTTGTTTACACTACATAAAGGAACTTCTAGACTCCCTTGTTTACACTACGTAAAGGAGCTTCTAGACTCCCTTGTTTACACTATGTAAAGGAACTTCTAGACTCCCTTGTTTACACTACATAAAGGAACTTCTAGACTCCCTTGTTTACACTACATAAAGGAACTTCTAGACTCCCTTGTTTACACTACGTAAAGGAACTTCTAGACTCCCTTGTTTACACTACGTAAAGGAGATTTTAGACTCCCTTGTTTACACTACGTAAAGGAGCTTCTAGACTCCCTTGTTTACACTACGTAAAGGAACTTCTAGACTCCCTTGTTTACACTACGTAAAGGAGATTTTAGACTCCCTTGTTTACACTATATAAAGGAACTTCTAGACTCCCTTGTTTACACTATGTAAAGGAGCTTCTAGACTCCCTTGTTTACACTACGTAAAGGAACTTCTAGACTCCCTTGTTTACACTACGTAAAGGAACTTCTAGACTCCCTTGTTTACACTACGTAAAGGAACTTCTAGACTCCCTTGTTTACACTACGTAAAGGAACTTCTAGACTCCCTTGTTTACACTACATAAAGGAACTTCTAGACTCCCTTGTTTACACTACGTAAAGGAGCTTCTAGACTCCCTTGTTTACACTATGTAAAGGAACTTCTAGACTCCCTTGTTTACACTACATAAAGGAACTTCTAGACTCCCTTGTTTACACTACATAAAGGAACTTCTAGACTCCCTTGTTTACACTACCTAAATGAGATTTTAGACTCCTTTGTTTACACTACGTAAAGGAGCTTCTAGACTCCCTTGTTTACACTACATAAAGGAACTTCTAGACTCCCTTGTTTACACTACGTAAAGGAGCTTCTAGACTCCCTTGTTTACACTATGTAAAGGAACTTCTAGACTCCCTTGTTTACACTACGTAAAGGAACTTCTAGACTCCCTTGTTTACACTACCTAAATGAGATTTTAGACTCCCTTGTTTACACTACGTAAAGGAGATTTTAGACTTCACTATTTATACTTAGTAAAGGAGATTTTAGGCTCGACTGTTTCCACTATGTAAATGAGATTCTAGATCCTCATGTTTTCATTAAATCCACTGTATGAATGAGATTCTAGGGTCCTCCTGTTTCCACTGTATGAATGAGATTCTAGGGTCCTCCTTTTTCCACTGTATAAATGAGATTCTAGGGTCCTCCTGTTTCCACTGTATGAATGAGATTCTAGGGTCCTCCTGTTTCCACTTTCCAAAGTAGATTCTATTTCCTCGTTTTGCCATATTATGAAGGAGATTCTAGGTCAATGATTCTACTAAATGAAGGTGATTCTGTAGGCCTTGATTTCCATGGGAGGAACACTAATTCTCTTGTCCTTGATCTTCTGTTTGACCTTAACCCCAGTTAAGATTGTTTCCTCCATGGAGTCAATGAATATTGATTTGGAATGATTTGCAAGATCAATAAAATCAGTTGACTGTAAAGAAAAAATATCAACATCTTGCAGTCTTCACATACAGCAACAGGTTTCTATTGAAGAAATCAAAAAACATTTAATTTCATTAAAAACAGAATTAAGGAAACCACAGAGATATTAATACTAGGACATACAGTAACATATCCATTAATGATAGAGATAACAGATGATAATTTCTATCAATCTAACATAACATGCTACATGAGAGTTTATTAAACAAGTCATAATAATCTTTATTTTGCGAGACTTGGCAACCAAATTAAAAACTTTTCATAAATTCTAACATGAAACAAAAACAAATTTAAGATACTTTTTATCACATAACTTAGAAAATTACATATTGACTGGTTTTAAAGTCTAAATATGAAGGACAAAATGAAATAGGGGCAGACATTTTATTATTATATCATTTGCAATTGATGACATGTCATTGTTCATATTACCAGGTATGACATCCGCAATCAATTTCTGACATGCACAGCCAATGAAAACACTCTGGAATGTACTACACTAGTGACATATGCAAAATATTACACAGGCAATTTCATTGGATAACAGGCCAATTATGTGATAAAGTATTCAAATGATTAGCAGTATGGTTTCTAGAAATCTATCTTATTCTTTCAAACTGACTGAAAATGAATGTTAAGAAGAACATGCATAAAAAGTTTGAGAAAGATCACTTGAGTTGATTCTAGAGAATGATCACAAAGACATAGTACAGTAGTAATAACAAAGACAGCAGATGGGCTAGAGACCAACAGGGATTTAAAGAGCCTAGTAACCTCAGAAGACAAGTTGGACTGAAAATACAGATATGTTTTCTGCCATCCCTGTGAATATCTTCTATTTCAACCTCAAGTTTGATGGAAATATTTGTGTGATACAGACCTGAGAATGACACTGCTTAGTGAAACACAGAAAGCCACAGTCTGCCACCCTCCGATGAATTGATAATAAGGCGTGTGACCTGTTGCCACCTTCCATAAACAGACTCCTTAATGCAACCAACTGGGTGTGGTATGGAAGTGGTGGGAAAGGCAGGTCCAATCCTGCTTTAACCAGCTGGGCTGGATCAGACCTTTTTCCAGTGATCAGTATGTCAAGTGGCTGTTCCAAAGTATCTGATAGTATCATAGCCATTGGAGAAGGGTAGCACATCAAGGAATCCTTCTGTAACATTACAATTCCAGTCACACGGTTAAAGGTCATAATTATTCACATCATGTCCAGTTATAGGGTTAAAGGTCACGTACGCATCAAATCAAGTAAAAACAGTCGAAGGTTAAAAGACATAATTATACACATTGAGTCTAGTCACAATTATTATAGTAATAAGGTTAAAGGTCATAATTATACACATCACAATAGTCATAAGGGTACAGGTAATAATTTTACAAAACATAATAGTCAAAAGGTTAGAGGTCTTACTCATACATAAAGATCTAGTCACAATAGTCACAAGGTTAAAGGTCATAATTTTCAAATCATAATAGTCAAAAGGTTAGAGGTCATACTCATATACATCTAGTTTCAACAGTCATAAGGTTTAAGGTACATATAGTAAAGTAGTGACCTTTACCTTGATGGGCAATTTATGACGTCTCTCAAACAGCAGGACAAACTGACTGTGGGTGGGAACATTGTCTGTGACACCTTCATTCAGCCCCCTCCAGTCCCCTTGAAGAAGTTTTCTATCAAGGACCACCTCTAGTTCACCTGTTTAGTACAATATCAATATAATCTTGTTAAACAGTTAATTCCTCACTCTTACTGTTAAGAGTTTTAAAGCACCAACAAAATTGTTAACATTTTCTGATTTTTCTCATTTCTGACAGTATAATCAAAGATTCTACTGGACAAGAATGGCTTTGAAACATTTAACATCATAAATCTATTAGGATCACAATATCAGTAAAAACAAAGGAATACACAAAGACTGATTTTGATGTGATGACACCTACTTAACACACTGAAACAGACCTGGGTGTAAACTTGCCACGCCGTGAGTCGATGAGGTCAGTAAGGTTAACCTCTCTTCAGAAGTCTCTATGACAGCCATAGATGTCATCGGGTAAAAGTTTCCTTGGATTTCAAGTTTCTTTCTTGTTTTCTTTTTATGCATCTGAACATGGATTATGACAGAGAAGGTTATTAAAAATGAAGTTTTAGAGAGAAAAGTTAAACATGAAAATGACTGAAAATGTTGAATAAATGCTGTTAAAATTTGCACACCTTTACGACTTAGTGCCATTCTACATTCTAAGATGTTTGACAATTCTTTTTTATTCTAAGTAGTAAAATTAAGGTTTTCAAATTTACCATCTAATAAACTGATGGTATATCATATCTGATTGTATTCCACTTTACACAAGAATTCTCTACATGAAGGCTTTGTGCTATTATGTTGCAAGAAAGCAGTACTTAAATTAAGTCTCTGTGTGAAGGTCATGTATGAATGCTATGGAACAATGCTATTTATGAATGCCACGTAAACTTTCAGTGTAATTATTACACTAAATGAATGCTGATCCCTACAATGTACCTGGAACCTGTTAAGATCCACACAGAATTTGTTACAGAGACCCCTTCCTACCTGGACCCCATTAACATCCACGTAGAGTTGGTTACAGAGACCCCTTCCTACCTGGACCCCATTAACATCCACACAGAATTTGTTACATAGACCCCTTCCTACCTGGACCCCATTAACATCCACATAGAGTTTGTTACATAGACCCCTTCCTAACTGGACCCCATTAACTTCCACATAGAGTTTGTTACATAGACCCCTTCCTACCTGGACCCCATTAACATCCACACAGAGTTTGTTATGAGGGATCCTACGTACCTGGAACCCATTAAGATCCACACAGAGTTTGTTTTCAGGGTCCATTACTGCTGTGTTCAACCGTAGCACCAGCTCAATGTTGTTCCACTGACTACCACTCATGTCCACAATATTGTCCACATAAACAGCAGCTAACCATAAAATAAGCAATGTCAAGGTCATAACCAAAGTCACAAAGATTAGAAATTTTACACTGACATTTTAATATGTGCAACAATTTTTAGACCGAAGACCATTGCACCAAATTTACCGTTACAATTATTACACACATATACATGACTCTTACAACACACCTATACATGACTCTTATTACACATCTATACATGACACTTATTACACACCTACACATGACACTTATTACACACCTACACATGACACTTATTACACACCTATACATGACACTTATTACACATCTACACATGACACTTATTACACACCTATACATGACACTTATTACACATCTACACATGACACTTATTACACACCTATACATGACACTTATTACACACCTACACATGACACTTATTACACTCCTACATGCCACTTATTACACTCCTACATGCCACTTATTTCACACTTATACATGACACTTATTACACACCTATACATGACACTTATTACACACCTCCACATGACACTTATTACACACCTATACATGACACTTATTACACTCCTACATGACACTTATTACACACCTATACATGACACTTATTACACATCTATACATGACACTTATTACACACCTATACATGATACTTATTACACACCTATACATGACACTTATTACACTCCTACATGACACTTATTACACACCTATACATGACACTTATTACACACCTATACATGACACTTATTACACACCTATACATGACACTTATTACAAACCTATACATGACTCTTACTACACTCCTACATGACATTTATTACACTCCTACATGACACTTATTACACACCTATACATGACACTTATTACACACCTATACATGACACTTATTACAAACCTATACATGGCACTTACTACATTCCTACATGACATTTATTACACACCTACACATGACACTTACAACACACCTATACATGACTCTTATTACACATCTATACATGACACTTATTACACACCTATACATGACACTTATTACACACCTACATATGACACTTATTACACTCCTACATGCCACTTATTACACTCCTACATGCCACTTATTTCACACCTATACACGACACTTATTACACACCTATACATGACACTTATTACACACCTCCACATGACACTTATTACACACAGATATACATGACACTTACTACACAGATATAAAACTGTTACAAATGCAGAATATTGTAGTATAGGTATTATTTATATATTTGGTCAAGGTCATAAAAAACTGAATGTCACATCCAGAGACTGATATGAAAACTATCCTTATTTTTTTCCCAAAATTTTCATGTCCTACCTTTATGTTGATTGAAAAGGCATTTATTGATTTTTTTTTCTTTAGAATGGATTTTGCGCAACTGGACAATTTGTATGAGTTCAATATCCTTGTTGTTTAGCTACTAACCAGAATTGTTGTAAAGAGTTATGGTGTGAACAATGCCAGACTGGACAGTTAGAACCTTGGACATTACAGGACCTTCAACTATGTAAACTTTCACACTGCCATCTTGTAGGGGCTGAAGAATTAGACAAAATGCAATCACAAGACGTTTGGAATAAATAAACTATAATTGTAAGGCAAGAAAGTAACAATAATTGCATGAATTCAAGCATAAATATCAGGTAAGTTTACTGGGCAAGAGTAATGAAAAATGTTCTGTCCCAACACAACATTTACTGCTTGGCTCTGGGATTTTAAAATCACTTGAACAGCAAACTTCTATACTACTCCCTCCTTCGCAAGTTATTGCACCCAAAGACAAACAAAATCCAGTATTTACTCCACATTTCTACAGTCCTGGCCTCCCACAACAGTAAATATTCTACACTCCTAGCATCCCACAGTAGTAGATATTCTATACTCCTGGCATCCCACAACAGTAGATATTCTATACTCCTGGCCTCCCACAGCAGTAAATATTCTATACACCTGGCCTCCCACATCAGTAGATATTCTATACTCCTGGCCTCCCCCAACAGTAGATATTCTACACTCCTGGCCTCCCCCAACAGTATATATTCTACACTCCTAGCCTCCCCCAACAGTAGATATTCTATACTCCTGGCCTCCCCCAACAGTAGTTATTCTACACTCCTAGCCTCCCACATCTGTAGATATTCTACACTCCTAGCCTCCCCCAACAGTAAATATTCTACACTCCTAGCCTCCCCCAACAGGAGATATTCTATACTCCTAGCCTCTCCCAACAGTAGATATTCTACACTCCTGGCCTCCCACACCAGTAGATATTCTATACTCCTGGCCTCCCACACCAGTAGATATTCTACACACCTGGACTCACATAGCTTTAGATATTCTACACTCCTGGCCTCCAATATCTGAAGATATTCTATACTCCAGACCTCCCATAGTTTTAGATATTCTGCACTCTCTACCATACATAGCAGCAGATAATCTACACTCCTCACTTCCCAGGAAGTAAGAGATATCTGACAATCCTGGTATCCTATTGTATCATATGTTGGGATATACTCTATACTATACCATTGTTATAAATTTAATTACATATTAAGATTAATAGGAGTCGTGTAAGGGTATTACTCACCTCTGCCTGACCGTCTGGTTGGAAGGTATAAGCTCCACTTTTATCTTTGAAGACATTGTACTTTGATCCTGTTCCATAGGTCATGAACTTGACCTCTGATCTCAATGTCTGCCCATCAGATTTCCTAGTGGTATACTTAAGAACAAAGAAAATAGTACGCAATACCAAAACCAAAGTCTTCATCTACCCAGTAAGAAATTACATGTGATAGTTTGATAAGCATAGTTTGTATATGCCTAAAAACTACGAGTAGTTTGAAAGATGGAGGTGAGGGTGATGGGAACCCACATACACGACACACAACCACCTGAGCATTATCAGTATATTTCCTGTGTTTTCATCTGAATCTTAATGCAATCAATGTATTAGTATAATCTGTTGAGCAGTGTCTAATTTCTGTAGAAAACTGTCTTACTAACATAAGTGGAGCTGTACAATCTTTGTTGTGATAATGCTACATTTTACCACACTGTTCTGAATTATTCTTGTCATTTACAGTCAACAGATTATGTTTATATACAAAATGACCAGTGTAAAATATTTGTTGGAATGATATAAATAACTGATGAAAAAAAATCCTGTTAATATAATGAAGTTTGATATCATTGTATACATACTTGCAGTTTCCCTGTACAGGTAGCAAATGTTGCTAACAGGTATGGACTCTCAATAGTGAAAACTACATCCTTTACAGCTGATAAGGAGAAGCCTGGACTATCCACATCCCTTTAAAATAAGGTTTGTGACACTTATCAGGAGGAGAGGAACAACAACTGATCACATGACTTGTCTGATCTGTTATATAGATATGTAAAGTCATATATATCTATCTTTGAGTATTTTTTTTTAAATATTTGGAACATACCATACAGTGATATTGCACCATCAAGACGAATGTAGAGTCATTTCATTGGTAGTATTAATTAGACTGAGAGACAAGTATGTTTGTGTAATCATAAGTTTGTAACCTTGACAATGAGAGATAGGTACATACCTGTAAGCTGTCATATGTCACTATGCTATTGAGAGACTTGTACACATTAAGCATAGCATATAGTATTTCCAAAGCCCTCCCATAATATTTGCATCATACTATAGTACTGTAGCATTTTAATAATGTTTCTGTTCCCATTCAAAAAGTTAAAAAATCAAAGGATCGCATTTGGTATGAAATGAACTATTCTTAAAATTCCTGAAAGCTGTATCAGATCATTTATTACAGGTAAAAACCACTCAACCATGAATCAAATCTGTATTGTATGAATACATAGGCCTCATGTGTGAACTCCAGTAATCAACTTATATGTGACCAATGATTGGTGTTTTATAATGACCAGGTTATTTACTCATTATAACTTAATATTTTTAAAGCATCACCCATAGTACCATTTCATTTACATCATCCTTCAATAATGTTTGGGTACCATTTCCATTCTGTAACCATAGCACTCAGTCCTTAGCATTTGCATCTAGTCCTTAGTGTTTGTGTCTAAGATGGAACACCAAATGTGTACAGGTCTTTACTTTTGAATATGTGACCTTAACATTGAAAGACATCACCTGTAATTTATTAAGATAAGTTATGTTGACATTAAAGAAACTGTCCTACCTGAAATCTGTAATTTGTATCAATGGTACTGAGAGTTTGGCCATAGTTGGGATATGGTCACTATCACTGATCAAGGCGTAGGTTCTGACAGAGAGGGGAGGTAACTCTACTTCAAACACCAACTGGAATAAAAAGAATAAGCTGCAGAAAAATGTTTTCAATTCCATTTTACGTTACATTAGATATTTCTGAATATTTAGCTTTTTCTAAATGTTATCAAATCAAAACTAGATTTAATGGTAACTATCACACAAATCATCAACACTGCCTTATTATGCTCCCTGAAGGGAGAGCATGTAGTTGCTGCTTTGTCCGTCTGTCTGTCTGTCATAATTTTGTCCGGAGTATAACACAAAAGCTATAAGAGGTATCAACATGAAAATTCATAGGTAGATAGATCTCAATGAGAAGAAGGGCAGTATACAAGAACCATAACTCTCTTTTTGCACTTTGTTATTTTTAATACTTAAATTTTGTTCAATTCGGGAGCATACCACATCTCTGACCGCCCACGTTAAACAACAGTATGTTGATATCATGTGAATATAAATTCCTCCATGATATCTAAGCAGGGGGTATGATTATTCCTAGATTTTCTCTCTCACATCACAATTATCCAATTACCTCAAAAACATCCAGTTGAAGTGCGCCATTGGTACTCCACACAGGGTTAACCTGACAAGAAATGTAGCGATGTGTGCTGCGATCAAGAACCTTGACCATTGATTCTGTGACATGTAATACCACGACATCTTGTCTCCGGTGTGGCAGACTGTTGTACACCACAATATGGACCTGGTATAAGTTCTGTGATCCATCTATTACGATAGTTTTCTGTGTTACTAGCTTGTCATATCCAGTCCATTCACTTGCCTGAAATGTAAATTAATGTCATCATAGAAATTGACAAGAAACACCTGTAGGAAAAATTGTTCAATGTATCAGAAAAAAACCTCCTTAAAAATAAGAGGCTGCATCACTTACCCTGTATTCAATGTATTAAAAAATAGAATTTCTATTTATTACTAATACATAAATACATAAATCATTGGCATTCAAAGTGGGCACATCCAATAAATTTTAACTAATTTTCACAACAAATCTAAAGAGACAGTTATGACCTGGATTCTAGGTAACTGTCATTTCTTCTTCTTTTGGTCATTTCTTTCCACAAAATTTGTTGGGTTTCATCCTGAGAACCTATCACCACAATGTAATGGGGTATTTAAATCATACATACCAAGTTTACCTCTACATGCTGGATGTTGTTCATTGTTTTAAGCTCATTTGCCAACAATGAGCCAAGTGAACCAGAAAGACCATTAAAAGCACTCTTTAATCTGTAGAAATAAACAAGCCATTTATTCATTTACATTCACACATAAAATGGATCTATTTCAAAAGAAAATGATTTTAATATTTATGCGCATTACTGTCAACACTACAGGAGATTATTTCTTACTGTCATCACTTCATGGGTTTTCTTACTGTTATCACTACATGAGATTTCTTACTGTTATCACAACATGAGATTCCTTACTGTCATCACTACAGCGGATTGCTTACTGTCATCACTACAGGAGATTTCTTACTGTCATCACTACAGGGCATTGCTTACTGTCATCACTACAAGGGATTGCTTACTGTCATCACTACAGGAGATTTCTTACTGTCATCACTACAGGGGATTGCTTACTGTCATCACTACAGGAGATTTCTTACTGTCATCACTACAGGGAATTGCTTACTGTCATCACTACAGGGGATTGCTTACTGTCATCACTACAGGAGATTTTTTACTGTCATCACTACAGGGCATTGCTTACTGTCATCACTACAGGAGATTTCTTACTGTCATCACTACAGGGGATTGCTTACTGTCATCACTACATGAGATTTCTTACTGTCATCACTACAGGGCATTTCTTACTGTCATCACTACAGGGCATTTCTTACTGTCATCACTACAGGAAATTATTAACTGTCATAACTACAGGGCATTTCTTACTGTCATCAATACAGGGGATTTCTTACTGTCATCACTACAGGAGATTTATGGTATCACTACAGAAGAGTTTCCTACTGTTGTGATACTGTTGTGACTACCACCAGCTGTGCTGACTTACCTGTCCCCATAATCTCTGACAACTTTCCTTTTGGCAGTCCCTGTGATGGCATCATGGTGTTGAAATAAAGACAGTGTCTGTCTGAAAGACTGAAGCTTAACGGCGTCTCTCAGGATCTCCATTATGCGTTCAACAGTGCCTGTATGTATTGCCTGGGCTAGACACAGGGAAAAAAAAATTTCCACAGACCTGTAACAATACAAAGCAAGAAGGCATGTAACCTAAACAATGGTAAGTAATTATGATGTACCATCACCTAGATCCAGGTCACTTACTTGCTGTGTAGAAGATGACCTACAAAACATGAGTGGTGTTATGTCTATTTCTTTATAAATCTGAACATCAATTGCACACATTAGCACAATTTGATACCTACTATCGAATATCTGGTTACTAAAGCAACTAACTCCCTGCCATCTCTGGTTCATAAGACTTATGCAGTGAATCACCGTAAATTAGTTCAGACAGCTATCTTTAAGGCTTTCTTATCAATGGTTTGACACCATAAGGTGCTCTAATAATCATTTGTTTCTACCTAAGAAGAGACTGGAGTTTACGAGCCATGTGCTTAAGGTGTGGCCTGGATGTGTAGTATCCGCTCCAGTACTGGTCAGCTCGGTCATTATATGTGAAGAAGTCCCCAGCCAGTGTTGGCATCTTTAGTGATGAGTCATGGGTCATTCTCTTATTCACTGAAGTAAAATAATCACTCAATGTTCCAAATCTCACCTGCAAAATAAACCAAGAACATTATTGTGATTTTCAGAAAACTTGTTTTGGAGAGGAAAATATTTTTTCCAATTCCTCTGCTAGGGATCAAAGCTCTAGATTTAGAAACAATGTAACTAGAGAATGCTTACTGAATACCACTTGGTATTGCCTGGTAATTTGACAAAATGATCAAAAGCTACCTACGGGGCAAATTGATCTCAAGGCTGGTGATATTCTATATATCTCAGAAAATTTCTTCCTGTAACAAGGCTAGGCAAAGAAATTATACCAAAGTAAGTGAGCTTTTTGTGGAACTATAACAACACAGCGCTCTGTCAACATTTCAAAGATTGAATTTCATATCTTCAAGCAATATTTTCAAAATCATCCTATGCTGACATACTATTATTACTACCTTAGTTTTCATGTGTGACTGTGTATTGATATAGTTGATGAGTTTGGTGAGGTTACCAAACTGCTTATCCCAGTCTATAGAATCACTATAGTAGAAATCATCACCATGAGGAACTAGTAACACTCCATGGTCATATAACTCTGCCTTCTTCTGGAACTGTTTCCAAAGTTCCTTTGACCTGTAACAAAGTGATTATCTAACAGCAGAACTAAAATAAACAAAATTATTGATGGGGAGCAAAGATAACATGGGAAATATCTTACATCAGGACACAAACATATCACAGGAAATGTCTTACATCAGGACACAAACATATCCCGGGAAATGTCTTACATCAGGACACAAACATATCACGGGAAATGTCTTACATCAGGACACAAACATATCACGGGAAATGTCTTACATCAGGACACAAACATATCACGGGAAATGTCTTACAAAAATCAGGATGCAAACATATCACGGGAAATGTCTTACATCAGGACGCAAACATATCACGGGAAATGTCTTACATCAGGACGCAAACATATCACGGGAAATGTCTTACATCAGGACGCAAACATATCACGGGAAATGTCTTACATCAGGACGCAAACATATCACGGGAAATGTCTTACATCAGGACGCAAACATATCACGGGAAATGTCTTACATCAGGACGCAAACATATCACGGGAAATGTCTTACATCAGGACGCAAACATATCACGGGAAATGTCTTACATCAGGACGCAAACATATCACGGGAAATGTCTTACATCAGGACGCAAACATATCACGGGAAATGTCTTACATCAGGACGCAAACATATCACAGGAAATGTCTTACATCAGGACGCAAACATATCACGGGAAATGTCTTACATCAGGACGCAAACATATCACGGGAAATGTCTTACATCAGGACGCAAACATATCACGGGAAATGTCTTACATCAGGACGCAAACATATCACGGGAAATGTCTTACATCAGGACGCAAACATATCACGGGAAATGTCTTACATCAGGACGCAAACATATCACGGGAAATGTCTTACATCAGGACACAAACATATCACGGGAAATAACTTACATCAGGACACAAAAGTATCACAGGAAATCTTTTAAACGGGGAAAAATGTATCATGGGAAATATCTTTCATCAGGACACAAACGTATCATCAGAAATAATATACATGAGGGCAAATGTTTCATAGGAAATACCTAACAAAGAGATGTACAAACAAGAAGCCCACAAGCTGTGTCATCTGACTATAAAGACCTATATATGAAAGAGGCTAAATAGGCTTATATCTATCAACACATTTGACCTCTGTGACCTTAAAAATGAATCAAGGTAAGTCATATTATCAAACTTTGTAGACTTTCATCCAATCATCCTACAGGCCTAATATCAGCACCCTGTGCCTTTTGGTTATTGAGAAGGTGTGGTTAAAACATTTTAACATATTTGACCCCTGTGACCTTGAAAGGAGGTCAAGGCCATTCATAATAACAAACTTGAAAGTCCTTCATCCCATCATGCTACAGACTCAATGTCAGTACCTTTAGCCTTCTGGTCATTGATAAGAAGTTATTTGAATGGAAAGTTTATGCAAGGTGCACAACAACAGATGAAACACAATAGCTTTGGGTCAGATGACCTAGAAAGCCTAGTGAAATATGTTGAAATATATTTAAATGACACATCATTTGGTTATCAGGAATTTGCTACAAGGAAAAATTGATAAACTTCAGTAAGTAAAATTTTGGACAACTCTTCATATGCATGTGCAGTTAAATAATATATTGACTATGAATATAGCAAAATCAAATTCTCATTGAATATCACCAATACAGTATATAGAATAGAAGTTCTTATAAAACAAAAACGTTCCAAAATACAGTATATGTTTATGTTTACTTCATATAACAATCATTGATCTTCAGTAAAGTGTCCTAAAGTCTGTTGAGTGTATTAGTAGATAATGAAATTTATACATACCAGTAAGCCACATTGCTGTCATCAACACGAATGGGTGGCACCTGCTGGAGTCCATAGTAACACTTGCTGTTGGTGAAATCCATTTTACAGCAGACTTGAGGATCAGGGCCACAGGAAAATGGCACAGCGTAGGAAAGGAAGGGCATCATGTGACATAAACCAGCAGTGGAGTGGGACTGGTCTACAGAGAATATAAACAAAATATCTAGGTATAACAAGAGGTCCATGGGCCTTAAGGGTCCTATGAATATAAAGACCTATATATGAAAGAGTCCAAATCGGCTTAAAATGAATTGCTCAACTACAACACTGCCTACATCGAAGACACTGATTGGTTCATAAAGACATTTTCTGTAAAACTTGAAAACATATGCTTTATATACTAAACTAATGCCATTACTCCAGACATATTGCTTGTTGAAAAAGGCATGATACAGGCCCCATATCAAGGCCCTTGGCCTTTTGGTTATTGAAAAGAAGTTGTTTAAAGATTTAAACATATTTGATCCCTGTGACCTTAAAAACAAGTCAAGGTAATTCATATAAACAAACCTGGTAACCCTTTATCCCTTCATGCTACAGGTCCAATATCAGCACCCTGGACCTTTTGGTTCTTGAGAAGAAGTTGTCTAAACAATTGAAAATACTTGGACCCTGTGACCTTGAAAGCAGGTCAGTCATTCAAATTAACAATTTTTGTAGCTCTAACTCCATGCATGCTACAGGCTTGGCTTTTTCATTATTGAGAAGAAGTCATTAAAAATATTTGACCCCTGTGACCTTGAAAGCGTGTCCAGGTCATTTTTATAACAAACTTTTTAGTCCTTCATCCTTCTTGCTAAGGCCCAATATCAGTACCCTGAGCCTTTTGGTAATTGAGAAGAACTCATTTGGATGGAAATTTTACGCCTGGCGAATGGCGGACGACACACAGCTTACAATCAGATGACCTAATGATGCTGGAATAATAGCAAATAATAATAGTAGGTATAATGATACTGGGACCAGTCTGCATAGAATATTCAATATTTCAAATTTTACCATGAACTTTCACATGATTATTTGACCTCTTGTCAGGTGACTTCTCATGTGTGCTTTGTTAAAATTATGATTCATTATGCAATCAGTAAATATTAAATGGTAACATTCAGATATGATATATTTTTTATAAACATTTAAATTTCTATTTTTTGTGATGATGATCTTGACCTTGGAGCTCTCAAAGCAATGTAGTAAGTCAAAGTGTAATCATCCAATTAGATATCGAGATACTTTGCAGAAACCAAATATCTATTTATAGTGACAATGACCTTGAACTTTAACATCAGGTCCAAAAATCATTCCCACACAAGCATTTCGTTCCATGAAGCATTGGTTACGTTTGAGTGTGACTGACTAAACAGAACTTGAGATATTGTTGCAAAAACAAAAATAACAGAAAGAGAGGTGGCTGGATAACTTGATAAGTATAGGGCACCTGCATTTTTGTTACAGGGCCCTAACCATTGTCACCCAATCATTAAAAAAATGCCTGAATACTTTTATACCGGGTAACTACAACATGTAATGCAAATATAGTACACTGTATGTGATTTTATCAACAAGATGATACTGGAGCATGTCCTAAGTATTGGTTTTAATAATAAAAAGCTGGAAACAGTTAAAACAGACTATCCTATCAAATACCTTGTTTACTAATCAAGGAATTACAAGCATTTGATTCAAGCACATCCAGGACTGTAGAAGAAAAATATTGAAAATTTAGACAGTTTGGCCTTTTCTGGTTCATACAGTCCATCAATCCTTGGGGCTGGAGCCAAGTTATAATGTTCATGCTAATAAATAGCCCATAAAATTGTCATGAATTATTTCCAACACTCATATCTTTCAATTTCAATTAGAATGACATGTATAAAAAATACTGTACCTTAACAGCATTCTTTTTTAAGGTGTAACTGAACATACTACCTCAGTATGTGATAACAATCAGTGACTCTCATCATGAGTATTAAAACCTACCCCAAGCCTGTGTCCAGTAGAACTCCAGATTTTTCTCGGATGCCAAATGTTGCTTGACTGCATAGCTGACTCTCTGTATTACCATTTTCTGGAGGTTTGACCTTTGTAGCAAATAAGTCATAGTCGAGGAGTGACCAAACGGATCAACTGCCCAGCTGACATTTGGTGTGATACCTACATTGCAGCATCAAAAACGAAAACAAAACTTCAAAAAAAGACACAAATGATTCCTATTCAAATCATTGGTAATATTTTACAATTAAGTAAAAAAACCCACTTTATCAGAGTTTTTAAGGAATAGATATATTATCTATCATTTTATCATTCAGAAGAAGAAAGTTAGTGAACATAGAAAGTGTAAACAAGAGATCAATCACAGGAATCAATTATATATGCATCATTATCTTAGATAGATTATTATCATCAGTGACTTATCAGAGATAACTGACATTTTCAAACATTGCTTATCATATAATCCAGACAACTAACTAAACTACACATGCAAGATTAACAGGTGCCACTAATCTATTGGCTAGCCTTGTTCTCTATAAAAAAAAAAATAGCCCCTACATCTTACTACATTGTAATGATTTATTTATAAAAATGTTACTGCTTGATGCTAATTTGGAACAAGTGGCCCTATGGGCCTGCACTGCTCACCTGGTGTTAATATATATAGCAGCAACTTTGACCATTGTGACATTGAATTCATGTCAAGGTCGATTCTTCTCACAAACTTTGTCAGGCTGCATCCTATGAACATACCAGCAAAACATCGTGCCTCTAGGCCTCCTAGTTCATCAGTAGAAGTTGCTTAAATGTCTGAACAAACTTGACCCTTGTGACCTTGAATATAAGTCAAGGTCATTTCTTTTCCACAAACTTTGTCAGGCTTCATTCTAGGAACATACCCGCAAAATATCATGCCTCTAAGCCTTTCAGTTCATAAGAAGAAATTGTTTGAAATTTTAACAAATTTGACCCCTGTGACCTTTAATATAGGTCAAAGTTTTTTTTTTCCTAAAAAATTTTGTCTGGCTTCATCCTTGAAATATACCAGCCAAACATGATACCTCTCGGTGTTTCAGTTCACGAGAAGAAGTCATTTCAAGGTTTTAACAAACCTGACCCCTGTGACCTTGATAATAGGTCAAGGTCATTTCTTTTTCCAAATTTTGTTGGGCTTCATACTAGGAAAATACCAGCCAAATATCAAAACATTTAGCCCATTTGTCCATTGGTTATTGAGAAGAAGTTGCTTAAAAGAAAAAGTTGACCCTGAACCAAGGACAGACAACAGACGACGGATGACACGCACATGATCCTCACTTGGCCCTGCTAAACTCAATCAAGATATTCTTGAGCAATAAAAGTGAATTTTTTATGAATATCCCTCAATGAGTGAAGCTGCTACAATACTAACAAAGATTTTGCAATAATAGTAACTGACCATGACCTTAACCCTACATCTTTAAAACTTGAAAACTTGCCAAAGATATTTTGATCGTTTACAGTATGTGAAGTATGAAGCTGCTAGAAAGCTGGTTATGATTCTGGAGAAATAGATAAAGGTGACCTTGGCCCAACAACGTGTCCTAGATATTTTGATACTTTATAAGAGCATGGAGTTCAATGAAAGTTCCTCCAGGTATGATGCTGCTAAATAAAGCACTGGCAAACTTTGTGACAGATAGATGAACAGAGTGGAAAACTATAGAAAACTTTCAAGATTAATAAATTCAATATTCTTTTTTTATTTGAAACATGATAAGCATCCTCCATAGAGTTTTTAGACATTTACTTTGCCTTCTCAAAAATGGTGCCTGACAGTAAGCTTTTGTTACCTGATTTCTACAATAATGCAATTAGTGCAATAATAAACTATTGGGAATTTTAATATGAAATTTGAGAAAGTTCTTTCTTTACTTCATTACTTTTTCTGCAAAAGATAACAAGGATAGTTTAATGAGTAACAAGGGGTCATAGATGTAAGGTAAACTAAACAGTCCATCAGGTAAAAGTAGCTAGCTACGAGAGTGACGACATATGTGTGAAATGTCATTTTTCAAGAGCAGTGATTGTTATCAAACTGCAGGAATTCATTTTGGTAACAATAATTTGAAGCAATCATGCAAGTATCCTTACCAATCCATGGTTGAAAAATACTATTGATGAATGGGACTGCCACACTGGTGACTATGATTCTGTTCTATTATGATCACAGTGACCTTGATTCTTCCATAATTTTTCATATTAAAACAAAGCTATGAAGTTTAATCATAATCTATCAGTTAATATGTCAATGGGTGACAAAAAAGAATGTGGATATGAAATACTGATGACACCAGTATTTATATCTGTTCATATTATGCTCTACCTGTGAAATTTCATTAAGATTCATCAGCTGAATCATGTTAATGTGTGTAAAAAAAATCTGAATAAAAAAAGATACTCTGACTAAATATAAGAACTGATGTGAATAAATGAAAAGATCTATAAGATTGAATTACATAATACACAGGTATAAATGATAAGATCTTAAGACAGAGGTTACATAATACACAGGTATAAATGATAAGATCTGTAAGACAGAGGTTACATAATACACAGGTATAAATGATAAGATCAGTAAGACAGAGGTTACATAATACACAGGTATAAATGATAAGATCTGTAAGACAGAGGTTACATAATACACAGGTATAAATAAAAAAAAGATCAGCTGTAGCTGTTGTTGGGCCTACATATAAACTGTTAATGAAAAGTGCTTACTACTGTATCAGCAATATTTACATAAATGATCTTTTTATAAATGACCTATCCCATTTGACCTTCAACTGAATAAATGCCTTAAAGCATAATGTAAGCAGGTGTTAAGAGCCAGAACATTTAAAACAGTTTCAGTCATAACTGCATTTTCACCTTGTCACAATACATTGACCTTGATAACCTGACACAGGTGTATGAAGCAGTTGTTTTCACTGTTTTCACATTCTGGTCTGGCTTGCAGTAATAAGCTTAAGTGACAGAAGCATCCAATACAGGACATTAAGCATCTGACTGGCGTGAGTATAGGTAGATAAAAAGGACATGCTTACATATAAAATAACATGACTACCCTGTAAAACAAATCAAGAAAGCTGGAATAAAAATTGAATAAGCTGAAAGAAGACATCTTCACATATCTTTCATTTATCATTAAAACCCATGTAAAATGTTAAAATATAGAAAGAATATTGAAATTGATATTTTATGCAGATATGACATCTCTACTCTAAGATACAGTTTCTATTGGTAAGAGATGTCATTATTTTATATCAATGTCTCTGCTGGGAATCAAATCCGAGGTCTCTGGTTTACTAAGTAATCTAAAAATCAGCCAATCAAGTTAAAGAGAAGTTCTTTCCAGGTGAGTGACATATTGCAGCTAGTACCCATATTTACCATGGTTACCTGCTTATCTGTGGTGTTGTAAATAGTGTACTGAATTAATAAATAAGGTATATATTATTTTTCTCAAAGTGTACACACTCTGACAAAAACTCACACTACTGCAAAAAAAGTGTTTTAAAAAGCAATGCAAATTTTACTGATAGAAACATATGTCAAGGTGTTTCAGATTAATTCATTTTTCATGATAACAAATCAGAATACATAATCATGCACAAAATCAATACTGTTGTGAAGCACAGAAACCATGCATATTTGTATGAAAAGTTTAAACCTTAGAAGACCTGTACTTTAATTAATGTACTAAATAACATCTACACATATATATTGGGATCTGAATTTATACCAGACATGTACTTAAATTGTATTACATTATATATATATAGCATACTAAATTATACCTTTACCAGATATCTTATATAGAGTACTAAATTATACCTTAATCAGATATCTTATATAGAGTACTAAATTATACTTAATCAGATATCTTATATAGAGTACTAAATTATACCTTAATCAGATATCTTATATAGAGTACTAAATTATACCTTAATCAGATGTCTTATATATAAATATATATATAGCATATTAAATTATACCTTAACCAGATATCTTTATAGAGTACAATATTATAGATTAATCAGACATCTTACATAATGTACTTTTTTTATACTAGATTTAGCTGAAATCCACTCAGGCACAAAGAAGGAGTAGCATTTCAAAGGAAATGTCTACATTGCAAATGGCGCTCAGTGGATGACAAAAGAAGCACAATGTTTATAGGTCATCTTGACTCATCTGGACAGATGCCCTAAAATGCCCACAAAAAAGCAATTCACTTCACAGACAAAAAAAAAAATCTGTGATGGGTCAAGATAAATACCTAGATTTTGTTGAAGCCACTGGTGACCTTCAGTGAGCTGTGTAAGCATGGCTGCATAGTGAGCTGTTGCCTCATCTGACATCACCCAGCCACCAGTCACTATCTCCAGCTGACCACTACGCAATACTCTGTCAGAGAAATATATACAAACATGTTATGTTGATTTGATTTTGACAAATGTCACTGTATACTACATCTACGTATGCCTCAAACACAAGAATGTATATTTTACATATATTGTGTACAGCAAATAAGGTCACACTTAAAATCTAAGTTGAAAATTTCTGATGTTTGCAGTATTTTGATTTCAGGAATCATTTTTACATTTCAACTACTTTTTACAGTTCAAATGGTTTGTATTTCCCAGTTTTTTTTTGTTTGTTTGGGTTTGTTTGAGTTTCTTGTCTGCATTTCATTCTTATGTAACCGTGATCAATTTATAAATGTGTACTTCCTTTTTCTTGACTACAATGTTTTTCACATCAATTCTAGAGCTTCAGCATAGTGTTAGTCAAAATTCCATCTTCTATCATCTAAAGGGATATTGCTGCATTTTTCAACACGTTTTGAGTTCAACATGTTTATCCCTGCCATGTTGTTCACCAACTGTCATTGGTGAGGTTTCTAAAAATCCTTGCAAAAAACTGGCTTCTGTTGTGTATGCTACAATTTTAGCCATTACTTTGATTTCGATATCATTTTCACCATTCAATGAGAGTTATTGCTTTGAAGTTTTAATTTAGGCCTCCTGGATAAACTCTATTCTATAAATAGCTAATGCATAATATAACCTGTGATCATATGTTTAAATGATAAAATACATGTATATACAAACCTATTTAGCTTGAGTTTCCTGTCAGCAGATGCTTCTGACCACCACCGAGCCAACCAGATGACATCTGACCAAATGAACGTCCAGTCACGATGAATGGTCAGTTTATCCACAATTAGATCCAGTGTAGATGCAGTGTACAGCATATAATAGTTGTCAAATGTCTTTAGCCACCCTGAAAGTTAATGATCAACTGCCTACTTGTATAATATGTTTTGTACATGTACCATGTAATACATCTAATGTAGTGTGGTAGGTACTCTTTGTAGTCATGATCATTTTTATTTCTTAATAAGTGTTTAATTACCAACAACCTTACTGAAAGCCTACATCTTTGACAGAAACATCATTCAACAGAAAGCACCAACTTACCTGGATCCTGATGAGAGTGAGGAACTATGATAACTTCAAGGGGTTTCACTGTCCATGTCTTGACTTTGACTACTTGAATCCAGCCACTCACAGAGAAGATAAAGTTTGGGTAATTGACTGGTATTTTGTCCCATTCCTTCTCCATCTTATTAAATCAAAAGAGCATTCCAGGCTTATTTACTCTTCAGATATTATTGATGCTTGACAGGATATTGGATTTGATCATTTACTGTCAGAGAGTATAGTTGTATACCCTAATGTCAAAACCTTTTCCATGTTATCAAGTCAGTAAAAATTAAGGCAGTGTTGTCACAGGTTAATTCAAATGAGATGTAGCCACTGGTGGAAAACTTGACAGATCAAGTCCTTATCAACTGAAACTTCGTCAAAAATAATGCACTTTTTGAGACATTACTTTGTTCTAAGTTGTTGTTAAATCTTTGATAAATTCTCAAAAAGCATAGGCTATAAAAATCCACCATAGCCTAGATATTGTAAAGTACCTACAGTGCCATATAGGTTACTTTGTTTAAAAGAAATATTTTTATAATATTGAAATATACTGAAAATACATTCCATTTCCACAATGATAATTATCAGGTAAGTACTTCACAACTCTAGCTACAATATGTGTTCATGAAAGAATATGTTACATGTATTATATGTTATATACCTGAATATCAACAGAAGCATCTTCAGCAGGACAGGTATCACTAAATAAAGGCTGCCACTGACCTCCAATGCCATCATTTGTATAAACAATAGATAGCCTAGACAAATCTACATCATCGCAAGGTGAGTCATTTGTTGTCTTCTAAAATGATAAATGAAAAAGAATCAACCTTTGTGTGTTTATTCACTACATAAATATTAAAATGGCCACTGAAATAGTCAGGTGGTCCAGTAGATATCAATGGCATCACCAAAGTGACAAGGATTTTGGATGTTAAAGAGTATAGATCCACCTGCCTGATCATGTTTAAACCTCAATCAACTGGTTAATTACAAGTGAACATGTCAATATTCCAGAGAAAACTTGCCAAAAATACCCACACAACTACAATCTTCATCCCCTAAGCCCCTACCTTGCTTTAATTTACATGAACTTCTGCTAATTACATCGTAGGCATTTTCTGTCATTATATTTACAGTCCCTTAAGCTTTCAACAGTACAAGTGTTCTATATAAGGACTGTGGTGTAGATGAAGAAAGTTATCAAATTTTGTCCAAAACATGATGGTTTTGTGTTTTGAAAGAATTTGCTTAAACTACCAATACACTGTATATAAATTGTTGTTTTACAAACACCAAGCAATGAGCAATCATGAATTTGGTTTGTTTGTTTGTTGGATTTAAAGCCCAGTGAACAGTTTTTGAGGAGGGTCTCTCTGTAGTAGCTGGTTGCTACTTTAATTAACAAGATATGGGAGATCTGTCACTTGCTGTCAAAAGCATTAAGGTAAAGTGTCTTGCTCATATGCACAACTACATCAGCACAGACAGTCCTTTCCTCAGCTTCAGCAGAAACAAAAACCATCACAGGTAGAGAGCTTTTAAATCAAAACCATGCACTTAGATTGAACTTGAATCCTCACTTAAGTTACATTGGCAAACCACTACTAACTGAGCTATTGCATCTTCTTCATGATTCTGGAACCATTTCCCACCATTAATACTTACATGTATAAAACTCATCAGATTGGTGACCATCGTCCTGTCGTTACCTAGTAAGTACATGATCCACACACTGCAGATAAAGTACAGTCCACAAAACCCTGCTAGCAGGTACATAAGGTGCCACCTCCTCATCCTTCCTCTTAGGACATTGCAGGCCATCACTTCATCAGTCTACTTAAGACAGTACAACACATTCTTTGTACGGCTGATAGTATCCTCTATTCCCATGTAGTATCCCACAATTAATCTTGGTGCAAATCAGCACCAACTGGCACAAAGAAAACAGAAGCCTGTAGTAAAAGCATGCTAATAGCATGTAATTAAATAAAAACCTTTTATTTTTTTATTAAATGTTATGACATTTCCAATGATTGATACAATCTATTAACAAAAAAGGAAATACAAATCTGTATCCCTTGAAAATCTACCGGTCTGTATAGTAATTTACGCAATTTTGAATTCTGATACTCTGAGCTAGAACATCAGAGAAGACAATTAACATTGAGATACTATTTCACAAACACATCAGCAATACAAACTGATGTTATTATCTTTCTTAACCAAACCACTTAAATGAAAGGGATTTTTTTCTCATAAAAATTGTGTAAAATTGATCATAGATCTTTTCATAAATGGTTTGTATTTATGTGTATTGCTTTTGTTTCTAAAAAGAGTTTTACATAATTCTCACTGATTCACAAAATAACTCTGGTCAGCTGCATCATCAGTACTAAGACAACATTAAAATACAGATGAAGTACTGGATGGAGTGCATGTTGATATTAGGTTAAGAAGGAGTCTAACATCTGTGAAGAGAGGGGACTTTGATGACTACACCATTTGGTGATTTAACATTAATAGGTCGATAAGCCTCCATTTGTTTTTACTAAAAATCTCATGAATCAGACGTTCTATGTGAAATATTGATCAGCTAATATTATATTTAGGCCTACTTGTACAGAGAAAATTTCATGTAAGATAGCTTTTTAAATATGGTTTCTGTTATTTTAGTAGTATGATAACCATACTGTCCAATTCCTGTGTACAGTTAATAACTCGTAGTCTGTTTGCTTTTAGCATGTTAACATTTGACTTAAGTTTTAAAGATCATTTTTCCTAAAATGAAACCACCTGAGAAAGATACAATTAACGGTATTGCTATACCAGGAATATTTTGAGTCTAGACATACATACACAATGTGGTAGCTTATAGCATAGCGACGTAACGGAACCAACAGGCATACAGGCATTGTTTCAAAATAAGCTTGCAGCATCCACTCTCTCTTAAAACAAGAGTTATCTTTCCTTTCAACCACAGGTGGCGTTTAATCAGCAGAAAAATTGTCAACAAAGATGGCGTACTGGTTCCATAGGAATCCACTTAAGGCGACTGCAATGCTTACTTTCGAATTACGCGGAGTATCAACAGATGAAAAGACAAGGCGGATATTTAAGTAATACTCTTCTTTTGATATGGAGGCTTGAAGTGTGGATTATTAACTTCACGACTATATATTGTATCTCCTGCCTAGTTGACTCATTATGTCGCTGAAGTCACGAGATCCATCATTACAATTTGGTTTCGGGCTATTTTGGTCATTTTTGTATCGTATAACACCTTATGTACTTTTCAACAAACGAATACTATGTATGTATATGATTTATTGTCACATGGTTTGTAAATGGTGTATGACAAGACAGTGTACTGTAATGGAAATTAGAAAGGAGTAATCTGGTAATGCAAAAAACACATCGCTTCCACTGGGGTTCGAACGGACACTGCTGTACCGCTTGTCCAAAGGGTAATTCCCTCTAAACAATGCTGATTAAGGCGACTTACTATATATCAATACCAATATTTAGAAAGTCAGGAGCTTCTTCCAGGGTTTTTCAAATTAATTCCATATTCTTTAAATGAGACCGGGTTATACATGATGTAGCCAGTCCGCAGGGGTCATGATTATCCACAATCTTATTTTGTCATGGTTGTGATGAATATATATCAATATTGTCATTGATAACCTACCAAGAGGTAAATTCTTGCGAGATCGGGGCAATGACAGTTTACAGCAACAAGTCTAGAGAGATCTTCACATAGGTGACCATTGTAAATATGCTGGAAAGTAAAGTTGTTGGGGAAATGAGTGAAAATACTTGGTTTATGTCATTTGATTTCTTTAACACATATGCAAGTTAGTAGAAAAATGTTTTATCTTTCCATCAAATTAAATTGATTTCTAATTATCGTGTTGTTGTTAAATATACCAAACATTGCCTAAATATCAATCCTTACAAGTGTTGCTAGAATATTTATAGATAGGGAGGAATTATGACTGTCAGTCGTGACCATGCCAAAAATAAAATCAAGTATATATGGTCAGAACTCTTCAAACTAGATGTACTTAGCTTAGTTTAAATGAAATATCAGCAATGGTATTTTTTTGTCTGACAAAGACAAAAGTAAAGTCATGGAAAGATTTAATCATATGCATCCACCTGATAATGATAAAGAAATATGATGCACATATGGATAATGGTGTGAAATTAGTAAGATTTTGATATTTTTGAGTGCTTACCTTTTATAAATGTCATATAGATCATCCATATGTGTTTTCTATCAAGATGAAAAAGACCAGGGTTGGTATGCATAAAAATTCTTAAGTGGTTAAGAATATGCTTAAGTTGAAAAACTCTGCTTAGCAGATTGGATTTTGTGCTTGGCATCTCACTTATCTTTGTGAGTGGGTTGCATAAAATTTCTGATCTCTTAAGAATATTCTTATCTTTAAACAACCTCTGAGCCAGTCTTAAATTTTTAAGCAAGTTACTTAACTCCAACAAAATGGCCGCCGCTAATGGACAGCATAATGCACTTCAACAGTTTGCAAGGGCGTTGAGACGAGAAAGACATTTTAGAGACGGGTTTGACCCACTTCAAAACTTTGATGCATTTGAACTTTATCAGAGATTTAGATTTGATAGGGAGGGAATTCTTTTTATTATTGATATTGATAAAGACGATATCGCACCTGCGATGGGAAGAAACCACAGCTTACCTCCACATTTGCAGGTTATGATTGCATTAAGAAATTATGCTACTGGGGAAATGCAACTTTGTAGCGGTGATAATTTTAACGTTTATATTTTCACATGTTATGTCAAAGTGTATTTGGTACATTTGAGCCCACTAACTACTGCTAGCTTAAATGTCGTCTGCAGAACGATGTGCAGAATGAACTTATCGTAATTCAACCATCATGTATACGCGTAACCTACCTGTCATTGTTGTCTGCCTTTTGTGATCGGACAGCTCCGATTTTCCTTTCATATGGAGATAATGCAATTTTTTTCAACTTCCTCAGTCGATCGACATATGGTGGAAGACGGACTTATAGCATTAGCTATCTTTTTCCAAGTTTCTCGTTTCCTCTGGGTTGTTATCCCAGCCACAAACTTAGATCTCAGCACAGCTTTGTTTTCCTCCACGAGTTTCGTGAGATGGAAACATTCGTCGGCAGTCCAGTTCGGTTTTCGTTTCTTGCAGGGCATCTCTCCCGTTTCTTAGACCATTTTGACTGCATACAACTTCAATGCGATTGAAAAAAGCAGACGACCGGGCACGGGTTTTCATTCACGTGCCTTTGTTTGTAAACAAAAAGTACAGGGATTGGTATGTCGCTTCATTAGCAACTAGTATTTTAAGAAGGTTGCAATCTGCTTTACTAAAAACAACTAAGCATGATGCTTAGAATTTTTATGCAACGGAAAATAAGCAACTTGCTTAAGAAAGTAGGTTGAAGGTGTATTTAAGTAAACATTTAAGAAAAATACTTAGAATTTTTATGCATACGAACCCAGGCCTAATAAAAGAGCATATTTGCTAACTTGTATAATTATTGATTAGGCTGAAAGGAGACTTAAGCATGTAAATGAAAGTAAAACATTGAAAACATTGATGGAAGTTCAAAGTTGTGTATTTGGGAGATTCACCTGCATTACTATTGTTATTGTTACAGATATTGGACAATGTTGTGATGATTAACATGCAAATCAGTAAATATCTCCCATCAATTGTTTTAATTACTGAATATATTTCATGTACCTGTAGTATAAACATTAATTGCTTGTCTTTTGATTTTAGTGAATTGCGGCAAAGTAGGAATAAATTACTAGAGTTACTTACTGATCCAAACCATGATCCAGTCACAGTTGAGAAGGCAACATCTGACTACTTCTGTCTGCTTATGGGTCTCACTCAGCCATTCGGAGAGGAGGGCGACAACAAATTGAGAAAAGCAATCAAGTTCAAATGGACCAATACACTTCTAGGAAATACCCCAATGTGAGTGACTTTAACTTTAAAATAATGCAAATTAAATTAGGTGATTCAAAAAGACTTAACAAGGAAACTTTCTTATCCTAAGTGGATGAGAATTACTAGACAATTATAGCTCACCTGTGAGAACAGCAATTGAGTTTGTGTTTTTGCGTGACATCGGTCAGACCAGTCTCAACTCTACCATTTAAACAGTGTCTCAATTACGGTACTTACAGGGAACAATTTAAAGCTGTATGTTTTTGATATGGTATCTGTGTTTACAGGGAACAGTTTGATGCTGTATATTTATGTTATAGTATCAGTGTTTACAGGGAACAGTTTGATGCTATATAATAGTATCTGTGTTTACAGGGAACAGTTTGATGCTGTATATTTATGTTATAGTATCAGTGTTTACAGGGAACAGTTTGATGCTGTATTTTTATGTTATAGTATCAGTGTTTACAGGGAACAGTTTGATGCTATATAATAGTATCTGTGTTTACAGGGAACAGTTTGATGCTGTATATTTATGTTATAGTATCAGTGTTTACAGGGAACAGTTTGATGCTGTATATTTATGTTATAGTATCAGTGTTTACAGGGAACAGTTTGATGCTATATAATAGTATCTGTGTTTACAGGGAACAGTTTGATGCTGTATATTTATGTTATAGTATCAGTGTTTACAGGGAACAGTTTGATGCTATATAATAGTATCTGTGTTTACAGGGAACAGTTTGATGCTGTATTTGAGGCAGCTTCTATGGCCATTAACATTGGACTGTGGTACACAAAGCATGCTGCCAAACTTGCTGCAAAGGAAGAGTAAGTGTCAGGGAAGTGATTTTAGGACCCAGATGTTGGAGACCTGGTCTCATACTTTGCTGTAGGACTCCCTCTTTTTTGAGAACCCACTATGTCTCTATGTGAATTGACTTGTCAAACTTTTAGAAATAACTCTCTGGACTCGTCAGAACAAAATCCTTCAAAAATAATTATCTGAAGGTCAGTACTTCTAGTGATATAATTGTTAAACAGTTTCTGTTCCAAACTTTCAAAAAACCTGTTATACTGAAATCATAAGTAAAACTAAAAATTGATAAAACGAAGGCAAAATATAATTAGCTCTTCCAATGTCAGATGTTAGTTAACTTGGGAGGAGGATTATGATATAATATGATTTCATTGGAGAAAGGTAATTGATACTTTGCGTTGTATTTATTAAAGAAATTTATTAAATTGTTTAAGAAAACTATAGTCAATTGGTGTATTATTATGAAAATTATATAAATAGACATAAAAGTATAAAATAGTATGCTCAGAGCTTAATACTGAAGGTATATATAGTTCTTGAACTCCTGAAATAGACATATATTCATACTACGCTTAATAAATGATCATAACTTAAATCCCATCCCTATTCAGAATCTTATAGTTATGAATGTTACACATGTCACTAGTGCAATTATGATAAATACACATATGTCCTTTTCTTGAGATTTGTTTTATATTGGTATGTTCTTTTCAGACCAGAAATGGAAGAAGCAAAAGAGGTTCACAAATGTTTGAGGGTCGCTGCAGGCTTATTTACATTTGTTAAGGTGAAAACAAAATCATTTAATTATGCAAGATATTTCATTACTGAAATTATCGAATGTTATATAACTTCAGAGAGTTGAACTTGCGAGGTTGAATTTTCTTTTGTAAAATTCTGCTTTAGAAGTTCTCATGTTATCATTATCATAGATTTGGCAGTTGGCATTTAAAGATTATTATTGCTACCTGCAAAGAAATGTTTAAATTTCTTATCATTAAGAGCGAAAACATAGAAGGAAAGAGAAAGGAAAGGGAAAAGATCTAACCTTCAAAAGACAAATAAAGATCAAACAATGGTGGATGCCAAGATCCCTCTGGGATCTGTTGTATATTTTTCTTACTCTAGATGTTTAATCTGTAAATTTTATTGCTCCATATTTCTGATAATTTTTCAAATATTTTGAATGGAAATGTGTTCCCCTCTAGGATGATTTGATCTCTCGGTTGTCTGAGAATACCCAAGGAGCCATAGATACAGACAGTCGGGTCTTGGAGGCCTACATCCACCAGTGTACTGCAGAGGCTCAAGAAGGTGAGTCTTTGGGTGATCAAATTTTCGTAATAATTATTCTTAAGTAAGGATTCATTTGAAGGATATAGGAATAGTTTTAACACACCATCGTTAGATGATGGGGTGTTTGTTTACTTTGCCTTTTGTTTGTGATATGACCCTGTCCACCACCTGTCTGTCCATCCATAAGATTGATATTGCTCTATCTTGAGAAATACTGTATTGGTCTTTCATATCTAAGATCCCCAGGTGTGCCTTGTCTGTTTATGATACTGATCAGAAAGATATTTCTCATTCTCAATTTGCTTGCCAGTTTCCCTTGTGTAATGATGTTGCCTCTTGTATGTTAATTTTGTGCTTCGTGTATGATTTTTACAGTAACCCTGGCCAGAGCTGTTGAGATGAAGCATGCTTCATCTTTGATCGCATCTTTAGCTTATGAAACTGCACAAATGTACCAGAAAGCAGGTGAGATGTGTAAACAAAACCTCTTGTCGATCTAAAAATGTTTTGTGAATTTGTATCCTGATTTTAGTGAATTAGAAATGTGATTATAGAACAGGTACTGGATTGAATAAATTGTCTGATTCTATATCAAGAAATTTGTTCAGTATTTAGATATTCACTATCATTAAGAATGTCTGCCAACAAAACTTGTCTTTCTTGTGTTTAGATGATGCTTTAAACAGTTTAGATGACAAAGTGGTACTGAAATGGCGCAAGTACTGTCAGCTGAAGTGCAGTTTTTACACAGCATATGTAAGCTCATGTTGTTTTGTATATCACAGGTTTTATTCATTCAAACATATTTACAAATGTATATAAAAAGAGAAAAACAACAATGCTGTGCAAAGATAACGATTGACAATTATAGGCAATAGGTAATCATGCAGGAGATTTATGGAGGCTATAAAAGATTACATCTTTATCTTTAAACACAATGGTTTTGTTAATGTAGGTAACTGAGACATTATTCAGAAATGAATTAGCTGTCCAGTAGAAGGATCATACATATAAACAGTTATGAAGGGACAATTTGCTGTACATCTACTGTTTTTGAACAAACTTTTAATGTCTGGCAAGACAGATAAGAGTTTTCATCATGGTCACATTAAAATGTCAAGGAAACAGTAGATTTTATAAAAAAAATTATTGGTATAAATTGTTCATAAACAGTATTTTCATGGAAGAGTTTGTTAAAAGGTTAAACAAAATCAGTCAAGTTAACAAAACTGAGTCTTAAAAGACACCAGGTACACTCTGATTTCAAGATAAGTTTTATAGCTATGTGAAAAAAAAACTATTTTGAAAAAAAAAAATGCAGAACAGTAGAAATTCATGTCCCTTTCTGTGTTAGATAATTCTGAAGATAGTAGATGTTTTGATACAACTTTGTTAATACATTTTATTTAATTTGTTGATATGTACATTTCATGTTGATTTCTCAATATTTGAAAGATTGTACGGACAGGATTATTGACAAGAAACAATGGTTGCTAGAAGTTTTCAGAGAATGTGATAAAATGTCCAAATATGTTGTCACACCTGTAACGTCTGATAATTCAGCTAAATCATAACCTGGAAGTTTCCAATGATTGTCTTTGGGAATATGTAGCATGCTTTAGACTTTAATACTGAGATATGAAATGTGGCCTGATATTTATAAGTTTAGGATATGTGACCTGGACATCAAGCCTTAGTCATTATGCAAGTTAACTTACTGTTTATTAAAGCAGTAAATGGGTCACTTAAATAGTACAATACTAATGTACTTTAGTAGGAATCATTGCTTGTATTACCTATATGGTAAGATTGACTGTGATATATGTTGATAATTCAGGTTTTAACTATTTGAATTTTATCGGGTTTGTTATATAATAAAGAGATGCATTCTGTTTTTGGTATTCATTTAAGGCCCATTGTTACCATGGAGAGACACTTTTGGCACAAGACAAGTGTGGTGATGCTGTAAGGGGACTACAGGAGGGAGTGAAATGTAAGTGTTTTATAAGAACCTCAGAAGGGAGTGAAATGTAATTGTCTTGTAACAATATCAGGAGGGAAGGAAATGGACACATCTGGTTATTTTTGAGACGTGTCAAAGGTTATCAACAAAAACTCATCACACAGTATGTTTCTAGTCATAGTGTTAATGGAAATTTTAATATCCAGGCAGTTTCCTCGAAATTATGATGGATATGATGAAGGGAAGTAACTGTGGAATGGATTTAAATATATAACTATAACTCAGGAATTGATTTAGATGCAGAGAAGATATTGAAGTAAAAAGAACCTATTCATATATTCATGATTATACATCGGCAAACATGAGAAAACAACTAGGTTTTAATCATCCTTCTTTCACAGAAAACACCCCCAAAAACTGAAGTAATTATTTAGGCACTGTCCAACAGTCAATCCACCCATCCATCAGTCAGATGTTTTAATTTCTATTTGATGAAATTTACCTCAGGCAAACTCAGTTAATACCGAAGTTGTCCTGCTGGTACATTATAGGGGCTAAGGTTTTGATTATATATATAGTTGGTTATAGAATTCATTGATTTGTACATATTGTTACTTGTAACTTCCCTTAGTATCGTCCATTTTATGCCATTTTTTGGCCTGCACTTGTTTATTTCTTTAAGTTGTACCTGGTATGTGTTTTTACCAAGTTTAGTATACAGGTGCATTTTTTGATGTCAAATAGTGGAATTGATAAGTGATAATGGATATTTTTACTTAGGTTGGTTGATTTGTTGTTCATGAGAGGAAATAAATTCAGGTCATGTCCAAGGTTGTAAGTCTTTTCTCTCACCATTTCTGCTATAATTCACAGTTGACAATAAAATATAATCTGGTTACTGGAAATTTCCTACACAGGTTAATGTTCAAGCTACTTGACGTTGGCTTAAATATGTCATTTTTCTATTTATAGTGTATGGACAAGCAGAAAAGCAATGTTTGGAATATGCATCAGCTAAAGGACTTGGAACCTTCGCTCGCCCAGCAAATCACCTGTTTTTTCGAAAAGCAGGACCTGTACTGAAACGTACCTTAGAAAAATGTGATAGGGAAAATGGAATGATGTGAGTTGCTTCTAGTTGATAATGACAGTAGGCCAAACCTGTCGAAATGTAAAATATATAAAGGTATGGTGGCTAGATTAAGTAAAAAAGCTATTGGTAGCTGGCTGAGTGGGAGGCAGTGTAATGGGCCTATAAAGAATTGGAGTGAATATTTATATAGAGGACATGCTACCAGCATTGAACCCTATATGTCAATAAACATACCTGGTTTTATTTGGTTCTTGAATGTTGAATAGATATTTATACAGTGCCCCATCTGAGTATAGGCTAAGTGATATTCACCTGATACCATCTACAACAGGTTTTAGCTCACCTGCTGGAAGACAAGTGAGCTTACGTTGTATTGCAGTCATCCATTGTCCTTTGGCCATCAACCTTTTCCCTTCAAACAACTATTGTCAGTAACCAAGGTACCAAGGGCATTGATATTGGATCTGTAGCATACTGGAATGAGGGCCATGAAATTTGTCCTAATTAATGACCTTCAACCAGTGTCAAGGTCACTGGGGTATAATAATGTTAAAATTTGTAAACAATTTCTTCTCAATATCCGGGTCCAGGGTATTCATATTTGGCCGTTTGCATGCTCAAATGAAGGGCAACCAATTTTCTTCAAATATTTGGCCTTGACACACTTTCAGTGTCACAGAGGTCAAATATGGTCAAGTCTTTAAACAACTTTTCAATAACCAATAGGCTCATGGACTGATATTTGGCAGAAACATATAGTTAAATGAAGGGCTTTATGTTTAATGAGATTAACCTCAACCTTCTTCCAGGGTCACAAGTGTCAAATGTCCAAACACCGTCTATATATTTGAAAAAAAATATTAGAAATATTAGGTGTTTTTGGTCCTATTATGAAACTTTGGCAGGCAACTGCTTCTTACTTCAAAACATAAAATGGATTAAGACATTTGACTCTTATTTCATTACTTGTATGGATCAAAAATACATGTTCATGTTGGAGAAAGTCATACAAAGGTACAATCAAATAAATTCCATCCCCAGCTTTATTTTCTCTACGTTATTTATTAAAGGAAAGAAAAATGTGAGCTTTGTATATCATTGACCTCTGTTTTGTGTTAAAACAAGATTCTATATTAATAAGGATGTATGTAGTGACAAAACAAACGTTTGTCTGTGTTATAAACTTGATAGTTTGTCTGTGTTATAAACTTGATATCAAATCCTGTACAAAGTGAATTCTATTCTGATATAGGATAATGCTCTAGCATTTATTATTGTAATACACTTGATTGGTAGCTACCACCAGAAGGTTCCATTTGATGCACCATTGCTGGAGTTGAAGGCCACCTATGGACTGGTAGCACCTGAGGTGTTTACATTTCCTACTATGAGCCCACTCTGGACCAAGGAAGTCTATGAAAAAATGAATGCAAAAATGGCACCGAAACCTGAGGAGGTAAGTTTAAGTCTCTAATATGTTTATAAAACACTGTCCCATGTATACATTATAAAAGTGAAGCCTTTATTTCTAGAAATCACTTATTTTATCCATAAAATTGCTATCAATTTTTTCTTAGGAAATTACATCATGCAAACTCAGAATGTTGTCCTAACATAATCCTGAAGATTTTCTAATATATCGTAGGTAATGTTGAAGAAAGTTCTACCATGATGCATTGCCATATTCAATTTAAAGGCTCTTCAGTTGGAATTATATGATGGGATGGGAAAAAGGAAGTCCATAATTCTCTTGTTAATGTATTATCTTGTGAATTGTTTGCTGCACCAGATTGCACTCTTATTTGTTTCTTTAATCTAGATAATGTAATCAGCAAGTAGGTTCTGGTACTAAAGTAGAAGTAAAAAATATCTATTTCAGAACAAAGACAAGAGTAAGAAGCCTGAGGACCTCCCACCTGTAAAGGAAAAGGAAACACCCATGTCAGATAAAGATCCTGGCACTTTCAGTGGTTGTGTAGTATCATAAACAATGTGAATACAGATCTTTCTTGTTCACATCATTTAGGCCCTACACTCAACCTCGCCCTTACACTAAAGAGGAAATATTAGATATAGGAACACTTGACTACAGCCTTTTTGTGTTAATGACCACTTTACTAGGATAGGCTGCCAGAGCTTGGATATGCTTCTTCTTTACATTGATAGGCTGCAAGTTTGCTCTTCCTAGGATACAATGGCGAACTCTATTTTATGAAATGTGATCGTGATCTGAAAAGGAATTTCTTTGTATGGCACGAGTGCAGAGAGTAGCTGTGATACTGTGTGTATCTGTCATGTTAGTTCCCTTTTAATATAACGCTGTCTTTTACAGCAGTTCTGTTACACTAATATCTTCACCAATTTTCTTATTCATATTTTGAAAGGTTTTAGAAGCACAAACCTTTATTCTGAACCTATATGATATTTAGAAAGCAGAAGTATTCTGGAATGGATGAGTTATGTAACATATTTATGGAATATCTTGTATTTATTAAGAAATGCATGTTATAGTGTTTAAAATTGAAGTCAATATATTGTATATAAAAAATGCTCTGATTGTAACTTGATGATATATGTATGAACCAGGAAACACCAGTTTGTCTAATATGGAGGTTAAGTAATTTTTTGTAATTACAAGAGTAGAGTAGTATAAGTCAGAGTAGACTAATTAACCTGATTTTTGTATCTTGTTGCTCCATGTATATTGTACTCAATACTTACTGCAAACCATGACATGTAGAGAATGTTTTACTTCTAAACACCAAGTATGAATTCAACTTTGTTGCTGTCATTTTCTTTCCTTTGATTTCAATTTTTCCCTTGCAATTCTCTTGACTTTGTTGAATTAGTAACTTTTTTGGTGCAATAAGTGTATTGTTAATTTATCTAATAAAGATTCATGAGTAATTTTTTTTTTTCATATACAAATGTACAAGGATTACAAATATCCACCGGAAGTAAGGATTACAAATATCCACCGGAAGTAAGGATTACAAATATCCACCGGAAGTAAGGATTACAAATATCCACCGGAAGTAAGGATTACAAATACAAAGAAATGTGATCAGTTGTTGGCTTTGTTGTATGTCCTGTAGAAATTAGCAGGAAAATAAATTACAAAATTGCATTTTCAATAGAATTTTTTCCATGTCTCTTAATCTCACAATTAACAGTATAATGTAGTGTTTGAAATTTAGAAAACATACATGAACTAAGTGTTGCCTACAGATTGATCTGATATGATACAATTGTAAAAATATTGGATGCTTTTTCACCTTAACTCTGACTTATAATCACTAATTTGTATTTAGAATACATGACCTGTAAAGTATTGGAACTTGTTTCTATCAGATAATTATATATTGACTCTGTATAGTTGTGTCTTTTAGCATAATACTAGATCCCTGTGTATATTGCTGATATATGATAATAAAAGGCCCTTGTGTCTGTAAACTGTATATTGTGTACAAGATAATATGAAATGTACATTTTGTTTTTATGTTTGTACCATATCATATATTGCATGGAACACAAAAGTTAAGCTTATTAATTGCTGTACACGCTGTAGTGCTATCCTGAAGCTATTAGCACATATATTGATTTCTATGTTATAATGTGCTAAATGCTATCCTATCATTACTTTAAGTGTCAACTTTGTATGTAGTGCTAATCAGGAGTCCTAGAGAACAAATATTAATATGAGGATGCTGTAAGGTAAGACCACCATTAAATCATGTAAGAGATACACTAGAGACAGCTGTAAGGTGACTAGAAGTTTGACTACATTCACCTGTATGGTGACTGAATACACTAGAGACAGCTGTATGGTGACTATAAATACACTAGAGACATCTGTATGGTGACTATTAATACACTAGAGACACCAGTATGGTGACTATACTCTAGAGATAGAGCTATTGTGAATGAATACACTAGAGACAGGTGTTGTCCTCATCAGTGTGTGGTCACTTTTCATCAAGTAAGACACAACCCTTGTAGAATACCTGGATAATCTTTTATTATTGCTTTCGTAGAGCCAGACTGGTGCATATATAAGGTACTTTCTACTAGGTCTTAGATGTGATTATGTCACAGATACTATAGATAGTAGCTATAAATTACTGTACAGTGTTTTCATCACTCACCAGATATTATGTAGCAGTTGTATGCAATATACTCTGTATGGTTTCTCGTGCTTTAAGGCTAATTCAACTGAAAATTTTTTATCCAATGCAGAATTTATTACTTTCATATGCAGTCATCTGCAGTTATTATGCCTTGGTATTTCGATGTCAAACAACATATTCATTACATCAAAAGTGAAACAACCTTGCTGTGTGAAGTACTTTTACTTCAAATCACAACCTTGAAGCCAAGACTTCAAGATATATTTACAAACATATCCACATCAATGGAAAGGTCATACAATATATAATATGTAAAAGACGTCATAATTGAGAGATTTCGTTAGTTAAGATGACTTTTAGCAATTGACAACAATAACTCAGTTTATTGGAACAATGTTTAATGCAGTGTCGTTTACTGGTATCAAATAATTTATCACTATGATATTAATTTGATGCTGTCAGTTCTGTATTATCAAACTTATCTAGCTGTTATATTTCAAAGCTTTTAATTGAAAGTGAAACCATATAGAGTAGATTGTAGAGTTGCAAACCAAGGAACTAACAACCTACAGGGAAATATTGCTTTATCATAACATTTATTAAACTACTACTATTATTTCCAGATGATTTGTTAATTAGCAGAATTTTTGTTTATGAGAATCAGAAAATAACTTATTGATAAAATCATGATGATATTATGTTTAGTTGTCAATTTTGTACCTATGCTGTGGATGTTCACAAGTCTGTTGGAGTGATGTCTTGGATATAATTGCAGTCTTAAATTGTTAGTTCGTACGCCCAAAAGTCCATATAAATTATACTGTGGAGTGGCGTCCATCCATCTTCACAGTTTTTCTTCAGACTCACTGTCGTGATATCTGGTTGGTGATGGGGCAAGGCTTTAAAGTTTGTGCATTCAGCAAACAAGTTACTTTCACCCTTTTTAAAGGTCACAGTTGTCAAACATGCTAAAATCTTCCATGACTCCCTGATTCTTCATAACGGAAAGACCTAGGGTCATGATTTTTCCAATGGGTTTCAGGGATTTCAAGTTTGTTTAAATGAATAGCCTTGAGCCGCATAAAAGCTTAAAGAAGCTAAAGGTGTGCGTTTTTAGCCTACCATCTAATGAAATTGCCTTATGTCCGTGGTACCACGGTCAGTCGAGCCGTCCGTCCGTTTGTCCGTCGGTAAACAATTTTTGTTATTGCTATTTCTTAAGAAGTAATTGTTGGATTTTTTTCCCCAATTTTTGTATGTAGCCCCCATTGGTCCTTAGTTGTTCCTGTTTGATTTTGGGAATGGTCAGAAAAACAAAATGACTAAAAGACGGCCATCTTGGATTTTTTTTTGTGAAGTTTGTTATCGCTATTTCTTAAGAAGCACTTGATGAATCTTTCTTAAATTTTATATGCAAGTCCCCATGGTCCCTTGTTGTGCCTGTTTGATATTGGTAATGATCAGAAAAACAAAATGTCTAAAAGGAATTTCATGAGAAGTACATGATGGATCTTTCTTAAAATTCATCGGTAGATTTCCCTTAGTCACTAGTTGCACCCATTTGAATTTTTGGTCTTTCTTTAAGATCTTTATTAAATTTTATTTATAGGTTCTTCTTGATCTTTTCTTGTGCCTATTTGATTTTGAGACTGATCCAAAAGAAAAAATGGTCGACAGGCAGCCATCTTGGATTTCGTCGAGTAAAGTGTGCTATCCCTATTTCTTAAGAATTACTGAATGGATCTCTCATGTAGGTTACCCTATGTCTGTAGTTGTGCCCATTTGATTATGGGTATGATCAGAACGACAAAATGTCTGATATCTTTCTCAGATTTCATGTATAGACTCCTCTTTGTTCTTAGTTGTGCCTGTTTGAGTTTGGGACTGATCAGAATAACAGAATGACCGACAGTCAGCCATTTTGGATTTCGCTTAGTAAAGATTGCTGTCCCTATTTTTTAAGAAGTACTGAATGTATCTCTTACAAATTACATATCAATGTTCCCTTTGGAACAGATGAGAAAGTAAGGGAAACAATCTAACTTTCAAAACAGCAAATAAAAACGAAACAATGGTTGACACCAAGATCCCTGTGCGATCTCTTGTTTTTAATATCCCAATGCCCATGGTAGATATTTAGCTAGTAGCGTGTATGAGTGGAAAACCAGTGGCTGTCACCCACTTTTAAAATCACATTGGTCAAATGTGTTAAGATATCCCAACAACTTCTCTGTAACTAAAAGGCTGAGGATTATTGTACCTGGAGCAGTATTTATATAACATCTTGACTTAAAGACAAACAAATTTGTTAAAGTGAATGACTTAAAATGAACTTGGCCCAATTTCAATGTCACTGAAAAATAATTGGCGAGTAGCATGCTGGGTTCAATGGATATCAACTGGAAAGCTCAGGGTCATCATGTCGGCTAGTTGTATGCTTTGGTAATAGGGGATTTCATTTGCTGATACTGATTATTTTGATAAGTCCTTTTTTCATCAGCTGCAAAACTGGATAAGGTACATACCTAGTTTGTGTCTTGTCCTCACCAAATTTCTCAAGAGTTGCAAAAGGATCTTGACACTTTTCCAGTTGGCCACAATCAGCTATTTTGAATTTTGATTTTTGGGCGGGTTGCACATAGTGCCAATCCGGATTATAGTATGGTGAATGTCGGAAGGGCGGGCGTGGAAAAGGGGTACAAGTTTTTGACGTAGAAGCTTGAAACTTCAGCTCTTTTGAATTTTGATTTTTAGAATTTGCTTAACAGGCATTTTACCGAATCTATGAACATAATAAGAAATTAGAATTTATTGATAAAGTTCTGGACGAGACCTTGTTTGGTCTTGCAAAGTGTGAATATGGGCGTGACGAGTAAAAGGTTAAGAGAGCTGTTATCGATATTTCGCAATGATCACATTGTCAAAGGTCAAGGCACATGCCAGTACTAGGATTTCATCATCCACCACACTGTTAAAGCCTGCGTGACTTTTTTCAACATTTGGGATGGAACCCATTTCTATGAAATTATGGAAAATAACCACGAAGATATTCAAATTATATCATAATTGATATATACTGGACAAAATAAGTTAAGGATCATAAATTGTGACCATAATATCTTTAAAAATTAAAATCATGTATTGCCGGTAATTGCACTCGTAGTTTCTCCAATATGTACCTAAAGTCATGTCAAAGGTGAAAGCACGTGCATCTGAAGGTCTTGCCGTTCCGCTCTAGTTAACTATGGTGGTGTGAAAAACTGACTGGTCTATTACTACAGAGGAATCTTGCAGGTTTTGATTCTGTTACTTCTAAGCTAAAAAAAGTTGAATTTGGAAACATTTAATCAATTTGTAACGAAAACTTGAAAAACTAATCATGCGAAGACATTTAAATGATATGGAAGCCGCGCGAGCTATAGGGCTCCTTCAAGCTGGTCAAACTCAACGAAATGTGGCGGCACAGCTTCATGTTTCTCAGAGCGTGATTAGTAGGCTATGGAATCGCTATCAACAGACAAATAACGTCCGTCAACGCCCCAGATCTGGACGACCACGCTGTACGACAGCCCGACAGGACAGATTCATTTGCATCACGGCACGACGTCAGCGGTTTTTGAGTGCTCCTGTCTTGAATCTTCAGTTTCAGCGTGCTACAAATCTAAGGATTTCATCCCAGACAATGAGAAACAGACTCCATGCCTCTAATTTACGAGCTAGAAGACCAGCAGTCCGACCAATTTTATCCAGAGGTCATCGACAATCCAGACATCAATGGGCCACTCATCATTTGAATTGGCAATTACGTCATTGGAGAAATGTTATGTTCACAGATGAGTCTAGGTTTTGTGTTGACTTCCATGACGGTAGGAGGAGGGTATGGAGAACCCAAGGAGAGCGCTATGCAGACTGCTGTGTTGTCCAGCATGATCGCTTTGGTGGTGGGTCAGTGATGGTTTGGGCAGGGATCAGTGTTGACTTCCATACAGACCTCTACATCATAGACAATGGATCTTTAACAGCTGTTCGATACAGGGACGAGATTCTACACCCTATAGTAAGGCCCATTGCAGGAGTTGTTGGCCATGATTTTATTCTGATGGATGATAATGCTCGTCCTCACCGTGCTCGTGTGGTCAACGACTATCTTCAACGTGAAGCAATCGTTCGCATGGACTGGCCAAGTCGTTCTCGTGATCTGAACCCTATCGAGCATGCTTGGGACACCTTGCAACGCCGGGTTTCAGCTCGACCTAATCCGCCACAGAACCGCCAACAGCTTATGATTGCTCTGCAAGAGGAATGGCAGCGCATCCCACAGATCAGCCACCGACGACTAATAAGGAGCATGTGCAGACGTTGCAGGGCAGTTATTGATGTCAACGGAGGTCATACTGCCTATTAAACTGCCAATTGCAGTTTGATGAGTTTTCCTTGTCTACATGATTAACTTGCTCTACTTCCTCTTACACTTTGATTTCAAGGGTGCTGTTACTCAGGGTTATCTGCTCTTGGTAGCAATTACCACAAATGAATTTGTTTTGTGTAATTAAAGACTAAAATGAATGTTCTGTCATTAAAATTTAAAATATAATCATATTATTATTTGTATGTAAAACTGCACTGTTTCAAGTTTATGATCCTTAACTTATTTTGTTCAGTATATTTACTCCTTGCATGTGTAACTCATACACCTTACTGAAGTAAATTCATCATCAATGAACCGAGTGTTGACTCAAGCAAATGAAAATCGAATAACACTGTACGGGTCATTTGTTAAAACCTGTATTATTCAGGAGATTTTTAAAGCTTGATATAGGGAAAAAAATATGTTTTGCCATTGGGAATGGGGTCCATATTCGGTCGAAAATCTTGAAGAAACAAACCCGAAAATCACTGCCAATTCTGCGAATTCCCCAAATCTTGGATTTAACTATCCATCACAGTGTTTATTTCTGAAGCGGTCTTCGACAGGTTCTGAACCGAAGACAATAACTCCCCTTACACGATGATCGATATATTTTGCCTTTGCTGTACTTTGATTATTTATTGATATCTATCCCCTAACAAACTATTAGTAATAGAAAAAGTTTGCTTTAGATATCGTCACAAATGTTCTTTAATATTGGATTATCCCCTCCAGAAACACCATTACAGAGGTTGGTATGTATAGGAAAGGTTCCATGTCGCTGCACATTGCATTGGCAACCACTGTTGAGTCATACTTTCTAGTTTTATTAATCACAACAGGCGTTGGCGATGAGTTCGTGGAATGCTACAGTAAAATATCATTTGCATTGGCTGATCACAATACCTTGTGATTTACCTGTCGCCGTACCATCACAACATAAACTTAAAACGGTACTAATTGTTGCGAACAACGTCTCAATTACTAGCCTGGCGAATGGTTTGTTCTGTTGACGTCCTATTTAATAAATGTAAGACTGGCTTAATTTAAATCGTTCAATACGGAGCTTACATGCATTGTAGATCTTTGAACACGGATACCATAAAAGGGGTGCTTTAAATAGTTACAAAAGACTTCCCGGTAATGAGTTTGTTTCTTTACTGATCAATACGGGTGTTTCACTCTAATGCAAACCAAGGTCGGCCGGTTGTACTTGGCACATAATATGGTGGTTTTACCTATTTCCAGACACAGATATGAACACAATAAGCGGATGATCTCCTGGTAAGTTT